AGATTTAAATGTCTTTTTTCTAGTTAAATAACCTTCTAGTAGTAGTTTTCTTCTATTATAATTAGTAAAATAATCTAGTTATTATCTAGTAATAGTAACTCACCTAGAACACTCTTTACATACTCTTATATCTAATAAATATACTATTTTCTAAGCTATTTTCCAAGTAGCTTGTTTTTCTAAGCTCTTGGAAATTCGGAGTAGAAAATAAAATATTTAGTAAATTAGATATACTTATTATTCTAGTCTAGTTGTTTTCTAGTATTACTAAGCTGCCTAGAATACCCCTTAAATACTCTATTTTCTAACGAAAACCTCTATTTTCTAAGGGATTTTCTAAGAGACTCCATTTTCCAAGCACTTGGAAAAGCGGTATGGAAAATAGAGTCCTTAGTAAACCCTCGAAATTCCATCGACACGGTTAGCAGGACTAGCGGAGAACTAATATAATAAACTATACTTTTTTTACCCTACTTAGCCGCTTAAAGCTACTTAATCTTTCTACAGCTATACTAGATCTCTTAATAATCTATCTTTCTCTCTTTTTTTCTCTAGAACTCGTGATTCTAAAACTCTCCCCCCCTATAAAATAGGAAATAAGCCTAATCGGGCAAAACTACTATATATTTTACCGCTTAAAATTTGATTCTCTATAATTCTATCCGCTTACTTTCTAAAAATAGTAATTTTTTATTTTAAGCCAATAGGAGGGCGGGGAAATTGGGAGGAGGTCAGATGCTAAAAGGGCATGCAGTACTAGGCGGGCGATAGTATAGCGAAGTAGCCGCTAGTATAGCTAGTAGTAAATAGTCTATAGTAGGAGCTTAGCGGCTATATTCTTTACCTGCTTAGTAGGCCGGCCTCTATAGCCGAAGCCTACTTTATACTAAACGCGGAGGTGCCTCTATAGAGTCTCCTACTTCCACTCTATAAAGGGGTATTATAGGTATAGTAGGCTATCCTTAAAGATTAGAACGTCTAGAATAGTAGAGGCGAATAGGGCTAGAAGTTTAAAGGAGTCCGCCTTAGGGTTAGTAAGTAGATACTACTTAAGGAGGGCGGCTATAGCTAGACTTATAGTGGAGGGAGGCTATATAGACGGATAGCTCTTATAGTAGTCTTTTAGGTGGGTTTAAATATAGAATACGGTGATAGCGCGCTTATATAGTTAGTAGATAAAAACCTTAAAGTCTAAAAAGTAGTTAAATAGATCTAGATCTATAGTGCGGTTAATAGAATATTAAGGTGTGTAGAGAAAGGGGGGAAAGATATAGGTAAGGGGCGGTAGATAGAATATATAGAGGTAAAAGGACGCGTAGGGTAGCCTAGTAATATATAGTAGTTACTAGATGCATCTATATTTATATTTATATTAGCGCGGCTATAATTTAGTTAGGGTGGTGTAAGGGGAAAAGTTAGTGGAGAAAGGCTTCTATAGATAGGCCTAGCAGCGTAGAATTCCGGAAATAGGAGATTATATTATTCCGCTTAGGGTAGGTAGTTAGTGCTAGCGTGAGTAGTTTAGTGCGAGTAGAATAATAGTAAAAGTAGCTAATAGGAGAGTTAGTTAATTGGGAGGAGAGTAGGAATAAAAAGGGCATGTAGTACTAGGAATAAAAAGGGTATGTAGTACTAGGTAAGTAGATTGTGCGTGTCTATAGAGGTAAAGTATTAAGGTAGAACTATTAAGGTAGTAATAGAATTATAGTAATAGGTTATATAAGGCTAAATAATATATAGAACGAGTATAGTAATACTTAATACTATAATGTAACTAGTGCTAACTACCTTAATTATCTAACTAATTAATAAAGATTATCTAATCTTAGTATATATACTCTATACTAGCTTCTATATAATAAACCTCCTATACTACTACACTATATATACTAGTATATACTAGTATATATTAGAGAGAAACTACCTATATATAGTATAGAGACTTTATATATATATAGTCTAGATAAGAGAATTATATTATATATAGTATTTATAGTATTATATATAAGATCTATAGTTTAAATCTATTTTAAATCTCACTTTTTAAGAATATATTCTCTATACTTATAGTAGCTTATATTATATTTTTTACTTTCTTCTTTCTACTATAAAGGATCTGCAGTTCGAGCTCACCTTAGAAAGTACTTTTCTATAAACTCTTAAAACTATTTTAGTATAAAATAGGTACACCCTATAATTATTTAAATAAAGCTACTAATAGATATACTAACTCTATCTTTAAGCTAGAAACTCTCTAAAGCTAGTAGCTATTATAAATATCTAGAGTAGAGAGTAGTAGAATAAGTTATAGAGTTTATATAAATACTCTAGTAAAATATGATAGCTAAGAAAAATATAAGAATAGCTATCTTTAAATTAAGCTTATATTAGTTTAAGTATTTAGCTTTATTAATATAGAGAAGAGTAATAGGAAGGTATATCTTATACTTAGTAAACCTTAAAGATAAGTAGTTAGTATATATCTATAAATAAGTATTTAGGTATACTACCTTAATCTCTAAAGAATAGTTTTAGAATTTATACTTTTAAGTATCTACTAGCTAGATAGATAGTAGTAGGAAGTAATATATCTAAATATATAGTAATACTCTTTATATTAAAAGAGTAGAGTAGTAATAAGAGATATATAGAGAACTAAACTCCCCTCTAACTTTATAATATAATCGTGTTATTAGATAATAGTAGCTAGATTTATAATATTTAAAGTATTAAATAACTATAATTACTAGTAGTCGTAATAGAATATTAAGAATTTAATACTAAACTATTTAAAGAGCTTAGCTATTAAGCCGCGGCCTCGTTTTACCCCTCTAAGCCGCGCTGCGAAAATGCCCTATTTACAGCCTTGTAGTATTTATTGCTAGGACCACCCACCTTGTTAATATAATGTCTAGCGAATCTGCAAAAGCTATTGTGGCCTACGGCCCTGTCAACTAAGGCTAGTGGAAGCTCGAGGACGTCTCTGTCCGACCGATTAAAGACGATGAACTGCTAGTTCAGATTATAGCATCTGGCCTCTGCCACACAGATGTACACTTCGAGAACCTGAAGGACGGGCCAGGCGTGTTGTACCCCCGAGTTCTAGGGCACGAAGGTCAGCATTCACCACTCCCAACCCCATCGATTGATTACGCCTAGTAGTTAAGACAATTCTGACAAGCAAGACCAGGCTCCGGCTACGTCAAGCAAGTCGGCAAAAACGTCACCGTCGCCCAACCCGGCGACCCGGTCCTCCTGTCCTTCGCCTCCTGCGCTTCCTGCAAGCTCTGCACGTCCGACCATCCGGCGCACTGCGTCGACTTCAACGCGCTGAACTTCGGCGGCCAGCACGACTTCTCCGCGTCCTCGTCAGAGAAGAAGGAGCCAGATATCTTCGGCCACTTCTTTGGCCAGTCGAGCTTCGCGAGCTTGACGATTGTGAATGAGAGGAGCGTTGTCAATGCGAAGGGTGTCGTCAAGGACGATGAGGAGCTGAAGATGTTCGCGCCGCTGGGATGCGGAATTCAGACTGGCAGCGGGACGATATACAACGTAGCTGCCGCGACGCCGGATGATGCAGTGGTGGTAATGGGACTGGGTGGTGTGGGCCTGAGCGGGATTATGGCGGCGAAGCTCCGCGGGTGCAAGACCATCATTGGGGTCGACAAGGTTGATGGCAGGATGGCACTGGCGAAGGAGTTGGGCGCTACGTATACTATCAACACTTCTGGTATGGAGCTGGATGAGCTTGTCAAGAAGGTGAGGGAGCTCACGGACGGCCTGGGCGCGACCGTGACGATGGATACGACGGGTTTTGTGCCGCTGATTACGAAGGCCGTCGAGTTCACGAGGTTCAAGGGGAAGGTGATCCAGGTCGGTACGGCGCCGGTAGACGCTAAATTGGAGATACCAATCTTTGAGTTCATGGTCATGGGCAAGCAGTATATCGGCGCGGTGGAAGGGGATGCTTACCCGCCGAAGTATGTGCCGGAGATGATTCAGTGGTATAGGGATGGCAAGTTCCCGGTGGACAAGCTAGTGAAGTTCTTCAAGGCGGAGGAGTATGAGAAGGCGCTGCATGAGATGCAGAGTGGAGAGGCGGTGAAGCCGATTATCGTTTGGTAAAAGCTGGTCTTCAAAACGATCATGGCAAGTAGGATGGCAGAGAGCGAATAGCTCGGAGTTTTGGGACACGGACCACTCAACATCTTCGTCCCCCGATTGTAGCAACCTTACCTCCACATTTGGAAGGCGCTGCCCTTAGAGCCTGCCAACGACAGTATTTCCGGGGTCAAAGGATCAAAGTGATAATCATGATACTTCATACTAGGGTTCATGGAGAGTGTTTTATTGTAAAAAGCTACACTATACAGCAAATTAATGCAGGTAATCTTTGGAAGCTTGATGCACTATCCCTCTCGATCCCCGGATCGTCACTGTAAAGAGTTAACCCTCGTACCCACGGAACACCTCGTTCGCTGCTGTTTTGCGTTCTCGGTCGATAACTTCTGCATGTGCCGGAGAACGCACACGGATGGTGATAGGGAATGGCTTTGGAGCTGTCAAAAAGCCGTCTGTCCATTGTGTTTCGATTGAATCATCGATTTCGTCTTTCGATAGGCTCTTCCCATTGACATCCTTGCCAGGACTGATGGAGAATGCCCAGACGAGTTTCGCCATGTTGATCCGCTAATGTTGATTAGCACAACAGATTGCAGCGAGCAGCAGTCAATAGATTTTTCACCCCTTGACAAAAGAAGCATATCGCTTACCAAAGAATTTTCTGCAAGGTGCTGGCCAGGACAAACTCGTCTCCCAGCTCCAAATCCATAAATTTTGCGGATTGCGTCAGGAGCATCATAACCATCTTTGAAGCCGCATTCGCTCTTCGTGTATCGCTCTGGCATGAATTCCTCGGGGCGATCGTAGCAATCCGGGTCGTGGTGAATTGCCCTGTGAGTCTTCCTTAGTAACCTGATTGAAATCGAAACGGTTTTTAGGCCATGGCTTTATTCTACCAGGTGTTTGCTAGGAACACAGAGCCTTTTGGAAACAGATATTGGCCGTACGAATCATCTGCTATCGGTCAGAAATGAGTCTTCTAGCAATCAATGATAGGTTCAACCTTCAATCAAGGCATGAGCAATGCCACCCGCAGCCACAGGTCGCCATCTCAAGACCTGGAGGCTGTAAGTGGTGAATAGTTGGCGGCGTCATGAAACTAACCTCCGTTACGCAGTTTTTGATGTATTCCAGCTTTTCCACATCTTGAATAGTTGGTGACCTCTCAGTACCGCAAACCTGATCTACCTCCGCCTGTGCTTTTCTGAGAACATTGGGGTACTTGACCATGGCCAATAGAAATGCAAGCAAGGTAGAAGCAGTTGTGTCAGAGCCTCCTTCCATGAGCACACCTCCAATATAAGCGATATGTTCCTCGTCCAAGCCATGTTTCGCGCGTTTGGACTCGTCCAGGAGCTCGTCCATGAAGCAGTTTCTGCGGACTCCTCGTTGAAGTCTATCCTTGACACACTTGAGCAATTCAAAATACAGCTGCCGCTGTTCAGATCGAATTGATAGGGCCCATTTCCGCCATGGAGCCATGAACGTGGGTATTTGTTTCAAAAAGGGGAATATGTCAACTGGCGGAGTGGCACCAGTTTCTAAGATGGCTGTAAACTGGTCTTGGACGTGATAGAGGCGCTGAATGTTTGGATCTTCGAATTCTGGACCTCGAATGCCGAACACTGAAGACAAAATGACTGCTGTCGAATACCGGCGGATGTGATCGTAGTATTTTTCCGGTGTCTGCATAAGTTGCTGTAGAGTAAGAACGGCTTCCGCCTCCTGAAGCCTTTGCAGCGACGTTACAGCAGTGATGTTGAGAATCGATTGATAGACTTTCCTCTGGTTTCGCCACTCTGCTCCGTATGGCATGAGTAGCAAATGGGTGTTGTCCCGAGCGATAAGCTCGGTACCAATATGATTGGGAGGTCTGCTGGAATAAATCGCCCCTTTCTTGTCAAACAAGCTAACGAGTAAGATGGTCAGACTCCGAAAGATTCATGCTGTTAGGATGCCCCTATGCTTACTCCCGCACTGCGCGTGCTGTGTTGAGTACTATCAAATTTCCCGGTCCTAGTTTTAGGGAAACAATGGGTCCGTACTCTTTGGACCATTTCTGGAATCTGACTTTCGTCAATCAAAACTGCGGCGTGACTTCATATCCGGAGCTATGATACGCACGTAAGGTATGCTTTTTTGGTCGGAATCTGGTGCAGATTACCTGATTGGGCTGTGAGCGATCTGAAGAAGCGGCCTGAGGACTGAGGGGTTTACCAATCATAGGCAGCGTGGGAGGACCTGGTGGGAGCGACTTTGACCTTGCCGCAGCTAGGGTCAACCGGACGAGGCCAACGACGAGGAGAAATCCAACAGAGAGAACAATGGTAACATGAATAGCCATTGTAACGGCACAAGCGAAAACAGGTGTCTTTGGTAAGTAATGTAATTTCCTAATTCTCTAGGTCCGCGAGATACAGTGCCGCTCGACTACAAGCCTAGAAACTAATTTTCTTTTACTAAGTGCCCGTTATTTGAGCTTATATACCAAATTTGAGGAAAATTGGCGTGTTGTACTCATTGGAGGACTAAACCGCGGAGTTTCCGGAGGTCGAGCTGGAGATCGAATTCCATTTTGAGTCTCGAGTCTAGCTCGAGCGTATCTTCCGAGTAGTAGGTGCTCCACCTATGCTAGAGCTTGCGAAAGTCTATCATCAAAGATCCCTGTGCCCTTTTCCCTAGTGTTGCTCATCGTTCGGTATTCCGGCACGACAGCAAGCTCCTAAGGTTCCGAAGCTCCGTGTACGTTAATAAATAGTTGCAAGGCTTCCGAAGCTTCCGGATATTACAAGTCTGGTTCCGAAGCTCCGTGATTAGTTATTAACTTACGCGGACATTACCGTCGTGCCGGCGAGATTACTCATGTCGCCGGAAAGTTATGAGATCGCGGGGCGAACACCAGAATTGCGCTCAGGCTTTTTAACCACACTGCAAATCACGAATATGCGATAAACAACGCTATAATAGTGTAGAAGTTAAGCGTGCACCGACTTTTAATATATAAAGCACTCACTCAGTTAATCTCACAACGTAGTGTTGAGATATATAGAGATAAACACTACAGCGAGACACTTTGCACGAACCCTTAGAAGCGGATTTGGAGTAGTCTACCGCCGGCTTACCGCTATCTCCAATCTCATAATTTTCCGGCGACATGAGTAAGGTCATCCTTAACGACCCACTCGTCTTACGCTGACAATAATAGATGCCTTTGAATACTCCAACCCTATGACGCTGTAAAGGCTAAGCCTCATTGCGTATTCCTGCAAATAAGGCTTGGTGCTGATGCTGTACGTATTTGTCTTACCTCAGCAGGCGGGATTGATTTCACCGCTCCTGTGGGTTAAGGCATGCTGTTGTTCGTAGGTGTGTATGTATATATATATACCGAATCGTGTTCCTCTACGAGATGCATTGAGTTGAGTAGCTACCTATTACTCGCGCTTCCTCTGCATTGCACCGCACCGCTCTTGTTCTTGACACGCTTTCCTGCAACGAGCTAAATATGTTCCGGCGCATCGCACTTCTCCTCCCCTTTCTCTCCTTCCTCCGCTCATCCACCCAAGCCCTTCCGACGGATGATTGCCCAATTCTTGGCCCCTCCTTCCCCTCAAACTTCGACCCATCCAGCACCACCGTCATTCGCGAACTCCAGTCCCGCTTCCCCGCCCAGCTCGAGTCTCTCCTCTCCTCCGGCGTAATCAACCGCACGCACACTTCCTTCTCCATCAATGTTTTCTCCGCGGTCACCAACAGCTCCATTTTCAGCTACCACCACGCCGCGCCGGGCTTGAACGGGAGCTTAACGGCGGGCGTGCTCAACGATGACACGTTATACCGGATTGGCAGCGTGTCGAAACTACTCTCGGTATATGCAATTCTAGTTAAGGCGGGGATGGAGATTTTTGATCACCCCGTGACAAGGTATCTACCGGAGCTGGCGGGCAATGCGGGAAGTGATCCGCTCGAGAGGATTAGTTGGGAGGAGGTTACTGTTGGTGCGCTCGCCTCGCAGCTAGCGGGTACTGGGGGGATGCGTGAGTGATGTCTTCTTCTCTTTTGATGATGTTTATGGACTTACTTAACTTTTTTTTGTAGCTGTCGAGACTGTGTTATGTGAGATCACCCCGTCAACGGAGTGCTCTATCCAAGGCATGCCTACACCCCTTTCTTCTCTTACTTTCCCCGCCCATTTCCACCAATCTTCTTCGCTAACGCAACCATCCACCAGAGTTCCTCACATTAATGCGCACCCGCAAGCGCCCTGTCGTGCCTCCGTTCGAAACCGCTCTCTACTCCGACGCTGGCTTCGGCATTCTCGGGCGCGTGCTCGAACGGCTAACGGGCCTGCCATACGCGGACGCAGTGCAGAGCATTCTCTTCGCGCCGCTGGGGCTCAACGGCACTTCGGCGAGACAGCCCCGCAGGGAAGGTCTCAATGCGGTTGTTCTACCGGGCAGTTTCGCAGAGTCCTCATGGGGCTTCGACAACCAGATCACTGCGCCGTACGCCTCTCCTCTCCCCCCCCCTCTTCTTATCCCCTCCGCCAGTCGATCACGTTTGCAATACTGATAGTGTGTATTGCACATGTAGCTCCGGCGGCCTGTACTCTAACACCGCAGACTTGCGCACAACCGGTCTCTCCATCCTGCACTCCGCGCTCCTGCCCCCGCGCACCACTCGCGCCTGGCTGAAACCTCAAAGCCAAACCGCATCCCTAACCACCACTATTGGCGCGCCCTGGGAAATCAACCGCCTCGCGCTGCCCGTTTCTCCCAGCTCGCCGCGCACCCGCATCTCCGACCTCTACACCAAGCTCGGCGGCCAAACCGGCTATGCCGCCGTGTTCGCGCTCTCCCCAGACCACGCGCTCGGCTTTTCCGTGCTGGTAGCCGGCCCCAGAGCCGGCAGCGCGCGCTTCCCGTTGCGCGACGCCGTCGGCGAGGCCTGGGTAACCGCCGCCGAGCACGCCGCGGCGGAGAACGCGGCGCGGAACTTCGCGGGCACGTTCGTCGACCCGTCAGTGGACGGCGCGAACCTGACGCTGACGGTGCAGCGGGATCGCCCGGGGCTGGGCCTGGAGGCGTGGTTTGTGCGCGGCGTCGACTGGCGCGCCAACTTGACGTACCCAGCCGCCGCCCTCCCCGTCGCAAATCTCAGTGTGCGCCTTTACCCCACCGGCCTCGTTACGCTATCGCCTTCGTCGCCTTCCTTGAATGCGAGCGCGGGCGCGGCGCAGCTGTCATTTCGCGCGATCCCGCTGTTGCTCCCGCCTGGACCGCGCGCGGCGGTGGAAGGGGGCCAGGGCTTGTTTGACAATGGATGCCAGAGTTGGTCTTCCGTGGATTTTTGGTCGGTTGATGGGTATGGGATCGATGAGTTTGTATTTGAGGTTGCGGGGGGACGGTTGGAAAGTGTGAGGAGCTTGGCGGCAGGGACAAGGATGAGGCGGATTGACTGAAGGGGTTTGGTTATTAGGAAAGAGGTACATCTACAAATCGTTTGCCCGCTCGGGAAATCGACTGAGGTTCTAAGCGCTCCGAGCGCTTTGCGAGCGTCCTAGACGTTTTAGACGTTTTAGACACTCGGAGCGGTTTTGAGTTACTTACCAAGTAATAGAAAACCTGAGTTATCAAGACGTCTTAGAGTTCTCTTCCTCGCTTAACTTATATCTTTTAGTAAAAAGAGGTAGCGTATCTATTATTAGCAAGTAACCAAGTAACAGCTGGTTTAGCTGTTCACCACCCGTGCGTACGTGCCAAGAAGCCAAAAGGGTCAGCCTCTCTAACCCGTATCTTAAGATAACAAGTCACGCAGCTGAAGCATGTTCTCAGCAAACATCCATACCGACAGCGGAAACCATACTCGCCCCAAAAGTTCTAGTCAAGATGGCAGCGACGGTAGCAGAACAAGTCGCCCTAAAAGAAGCGAAACCCGATGAGTACGTTTCTCTCCACAGCCCAAGCAAGATGGGCAACGCCGGTATAATGGCATATGGCGGCTGCACGATGGGAACAGCTGTGAATGGGGCATGCCAGAGTGTTCAAGCCCATTACTACTTATATTCCGCACTTGGCTACTACCTGGGCCCCTCATCAACGGATCGAAAGGTTTTCTGCACTGTGCATCGCGTCCGCGATACGAGAACGTTCGCCACAAGACGGGTCGAAATTAGCCAGCGGCAGGACGATGGCACGAAGCGACCCTGTTTCTTACTGCTGGCAGATTTCCAGGTCAAGGAGCCTCCGATGTTGCGCTTTTCCGCACCACCCTCAAGGCAGTATCCCGATGTTGACAACTGCCCCACCTGGGATTCGGTTCGCGAAGCGCTGGTGTCTGAGCATGGGTTGACAAAAAGACGTGTGGATGCGCACAAAGCAGTCTTCGACCTCATGGGCCGATTTTGGGACCAGCGGCAATGTCCTGAGGGTGTGTTCGCGCAGAATCTGATGGGGATAGCTAAGGAAATCAGGACAATTCAGGACAAGCTTTCGATTACGGAGAAGGTATCCGCTGATTGGGTCAGGAGCAAGCATACTCTGGTCACGAAAGCAGAGCAGCTATCTGCTCTGGCCTTTGTAATGGACTGCGCGCTGTCTTTCGTACCGCTGGCCTATAGCCATCAGTTTCTAGAGGATGCTGGCGCATGCTCGAGCCTGGATTTTGCGCTCAGAGTCTTCCTCTCAGAAATTGATCTAAATAACTGGCATCTAAGGGAGATGAAGACTATCACCGGGGACGAGGGGAGGACGTATTCAGAGTCAAGGCTATGGAATCGAAAGGGAAGGATGGTGGCTAGCATGACGCAACAGAGTATTTTACGGCTACCGAAGGGTGTGAAAGCTACATTATAAGTCGGTCCTAGTAGGACTTATCAAAAGAAGTTTGTGCCTTGTGCCAACGATTAGCTACTTAGGCGTACTGATTTATGTACCACATTGTGCATAGTATGTAAACGCGAACATCTACTTTTCTTGCTTCGAAATGCTATAATATCCATCTTCAAAGCTACATTGTCACAGCTCTAGCATGTCATCGTTTTTATTATTATTATCGCCTAGGCGGTTCATTCCACAAGTGTGTAGCAAGGGTACTCGATCACTGGCAAGACGCTGACGAGCTCGCCAAGCCCAGCATGTTGCGGAGAAATATGCGCATTGACAAAGGCTCCTGCAGCGAGCAAGATCGGAAAGGTACTGTAGATGAAGGACCAAGAGGAATTGAAGACTTTGGCAGTTTATCTTGATTGAGTAATGTGCGTCGCCCGATGTGGTCTTAGCGGGGCGTGATGTTGAGCCATTTCATGCGCCTGATTTGCTCAAGTACTTACCCGAGGCGTGCGATGGTTGCTGGAAGACTACCCATCAACATTCCCGGCGGACGGAAATGAACACTCTCCCACACTGCGTATCAGCAGAGCGTGCTTGTCTCGTTCTGCAATGGCTCTATGCACGAGTCGCAGACCGGTCTGCCTAATGACTAGATGGCCCCTTGGTGACCACTCACGTCGCAGTTTGGTTTTCAGCTTCAAGCCTACTTTCTGGGCATCAGCGCCCATCTCGTAGAAGCGAGACATCTTCTCAGCCCTACGGCCGCTCCACCTTATTGAATATCCAGCCACTATTCTTCATCAAGATGGGCTCTCAGCTGCGCCCCGACGGGCAGGACTTTTTATCACTGATCTCGCCCTTCCCCTCTCTGTACCACTTATTCCTGCTTTATTATCGGCTACAGTTCTTCCTACTATCAAGGCGCAGGTTTTAATTCCTCTGCGGCTTACTGTAACTCAATTAGCATCCTACGATGGTCGCATCTGCGTGGTCGCCTAAAACGGCGTGTTTCCTCCTCCTCCAAGCCACCGCTCTTGTATCTTCGCAAGGTACGGATCACTCCATCCTTCGCTCTATAGGATTCGAACTCATATCTCTTTGAAGCCGTGACAGTCACTGTATCTGCGCAGAGTACCGATTACTCCGTCCTCCGCTCTATAGAATCCGACCTCGTATCTCTGGAAGCTGCGACAATAACCTCTGTGGCATCTGCGGCAGCATCTGCGACATCCAGCAGTGCGGCTCAGACATACACTGTGTCCGTCGGAATCGATCATAAGTTCAGACCGGACGTTGTACAGGCGAATGCTGGCGACATTATCGAGTTCAATTTCTTCCCTCCAAATCACTCCGTTGTGCGGGCAGAGTATATGTTCCCGTGCATACCGTATGAGAATACGGGCCGAGGCAAGGTCGGCTTCTTCTCCGGCTTTCGTCCAGTTGATGCTTTCCTGAACGATGTAAGCACGAACCGCTCTCTCTTAATGCGACCAGTATTTGTCGCACGCAATGCACTCATCGCTGTGCTATCTCCAACCCGCTTGTGTAGGCGCAGCCTAAGCTGACTCGTTTACGTAGCCTCCAACTTGGAATCTCCGTATCAACAACACAGATCCAATATTTTACTACTGCTCCGCTCCCGGTTCGTGCAACAATTACGCTATGATAGGCGTCATCAATCCTGTAAGCTGTCCCAAGCCTCCCAGTCCACTAACCTACGCTCATGCCGCGAAGAACAAATCCGTATCGCTAGAGACTCAGAAAAGCCTTGCTCTACAGGCAGCATATGTCATGAATCCTGGCGATCCCTTCCCTCCCGAGGCATCGTCATCAATCGCGTCGTTAACGACTTCCCCAACCTCAACGTCAACGTTGCCTTCATCAACAGCCGCTACAGCTAGTACGACACCGACGCCAGCTCCAGCCGAGGAGGAGGAGGATGATGATCTAAGCACCGGAGCGATCGTCGGTATCGCCCTCGGCGGCGCAGCCATACTCTTGCTCGCCGCTGCACTATTCTACTACTTCTTCAGTCGCAGCCGAACGCTCAAGCAGCCTTTCGCGTCTCCACCTCTCTCATCTGCTACGCGTCACGGTCCGGATATGTACCAATCCGGCGGCACAGTTTTCGTGCCCGTACTCCCCAAGGACTACCGAAGCAGTGCTCTCAGCCAGCAGCCCTACGATGTCCCGCCATATTCTGAAGAGCCTCTGCGGTCCGCGAGCCCCCGGTCTGACGTCGGTGATATGTATGTAGCTGCGACCGAAAAGCGATGACAATGAGACTGTTTGCTAACGCGTAGCTAGGAGGTCGTACACTAGCACCCCGGCACCATCGCTGAGCCCGCGCAGCCCGTACAGCCCGCACAGCCCGCACAGCCCGCAGGAGATGTACGCTCCGTTCCCACACCCGAAACCGGCCCAACAAACTGTCTAGATGACTCTGTCTTTAAGAGAGGCATTTTCGGGTTATATGAGTGGATTCTCTCGGCAAGTCCGATGTTGATAGTATGTTCACCTTAACAACCGGCGAAATCTTGATAGGTATTTTTCTAGGATTCGTATCTATGTTCTTGCGGTCGTGGTTCGTTAAGCTGTAAACCTGATAGGTTCTTAAGTATACTTCTAGTACGGATACATAGATTAGTTAAGAGACTTCGACGATCTAGACGGCCTACCTGTAGCTTAATCCTAGTAATGCAAGGTTCTTGCAATGAAATCAATCAAATGCAGATAATAGCCTAGTACTAAAGACTCAAGTCAGATACAATCGCGTGCAAAGGATCTTTAAATAAGCTATTATTTCAAGTGAGCTTAGTAGGCACAAGGTTTAACAATCTAATAAATAGCTTTATATGCTACTATATAATTATAACTACAGTAGGTTCAACATCAGGAAAATCCACCCTTTCGGCCTAGAATACACTAACACCCACGAATATGCCCTCTCCCATCGCCTTCAGCATCAGTCCTCGTTTCGGGCCAATTTACACTCACCATGCAGATCGAGCGGCATAGATTACGTTAACCATTCTACGCTCATCCTTTATAGGGTAATCTGCATAATAAAAATCATGGAGAGCGAATTCATCACGTTCATCAGTCCCTGGCCTACTCATAGGCGCCTCATAGTCCCAACGCTCGTTGACCCAGCATATAAGTTCATCAAAGATGGTTCCGAGCACAAGCCGGCTGCGTATCCGAAGCATTCCCCCCGAAACTTCTCTATACGATGAAGAATCAGCTCGAGGTATTAAACCCTAACGAGGCGCGGAATCCATCTAGCACTAGCCTGCGACTCCTAAACACGTGCGATATGCTACTATCGCTAGTGCCGTCACTATTAGCGTAGCAACTATATCAACCTTGTCTTTTAGTTACGATTTTCAGTCTATTGCGACTCCAAGTCAGACTTTCCGGCGCCTCCTTTTGAGCCTAGTTCATCGTTGCACGCTTTGCTCTTGCCTTTCCCCACCGTCTCTTTCTTTAGATCTTCTTCCTCGAGCCGATCCCAACTTCTAATGTACCGCAGCGACACTATGACAGCAACAGCAGTCAATGCTATAGTGAGGGCTTCGGAACTAACTAAGACAGAAGTCAACGTTAAACCCATAAGCATAATTCTCGCTGATAAGCACCTACCGAATATTCCGCCCATATAATCGCTCCTGTAGGGGCTGTCCGGATCCGATCCATTGACCTGTAGTTTGTCGAACCCGTTGATTTTCAGCGCGAAGAGCGCGGTGAGGAAAGTCAGGGGCGCGAAGACGACTGTTATGACCGTGAAGCCAATGACGGCCGTGCTGAGAAGGACGCTGCTGTGCGCGTCTTTGATGCTGCTGTAGGTCCGCTTCAGCTCGAGTATGTCTTGTACAGCCTTCTCGATCTGTTCCGCGTCGCCGTCAATCTTCTTGATCCGTTCTTCATATTGCCGAAGGGTGCTTCGAGCGTTTTCAACGAGATCCCATTTTGGAGTACCACCCAGCCAGCGACATTCCAGGCAGTTCGGATCACAATCCTCGGTATCGTTAAGTAGGTCTTCTAAGATTACCTTTTGCTGCTCAAGAACGTAAAGTATCATGACAAGCTCACTCCGGACGTCCGAGAGCCTGTGGAGGAATTTCCGCTCCCTTTTGAACTCAACCAAGCTTGGCTTTGTCGTGTCGACGTACTTTTCGACATCCGACAGAACAGATACCATCTCGTTCTCGAAGATGTCGAGCGCAGGTAAGAATTCCACGTCGCCGATGTCGCGTTTCTTGCCGAAATTCTCAATTTGTTCCGCAATGAGGAGTGCCACCTGATAGATCATGTGGGCAGTATGGAATACAGGTATCCATCTTAACTCTTCCTCCTCACGTTTGGTGTGTTCGTTGGTAGAATACATACGTGTACTTGCATGGACCATCGAATAAGCGGAGATGACAATGGTCCCTACTCTCCAGATCCAGAGTTGCGGCACCATCAGGATAGGTATTCCCTCGTCGGTCTTCCCTTGGTCTCTGAACGGCCTAGAAACCACTTGATCCTCGTTTCTTTTAATGAAGGCATCAGCACTGAGGCCTGGATAGTATGCTTCATCCAGAGTGCGATCTGGATGGGAAATAGAAATTCCAGAGGAGGGCAGCGCATGGTTGGCTGATAAGGCTCTTACTGTCTTTTTACCCGATTCTCTGCTGGCATTCAGTCGCTGGACCGAGTTGAGCGTCAGACATGGGAACTGAATACGTCAGCAAGGCTTCAACTGCACAGGACTGAGCAAATACCACAACGACAGAGCACCTAGGATTGCGCTCGTAACCGTCGACGATGTGGCTCTCAGAGAGGCTGGCCCGTCTAACCTCGAACCTGCCCGACCAATAAGACGGCTCCCTGTAATTCAGAAACGGATCGCCAGGAGCGACAGGTGGAGGCCTGCTGTGGTGGAGAAAGAAACTCGTCATGTCAATTTCTCCAGGAATGCACTTTCCAATGGCCCTAAAGACGGCCTGTGATTGTCAGAATGGCCAACTACATGTACTTAAAACATACCAAGAGTGCCAGGCTCTGATTTGTCAGCGGTGTCTCCATCCGCAGTCTCAAATGATTGCTTACATTGGTAGATGGTACGTGTACCAAAGTCACGGATTGACCTTGTCGACTACTCAACGAAGTCCAGGGAGTCAAGCCTTTTTGCAATTCTCCTATCGACGGTGAAGGGTAACCAACATTGCCATTGTCCGATATGGTAGCAATAGAAACCAAATAGTCTGGATGGAGATGGCAGAAGGAACGCATCATTAGCAAGTTGAAACTGGTTTGGGAAGACCGATCGGCGGCGACGTCCCAAGCCGTCAAGGCCTCTTTCGATGTGGATTTAATGTCTGGGTCCGCGCCCATTTCCAGGAGAAGCCCAACAACCCCCCCTGGTGATCCAGTGAAATTGCCCTATGAAGGAGAGGTATCCCAGTAGAGTCCAGTTCGTTGGCCTTCTTAGCGCACTGGGCTAGGTCCTGTGACTCCCGCACCTTCTGGAGCATGACCATCAGACAATCCATTACACAGAATACGAAAGCATGGGCCTTCAAGAAGTCCCAAAAGTTGGTATTCAACAGAGCACTGCAGTCACTGGGAGTAGTTCTTTTCAGCAAAGCGTTGAGTTGCATGAAAGGAGTCGGAACGCTCTCCCCAGTGGCTACAACCCTTTCAACGAGCGTTAAGATTTCTATCGAGTTGTATTAGCATGTGTCGCAGGCGTCAATTGCTGTCGTGGTGGCCTACCAGGTTCGAGAGCTGCCGCCATGCTTGTCCCGTGGAGACGTTGCCGAACTACTTGGGTAGGTGTAGTAGAGGACGTACTCCGCACCTAGCGGAGGCAGAAAGCGGATTAAGGCTGAAATAAAAGGAGCGGAAAGAGACGAGCTTAAGAAGCACGAACTCGTTACACAACTTCTCAGCTCATCTGCAGAGTTCTGCTTCTGGACTGCAACAGCGCTACAAGCAGCTAATAGTTCGACCGCTCAGCAGCCACATCGTACTCTTGCCACCGGAAAGTCTTCGGTGTAGCCAATCAAGCCACTGGCCGCATCTACGGCCGTATTTATGTAGATAAGACGGTGGCGGAATTATTCTGACGGCTAAGCCACCTCACCAAATCAATCTATCGACATAACGCCATTATTTCACTATTCGTTAATAATCGCAGCGATTGTATAGCGTTAAGCGTGATCTTAGTGATGCGGTGCCAAGACCGTGGACTTTTCGGCGGCAAGAGTACATAGTAGCCTCCTTTCTTATCGATTACTGTAACAATCTTGACTTGGACGACCCGAGCAAGCCACCGAACTACAAACTTAATCCAAAACTTTACACAACTATTAAGTGAATGTTCGCAGAACTTGAGTCTGTCCAGCTGGTCCGCCCTCTATGCCGAAACGAAAGCGCTCAGAGTTCGGCGGCTGCACCACCCAATCCCTGACGGACGGACCGATCAATGCGCGCCAATACCGGGTCGAGCACAAGATCAATCATGGAAAGAAGCTCCTCAACCGCATGCTCAAGCTCGCGAAAGGCTTCGAACGGCAGAAGCTAGGGAGGCGCCACAAAACTGCGTCGCAGAATGGTGATGTACCGGGACTTGCGAGGATAGATGCGGAGATCGAGGCGCTCAAGGTTGGTGGTACATGTGACAAGCACAGTTGAGTGTTTGTAGCGAGAACTGTCTAACATACTATCGTGGCTTAGAAACTCGACATAGCGGATGCCGCCGAGACTTATCTGCATAAGACTCTGCTCAAGATCAAAACCATTGCCGCGTCGCCGTCCCTACCAGCGAGTGTCAAGCTACCAAGTAAAGCCCCACCCGATACGCCTACAGCGAACGTCACCGCACGTCTATACAATGCGAATCCAGTCAAGGAAACTTTGGGAGACATACTTTCGGACATACGCAACGCTCTAGGAGTGGAACAGGCAGGGGAAGCCGGTCGAAAAGATGCTACAAAGACCGGCGCAAGCGAGAGGAATCATGCGAAGTCACGGCTGGAGGATGTTCAACAAGGCGCATCTTCGGAGTCCGTCAGTGCCTCGTCCGCTGGGAAGAAAGAAGAGGTCGAGTGTGCCTACTCTGACGAGTTCAGTGACCCAGCTAGCGAAGACTTCGCACATCTTGACGCCAGGGTGGCCGGTTCGTCCACTGAGGAGTCTGACGAAGACTCAGAAGAGGCCTCCGTACGCTCTGAATTACCACTCGCTTCAGCACGGGGGCACGACCCTGTTGATGATCTATCCCTAACACCGTCAGCATTTTCGTTGTCCTCGCAGTCGCCTGAGCCGGAAAGCAAAGCATTTGTATCAAAAGCAGCAGCCAATGCGAAAAAGACATCTACCTTTCTACCATCCTTAACCATGGGTGGCTACTGGTCCGGCTCAGAATCTCTGCCCAGCGACGAAGAAGTCGACGTTGCGCCTAGGAAGAACCGACGCGGACAACGCGCACGGCAACAGCTGTGGGAAAAGAAGTTCGGCGGTAGAGCGAAGCATCTACAAAACAAGGATGCGGCAGGCAATGGCAGCAGGAATGAAGGATGGGATCCGAAGAGGGGCGCTCAGGTCCCAGGAGATAAGAGATTCGGTCAGCGCCGCACCGGAAAGCATACAGTGCCTGATGCAAAGAGAAGAAGCGAAGGCAATGCAATATCGGCCAACGGTGTGGATCTCAACCCAAGCCGGCAGGTCAAGAGGGATGATCAAGGCCCTTTACATCCGTCTTGGGAGGCTGCTAAGCAGAGGAAGGAGCAGCGGGTCACGGCTCCTTTCCAAGGCAAGAAAGTAGTGTTTGATTGAACACGTCCAACAGTTGCAGTGGTCGAGGGCCGCCACGAATCATCTTCCCACCTTCCTGTCGCTGCTAAGCCGGCACGCTAGGCTCACTTGCGCCGTTGCTACTTCAGCTGGAAGAGTTCAACCCTAAATGCCCGCCAGAGCCTGGAATGGGTACTTTGCGCCAACTGGCAGCTCGCAGAGCATCTGGATGCCGACCTCAGAATATTGTCAATCTCAGCATCTCAGCACCATCCCAGTCTTTTACCGTTGAACCATGTCTATACGTCCGGAAAGGAACTGGCTGGCAAGTTTCGGGCATGGTGCCGACCCCTGCGGCCGTCTCATATGAGACTGGCAGTTGCTTCACCGAACGGTCAGATCGCTTGCATCAGTACTCACGAAACCCTGTCTTGAACCGTGAATTTTACAGTCATGGGGGGTAGATTTTTCATGTTCCTGCAGCCTGCTTTATGCTATCGTCGAATCCAAGATTCACTCCAGTTTTGTATATAAGAAGAATGACAAAGCTACTTGCGGGCTTGACTCACACCCAGCAAATGGATTATTGTGCTGTCCCCTTGCACTTTGCGAATGCCCAGATGGTCACGTGGTGGCCTGATCCCATTACCCCGCAAGTTGGCAGCTGTCCCTGCTGTCAGCGGCCAAATTTTCGGACAGACTCCAGCGGCTATCACTCTGTCATCTAAACGTCGTATCAGCAGTATGGGAGACCGGACAACGATCAAAGCGTGTGGCTGAACAGGCAGATGATGTAAGAGCCGGGAACCCATCGTCAACGGGAGTGGAGTGGGACGACAGGCCGGATGGCTAAGACAAGAGCCTGTGATGCATGTGCTGTTCGCAAGATCAAATGCGACGGCAACACACCTTGTCGAGGATGCATCGCCGCATCAATAAGCTGCACTCGACTTAAGATACATAACAAGTCCGGTCCGAAGGGCCCCAGGCAAACGACGAAGCATGCTATCTCCGAAGCGCAGCGCGAGTATAAGCACCGGCGCGAAGCATCTCAGCCACATAGCGTTCCGGACGCTCAACCTGCTCAACCCGTGCAACCCGTCCAGCCTGTCCAGTATGTGCAGTGGCCGAATTTTCTTGGTCCCTCTACCTTCTCCTCGCCCGCCGATTCGCAGTTGTTGCCTGAGAGCCTAGGTACCTTAGTCACCAGCCGGAGGATACCTCTATCTTCGCTTCAGGTGTATCTTGATATCTACCATCACAAGCTGCACCCAGTCTGGCCGGTCGTTCGCCGGGAAGAATTGATAGCACGTCTACATGATCCAACTGACCTGGAAGCGTATGCCCTCGCCACTTCCGTGTGTGCGGCTACCATTGCCCAGCTTAAGCTGCCGGTGCGGAGAGACAGCGATGTGGAGTCCCTATCCGTGGACTCATCAGCCATGGTCTTAGAGGCGGAGCAAAGTCGTATCCTAGTGGATTACTCAGAGAAGCCCTCCCTTGATGTTCTTCTTAGTTCATACTTTCTGCACGTTTTCTATGCCGATACCGGCCGTTACCATAAGTCCACGCTCCTCTTGCGAGAATCGGTGACTTTTGCGCATATTCTGGGGCTCCATCTGAAGGCTCACTACGAAAATCTCAACGCGAGCGATACTCAGCATCATCTGCGCATCGTCTGGCTGCTGTTCGTTACTGAGAGGTACGTGAAGCATCTTGGATGACGGCATAGCTACGGTGAAATCGCCTTCCCTCACTGCGCTTTTGCTCTAATCCCTGGTTCCGTTCAACACATCCCGTATCATACAACTCTGACCGATGCATCGGATAAACAGCAGCTTTGCCCAGCTTTTCACTGCACATTCGAAACAGCACGACATACCACCCACGCTCAAGCTTAGCCCCGACCTACCTCCTCTTGATGCTAGCGAAGACCCTATATTGCTCTCGGCGTTTGTCAGCTTATGCAAGCTCTTCCAGACTTTCGATCACGCCTTGTCGATTTCAACCCCGAGTGGAATGGTAGATCCTCGGACTATATTCTCGGCAGCGTACCAGCAGTTCCAGCAACTACCAAATCTGTCGCCCTATGGGAACGAGATGCAGCGGGCCGATGTTATGGTCACACAGCAATGGATGCAGATAGTATTTTGGAAGTTTACTATGCCTTACGTAGCACTGACCACGATGTCTGAGGATCCGAGCTTCAGCTTCTCGTTTCCGGCGGTGATTGCGCATCAGCTCCTCTCTAATATTAGAGATATCTCTGTTGATACGCTCTCGGCTCACGGTGTGGGAATGGTGAGTGATGTTGTAGTATTTGCTGCTCATATGTCGCTTTCCGCTGATCCGTAATTCAGGAAAACAAGCTGCACGAGGTGGCAAACTCTCTTGCGGACGTCATCATGTGTGTCCCGCAGGTGGCGCAAGTTAACAGCATGGAGCTGGGGCCGAGAGATATGTTGTTCCAACTAGCGAACATCCTTACGGCGTTCAACGGTGCAAACCCATCGTCGTTGTCGTATCTTCAGCAAAAGTTGATCGACTGCGGGCTCGGAGTTCCCCAGATTTCAAGGATTACAGAACTACCGGATGGCATCACCGAAAGCCAACAGCAAGACTCGTCCAATAGCCTTGACAACAGTCTGTATATGACTGACGAAGCGGAGCACGGCGATTGGCTTATGCAACAAATACCATTAGTAGCACCACCATCCTTGGAGCATGGCCCTGGTTCATCAGTAGACAAGGTATCTGCTGGAAGTCCTCGGAACTTCAATTGGCTGCCGCAGGGGGTGGACGACTTCGGAGAACCCATGGTCCAGTCTTTCGACTTTGCGCACGTCGTTACGACCCCCCGGTTATTTGCAAACGATTTCTTGCATAACAAGTTTACTGTTTAGCAAGCTAGGGATCGTCGCCACGCACTCCCTTCCATGAGGGCTGAATCAGGCCGATCTTCGCGCACAATTAGCAACCGGGCCTGTGGTGGGCGCAACTCATCACCAGAAAACGCAACAAAGCATGCTAGGCACTCTTACTATTCCATATCAGCAGCCGCAAATCTCGACGAGGTGCTCCGACAGCTCTAAGCATCCTCTCCCGCTGCCACCGATCGCTTCCACTCAACCTGGAGATCCGCAAACTTGACCTCAAGTTCCCCGCAATCTCCCTTTGCTGGCCTACAAGCGTACGCGCCCACAACAACCTCCCACCCTTCATCCTTTTCGTCCGCAAAGAACCATCCGACTTCCCTCAGAGGCTTCCGCTCAACTACCTCGCCATCCTTCCCCAGAACAAGCTGGTAGATCCACAGAGACTTCCCATGCTCATCTCCCTCTCGTCTGGCCTCGAGCGTGACCGGTCCTTCACCCCTCTCAGCAAACGACACTCACTCAGCACCTTAAGGGCTTGGAACATACCTTCCTCCGTCACGGGAAAAATACTCCAGTCCGCAAATCGGTCACAGCCCACCGTACTCACGTACGGCTTTCCGTAATAGAACTCCACGCCCGTTTTAAGCCATTTGGGAGGCGAATCTTTCTTGTCGAAGACGTTGGTTGCAGAGGGGTGGCTGAACTGCAGGAGCAGACCGCCTTGGTCGTATTGCTGGATCCAGGTCGCGGAGAAGCTGATGCGGGCTGATTTGAAGAGGTTGAGGGGTTTGGGGTCGCTGAGTCTGGTGGGGCCTGGAGGGTGTTAAGGATGGTAGGGGAGGGTGTAGGTGGCGCCATGGGATGGAGCAGTGTTTATGACATGCGCAAGGGGTTTTTGGTCAGATAGGGACGTACAGTTGTATCTGTCGGTGGTTGGCGGCTTGCGCCAGATGTCGGTGTTTGGGGGTGCGGAAAGGGTGAAGTTGGAAGAGGACATGGCTCTCGCGCGAACGATCGAGCTTTAGAATCTGGTCGTAGGAGTACGGTGAGTTGGTAGGTTGTATGGGGACCTGAAATGCGTAGCAGACCGTGTTTATAAACCTCGGATATCGCTGACCGTCGAAAGGACACGAGTTTCATGGGATGCACCAAACTTAGCGTACACGTGCGCATGCAGGAACATGCGGGGCACCTTGGCAGTTGACCATGATCCACCTGCGGTGACTGCGCCTGGGAGCCGACAAATGACATCCCAAATAAAGATATCCTGGATGCAACATTAGTTGTGCTTCGTGAGTCGTTCTGTAGCTGTAAGTAACGTAGCATGTCGGACCAAGAGTTGCCACTAGTACGATTATTGCAACCTGATTAAACGAACACCACCTCAACTCATGAGACTGATAGACAGAACTCTGAACGTGAATTCACAATGAAACACTGGCGCTCCACTGCCGAAATATGGTCTAGATGATAGCTCTCCTGCCTGTCGGGTTTCTCAGAGTAAGTTAAGATCACGACGCACTCACCACAACAGACAAGCAACAACATCCCATTCGAAACTCCCGGTCAGGTAAATTGTGATAGTGGAAACCAGTAAGCGTATAGTACGGTGCAACAGTGGGAACACAGTAGAGTACAGTTTGGTCCAACCGCGACTGGCTACAAGCCCTCAAATAGAAGCTGAATATGCAGGGTTTGATGGAATATCTATCCACGCTGTACATAGTTGGACTTGCTCATTTCTTAGGCTCTTCCTTCTTCGGCTCCGGCTTTGGCGTTGGTAGTTTGAACTGTACTAATCAGCATCCTACTTTCAAGACATTGTCTATGCGAGATATTATAGCTCTCGACTACAAGCAACGTACCTGATCGGGAGTCCTGTCATGTCCGGGCCCAACTTGTTCCCATGCCGAGCTACGAAAACAACGTCAGTGCTGACGGTGTAGGTAAGGGGATAGGAGAGCACATACCTGCCGCCCCTAAAGTTCCTGAAAGCCTGCGTCATCTCCAGTGGCTCAACCACGATGCGCTTCTTCTCCTCATCGTATCGAATCTCCGTGTACCCAGTCATCGGGAAGTCCTTCCTCAGCGGGTGTCCATCAAACCCGTAATCCGTCATGATCCTCCTCAGATCCGGGTGGTTGACGAAGAAGACGCCGAAGAGATCGTACACCTCTCGCTCGTACCAGTTGGCGCCGTCATAGAGACTGCAGATACTGGGGACGGGGGTCGCTTCGTCGGCATACGTCTTAACCCTGATGCGCGAGTTGTGCCGGATGCTGAGCATGTTGTAGACCACCTCGAAGCGCTGGTCCTTGGTCGGGTAGTCGACAGCTGTGATGTCCGACACCTGAGTGAACTCAGCTGCGGTGTGGTATTTCAGGAAGCTGAAGACGGGTATGACGCCGGACGGCGGGATGAAGATGGTCAGCTCGTCTTTCCAGACGGAGAACCTGGGGGGTGTCAGCGAGGGCAATGCAGCCGTCGCAATGGCGAGTCTCGCTCACTGTTGGATGTATTTCGGCAGACATGACAGCAGGTACTGGCCGTATTTGTGGAGAGCTTCGGCCTTGGACTCGTACTTGTCGGCAGGATTGACAACGGGAACGTGCTTGATTCCTTGCGGCCCGCGTTGCGCGTGCTTGAGCTCAGGTCAGATATGGTAGCTGCCATGGCAGTGGTGGAGCTGACATACTCTTAGATTCGGGGTATCAGAGACATCCGAGACTACATCCTTGGCCCTCACAGCTGTGGTGGTAAAGGCGCGAGCGGCAGTAGAGCGGGCGCTCGAAGCTCCCACGGAGCGCAGGGCAGAGGCCGCCGACCGGCTGCTCGAGAGCCGCAGCGCCATTGGTGATAGCTCAATGGAGCTGGCGTTCGCCTCCCTAGAGAGTCGGTGTCGGGAGGCCTTGGTAGGGAGCTGGTGGCGTGTAATTGCGTGGCTCGACGTCGTTGCCCAAGGATCACTGCATCACTGCCGTCGACGGCATCACCATCTCGAAGCGGGTCACGTGAACAAGAAGAACAAGAGCTTGGCGCTGGCGAGAGCGAACTCCAAACCCTGTCTGCGCCTTCTGGCGCTTTCTGCTCGACCTGCTCTCACAACACCCTCTCGCCTTCTTGCCTTCTCTACTCAAGCTCTACCGCCCTTCACGCCTCCCTCCTCTCGCCCATCACCTCACCGCGCCTCCGCTGCTTTCCGGCTTGTTTCCTTTGCGCTGTCACGGCTGGCGTTGGATGTCTTCGACCGCTTCCCTTCTCTGTTCCGTGCTACCCATCCCCATCATCTCGCGCATAACCACTTGATACCCTCGTCACCCTCGGCACCTACTCCAACCACGCCACACTTGCCGCGCTCTATCGCATCGCGCAACCATGTCTCGCTCTCAGCTTGACCAGTTCATCGAGGATGATGGAGAGGAGACATGTCCGCTCTGCGTCGAGGACATGGACCCTCAGGACAGGAAATTCCGTCCATGTCCCTGCGGCTACCAGGTACGTCTGCCCTCGACTACCCACTGCAACCTCGAAGACACCGCTGACGGATGGGCAAACTAGATCTGCCAGTTCTGTTACAACAACATCAAGAACAACGTGAACGGGCTGTGTCCCGCGTGTCGGAGACCCTACGATGAAAAGAACATAGACTACACGCCTCCAAGCGCGGAAGAGTGAGCAGCAGCAAACACCGCTCTGTTTCGTCGAATGTATATGGATGTTGACGGAGAATAGGTTAGCGAATCACAAGGCCAATCTGCAAGCTCAAGCAAGGAAAAAAGCTGCAGCGCGACAGAAAGAAGCACAGAAGCGCGAGGCCGACAACTTGAGCCGAAAACATCTTGCTGGCTTGCGAGTCGTCCAGAAGAACCTCGTCTACGTGACTGGCCTAAGTCCAACCACGCGAGAAGACCGGCTGCTCGAGACGCTACGAGGCCCGCAGTATTTTGGGCAGTATGGTAAGATAGTCAAGATCGTCGTCAGCAATGCCAAACACACCTCCATGTCCCAGCCTGCTGTCGGGGTCTACGTCACGTTCGAGAACAAAGAAGACGCGGCGAAGTGCATCGCCGCAGTAGACGGATCCCAGAATGGCGAAAGGATACTGAGGTAGGCGTTTATATGATGGTCGCTAATACCTGTTGCTGATCCCGTTCGCAGGGCACAATATGGAACCACCAAGTACTGCTCGGCTTATCTGCGCAACGAAATCTGCAACAACCGAAACTGTATGTTCCTTCACGAGCCTGGTGAAGAGAACGAGAGCTTCACACGTCAAGACATGTCTTCCATCTCCGCGATATCTTCGCAACAGCCTGCGCAGGTGCATACCTCCTCCTCTAGACCTCTGCAACCTCAGGCGCCGCCGCCGCAACAAGCTCCGCATCCAATCGCCGCCGCTTCTCAGCCGATGGACAAGCAGGATAGCAAGGACGGTTCTGGCAGTCCTACAGATAGCCAGGGCGATGGCTCTGCGCTTCCATCGAGTGCTAGTTGGGGAAAGCAGGTTCAAGACCGACAAACGAGCCGTGCCGCAAGTGGTGCCACCAGTGGTACCACCGCGAGTCCCCAGACAACTGCTGCGGTACCAGCTCCGCAGCCGGCAGAGTCAAGCAAATCCCGATCGGAAGCGGCGCCCAAGGTTACTGAAAAGGATAAGGAAGCGAAAGCGGAAACCCCCAAATCATCAACGCCTCAGAGCCAGCTCACCGACACCCTCCCTGAGCCTCCTGCTGCAACGCAGAAGCTGTCCAGGCCACGGAAACCGCGGTTGCCTTATCTTGACGATGCGCTCAAAATCCTCTCCACAGCAGACTTTACGCCTTACTTCTCCGCTGCTAATCTTGATCCGGAGGACTTAGAGATTGTCACGAATTTCCCCTCACTTATCGACCCGAACGGTGGTGCGAAGCTAAGAGCCAGGAAGAATCGGGAAGCGGAGCGTCTTAGACAAGCAGCTGAGGCCCGGGACGCTCAACAAGCAGCTCTTACGGTGGAGACTGAGGAGGCTACGGAAGGCGCTGGTGGAAGCCTCCAGCTGGGTGGTGAGCCCGAGGAACGGCAAGATGTCGGCTTTAGCCAAAGCTTACAGCATGCGATTCAACCCCCTTCACAACAGCTACCAAACAGCACCAACCTCGGGCTGGGCCAGAACCTTTCGCTCGCCGATAATCTTGGTAACTTTGATCTGTACCGAGGGTTCACTCCGCAGCAGCAGCAACAGCAGCTCCTTTTGCAGCAGCTCCAGTCGGCAAGTCCTCAAAAGACCAATCTGCTCAATGCGTTCCAAGGCACCCAATCTCAACAAGCGCAACACGGCTCGAGTCACAACCAACAAGGCGGAAGCGCGCCAGGCCATGCGAGGCACACCTCTAGATTCACTTTCGCCAATGATACTGCGTCAGCTTCCGCGCAGGTCAAGCCGGTGGTCAATGCTAAGCTCATGAACCAGCAATCCTCCATGATGCCACAAAACAACAATCACTTCAATCCGCTTTCTCAACCCCAGCAGCTCGGTAACCAGTTCTTCAGCAGTGCTGTACAAGGGCCTCCGCCTGGACTCAAAACCACAGGCACACCACCTGTCAGCGGAGGCGGCATGTTCGGCCAAGGTCACGGCTTTGCGACAGGCAGTCTCGTGTACGGTGCCAATGCCGCGAGCAGGAATGCGAACGAAGAGATGATGCAGGATCTACTCCGCGGCCGAGCCGGCAACGCTCGCGTCGGCAATGCTCAAGAAGTTGGAAAGCGTGAGTCTATGTTTCCTTCCTTCCTCAATCACCACCCCATGACCTCCGCGTCTGGCACTGCCCCTGGGCTTCCCAGCTTCCCCTATGGACCTTCGCCTGGTGCATACCAGGACTCTGGTTCTCAAAAGCCGAAGAAAAAGGGGAAGAAGCACAGACATGCTAACACTTCCTCCTCTGGGGGAGGTGGAATAGTTGATGTTGCGGACCCGAGTATTTTGCAGGCGAGGTTGCATCAAGGCGGAGTCCTAGCGGGACAGGGATTGTATGGCGGGCAAGGTCAAGGTGGGTTCAGTTCAGTGTACGGCGGTGGCGGCTTCAACAATAGATGGTAGTCTTCTGCTCTGTGCTTCTCATTTCAAGACATGATGGCCATGTTTCCTTCTCTTTCAAAATACAAATCGGTGTTATATGGAGCCACAGGGGAGCATTGGCGCCTGCCTGAGATGTTGGCTTGGGCTGCCCTTGGCGTTTTCATCTGCATATTGGACTACCTGTACGGCGGCACGTTTCTTTCGGGTATCTGCATCCATCTGCACGATTCATTTTCGAGTCGTTCATTGTCAAGCTCATGGGCGGTGCGTCGTTACCTTCCTCAGGTCGGCTCCGCATACTCTTCTTCGTCGTCTTCGTCATGGCCATTACATGTATGTAAATTCCGTCAGCCATATCATCAGCGACGGCATCACTCACGATCTCCAAGTAGAGTCGATGGCCTTTCCACTTTCAGTCCTCTGTTTTTGGCTGTGACGAAGACGATGATGAGAGCTTGCGTGACCGGCGATGCCCATTTGTTGCGAGTCTTACTTTCGTCCCGGGCATCCTCATTTCATGCCCCAATATGTACCGCATGCGCACTCACTGCGAGCTGCGCTACCATCCCAGAGCTAGATTAAAGTACCCTGACTCTAGAGCACCGGACTGACATTAGAGTTTTCAGGCCCATCCGACTTCCACGTTCTGGAAGAGGCATCTCAGTCAGTAGATGCACTGGTCAACGAAGCTGACAGCGACGTCATGCGGAGCATATCTATCTCTGTCAATACACTCGACCCCCCGCGTAGAGCAACACCGACCATACCACCAGGCTTCGAGACTCCTGCTCAACTCATACAGCGAGGACCGGTATCTCGTCCAGAGTCTCGAGCTGGAGCGCCGCCGGGAACAGTACCGCTTGTGCCAATAGCCTCTACCACGTCATTTCCCGCTTTGTCGCCATCGAAGAGCAAAGCGGATATCAAAGAGGCTTCAACACTGGGCCGAACCGACAAGGTGGTACCGAAAACCTCAACTAAAGCAGAACCACAATTGGCACCCTCGGCTCGCCCCGTTTCAGTGACTGAAGAAAACTCAGTAGTCAACCACAAAAGCCCTGCAGTAGTGGCAAATCCTAATAAACCACAGCCTCCTCCCATTCCTAACCCACGCAGTGCGACAGCTACCCCTTCTGCTACGCCGACTAAGTCTCAAGTGCAAAGTAAGAAGGAGGGCAAGCAACAACCTCTAGGCAACAAGACAAATGAAATCAAGAATGACACTAAGACAGAGGACCAAAAAGTAGCTTCAAAACAGCAGATGAGGAAACCCACGGTAGTGGAATCTACAGCTGTTGCAAAGCCCGATGCCAAGGGCCCCAAGTCCGATGTCGCCGAAGTATCTAAGAAGGAAGACGTTTCACAGCCGGAGCCCACGACAGGGCCGAGCAAGCGGCAGCACCCAGGGAAATTAGACATCAATGCCGCAACGCAGAGCACGATAAAGGAGAGTGCATCAGACTCAGCCAAGGCAGATACGCCTGCCACAAAGGGTGCAGTCATGTCGGCCACACCCTCAGTCCTTTCACGACCTACGACTCCAGCAGCGATAGCTACCGGGTCACCGATGAAGCGTACAACGGCACCTCGGACGCTTCGCGTGCTACCCACGCCGACGCCGAAGACTGAGGCGCCGCCTCCACTGTCCTCCGCCTCTGCTCAACAGCCCCCTTTGCCGGCCGTGATATCGACAAGGCTGCCTTCCCGACAACCGAGTATTGCGTCCGTCAACCTGCCCGGCACGCCCGCGAGCGAGCTAATCTCAGATAACGCGTCAGTCACTTCTGCTTCAGTCTCTCGTGCGAGCTCGCCTCCGCCCATGCTAGGAGGGAGAGTTGGCTCAGCGCCCATCAGGAAGAAGACAAAAAGCCAAGCGAAGAAAGATCGGCAAGAACGGGCAAAACAGATTCAAGAAGAGAAAGACAAAGAGCTCGCCGAAACTGCTGAGACTCCGGTTGAAGAGGAAGTAGAGCACGCGCCGATCATAGGCCGCAAGAAGAAGGCTAAGAAGCCTGCAACGAGCCGAGGTGGAACGGCGACCAACACACCAGATATCAGCCGACCAGCTTCGCCAGGTCTTGTAGAGAGGGACGAGGGACTCCTAGAGACCACAGAGAAGGCTACAACTGAGCTGCCTACACCTCCTCCCGCTAAGGTCGCTCTTAGAAAGGAGTCGCCCGCGAAGGAAGCGCCTCCAGTAGCCACGGAGGACAAGGACAGGCCCGCCGAGAAATCAGTCCAGACAGCCGCCTCCGTCTTGACATCTCTCCAAGCCTCAGGCGAACTGCTGGCTGCAACCGTAGAAGCCATGTTCAAGACCCCCGTCGCCGGTGTCCTCCAATCCTCGCCCCAGCGCCGACCACCCGGCCCATCCGGTCGTGACAGTAACGCCCACAACAACGTAAACCTCCTAGCCAGCTTCGCCGAGCCCATGCCTCCACTATCCGAACCCGACATGGTCCGCCTCGCCGCCGGTATCCCCGTCCGTCTCAACCAAAAAGGCCCACGAAGTCTCCGCACCCTTATAACCCCGGGCGGCAAAATCCTACGCGCCCTAAGCGAGGACGAAGAAAACCGGTTCTTGGAGCTCGAGCGTAGTGTCAAAGCCTCAATCCACGACATCGGCCACTTCAACCCCTCCTCCCGGAACGGTGGCGATCCGCTCAATGTAGCGCTGGACAAAGCATCCCGACATCCTCGCGGTTTCAGCGCCGCCGTCGAATCCCTCGCTTCCGCTCTCGGTGACGCCGCGCTCGGCTTCGGCGGCGACGCAGACAAGCGCCGCGATAACGCTGCTCTGGCGCAGGCGGCGCTCGACCAGGCGACGGCCAACAAGTTCGAGGATGATGCAATGGCGTATGTGAACCAGTTCGTGCTGCCCACACTGCCGAGTCAGGCGCCGCCCACCTCCTCCGTACGGGCTGACAACCCCGTTCTTCCGCCTGTGGGGGGAGTTGCGAGTGGTGGGTACCATGCACCGGCTGCGGCGGATAACGGCGCAGGGCAGAGTGCCTTTCTGGACCAGGCGGGCTTCGGGCTGCAGGTTAGTGTTGCGGGGCAGGGGGAGGGCCACTGGGGTGGGGGGCCAGTGTTGAGTGTGGCTGAGGCGGAGGCGGCGCTGGGGGGTAGCAGGAGGGAGGCGGAGAAGTTGGAGAAGCAGCTTAATGCGCTTATTAAGAAGAACCGGCGGTTGGTTTTTGGGGGACATTGAGGTGGGTTGGTATGGGGGGTAACAGGTTTGGGTTTGGGTTGTGTCGTTCGCTACTCTGGCCTTCTAGATATGGCGGTGTTTGACGTGGCATCGCGGGATTTGCGGTGTGTCTACGGCATTGCGGCTAAGTAGCGTAGGAGATCACGATCGCTTCATGAGTATACACTCTCCCCAGCTGTTATTGTGTTTCTACATGTACTCATACCGATCCTTCCCAGCATTCTGGGTTTGCATAGGCCTACTATTGAATATTCTCGCTTGACTTCAACAGTGACAGTCCATGCTCTACTATCGCCAGCGCTAGCCACTCCTCCCATTTGCCCACATCCGCCATATGGAGATATGTAACGATTAATCTTCGGTCCTCCATATCCAACTCATCAAAAACTGAAAGCCCTGTTTAGTCTCGTGTTGGCGATCTTAGGGGTGCGCTGGCCCACATTACGAGATGTGATGGACACGGCGGTGTTTGTCTATCTGTTGGCCTCTGGTGGGTGACTTTATAGCCAGCGCTGATGCAGAAGGACAGGTGTTGCATATCTCCGCGGCGAACGAAACTCTGTCTGTTGGTGTAGGATAGGTATTGTGCACAACGCGCTCTCACAACGGTTACTGTAGTGTTGGCGGAGCACGCGAATGCGTTGTGGCTCCTGACTAGGATGTACTTTCAAGCACTGGCGGCGCGAGACTCTACATTCGAATCCTGCGTCTGTAGAGAACGGCAATCGTCACAGCCATTTGGTTCTGCAGGCCCTAAGTGAAGCATCTGAGCTCTCACTTTGCGCTTCTAGACAGAACTGCGGGGTGCTAATCAGATTCTGCGACCAGACGCAGATCAGTATTCAGACACGCCACGCACCACGTTTCCTTAACCGGATGACCAGAGTCATTGCCACAAACAGCTCCGGTGCCAGGTCCGGCACACTCAGCAACCGTCCGGACGAGAACAGGCCTTCACACAAACGGACGTGGTGGTTCAAGATTGAGCTCAGGCGGAAGCGCAGCCTTTCCTGGGGGCATATACTAACTGAAAGTCGCTTTGGTTTCTACATCCACGAAGATGCTGAAGTCTACTCAATGTCAGACTCGGTTCCTTTATGTCGCCATCGGGATCATTGATAGCAACCTAGGGGTCGGCACTAGAACTGTCGCGATAATGAATACGAGACGTGAATGATCTGTTCACAAACACGACGTGAGCGTCTGAGCCTGAAAGTTGCACGTGTTTCCAGTCGTTTCCTTCACGCATACACCCCAGCTGTGTGAATTGAAAGCACAAATCTCTTCTCATATAAGATGTTCAATCGCCACTCTGCCTTTTCCAGTCACAAAACGACTTTTCTGGCCATCGTCCGTCTCCTCCCAAGAACCATCATGGAAGCCTCAGATCTTGCTGTGACCATGGCAGATAGCCGCAAACGCGTAGAATTCTTCTGCAACGAACCTCGTTGGGTTCATGCTGTCTTTCTGCGGCCGGGCGATACCAGGAAGGAGGTGATAAGAGCCTGCTCACATGTCTACAGTCCTGCTGCGGACCAGGAACTGGTTTTCGAGCACGAGAGCGGCGAACCGGTGGAACCATCGTACGACAATCTCGCCCATCTTGCCATCATCCGTGTCCGGGTAGTCCGTCGGCGTGAACCTCCTGCGGAGAGACCAGAGGTGAGTTTGCTTCCTGGTAGCGGATGCGATCTTACCATGAGCGACTATCCAGCCAGATTCATGGATTTCTGAATTCATCACTAACCATCTGGCAGCCTCAGTACAATGACGGAGATGTGTTCCTGCACGACGAATATGTGATCAATATGATCGTGCCGCCAACCGACAGGACAGAAAGCCCGCTGATGACACCAAAGATGGGCTCTGCTCTCCAGCGTATCAAGGACCTCTGGGGTTGTGCTCCCCACAATGCTCTCCCAGACGATGTTCTCAGCCCCCAGGTGTGGACTGCAGAGCTCCTCTGTATGACGGTTAAACTGGCGGAGGTCACGGCCGGTAACTTTACAATGGCACGAGGTCCCCTCCGCGATGCATACAACGAGAGGCAGCAAGCGGGCTATACAGAGGTGACACCAGAACTCTCCATTGCCGACGTCCAGAAGGCTATTAACCTGATCTTCACGGAGAAGAATACGATTGATGTGCCTCGGCAGTTATCGGTGACACGCGACGACGCCGCAGAGCTGTTCGATGAATTGAGCTACAACGACAGCGAAAATATGATAAGCTGGCAGGTTGCCATGCAAGGCAACTGGAAGTGTTCCCTTCAATCCTTTGGGGAGCTGCCGGGCCAGGTGGCGCCAGCCGGCTACGTCCCTTGTCTTCCACAAACGATCCGGCCTCGATTTTCACCATCTTACACGATGGCCGGCAGACTCACTGATATGGCAAAGATCGACGAACCCGACGACCGTGGCCTTGTGGCAATGTTCGATTGGACTCCTCGGTTCACTCACACGCTTGCTATTCTGTCCCGGCTCTTGAAGGGTTACCACGCCTATGCGGTACTGCGCTTGGAACGGACGGTCCAGCGGCGCCAAGATGAACGTCACCGGAAGCCGTGGATGAGACATCGGGTGAGGGAATTAATGGCCGATGACATCGAAGAGCTTATGAAGGAGCTCTGTGCCGAAGCTGACGATCCGGATGACGGCTTTCTGGAACGGCCACGGCGCAGCCAATCCTCCTATCAGTAACTTCAGAGACAAACTAAGAGCAAGAGATGTGAGCCCTAAAGTGCTTCAAGAGGTTGACGGATTGATCGATTGATGATGAAGATAGACAAAAGTCACGGCGTTCAGGGCATGCTGCGAGGCTCTGGCACGCATCGGTAATGAGGAAAGGCTTTGCGGAATGGATGCAGGATTCAATCCCTACTGTTAAATGAACTCATCCTGCTTTGATCTGTTGTAAGCGTGCGAGCTTTGCAACAGCGACTGACCAGTCGCTGCACCACCGTCTTGGTGACCATAAAGGAAAACCTGACGTGAAGAGCCATAACACATGCTGTGTAATTGATGCTTACTTGTTTTTCGTGCATGCCCCCGACGGAGCTCGATAATAGAGCGGGATCACAGCATATCTGTACTTATACTGCTGTTGATGGAACGGGGGATGTGCCAGGATCACTTTGTCGATGCGTCACAGGGCGACGTGCTGGTTTCGGCGGACGGCTGCATGCTCATCGCCGTCTCTAGATATACTATTGACGCCGAAAGCATCTTGAGTGATCGGCACCGCATCCAGTAGCCCACTGTCCCACTTTCTTGATACGGTCTCAATCCCACGCTTGCGAGCGCTTGAGTTTATCACCCGGAATGAAAGACGTAAAAGGTGGTATGCAATTGGGTCGGCACGTCTGTAACATGGCAGTGACGACCTCCCGATGCTGTAGTTAGCATGCTTAGTAGTCGCATGAGTTGCTGTGGAGATACTCCGCAATCCAAGTCGGCAAAGACTTAATACCCAGTGTACCTGGTAATGGGCAATGCCAGGTGAGCGCGCTGGAACGGTTGCAATAAGGTTTCGGTGGGCTGATGTCAAACCCGGGAGCGGGGACAAGCGCCTCGAGGATCTACACAAGGGTATAGCACAGATGTATCAACGAAAGCAAATAACGGAGTGGTGTTGCAAGATATCATGCGCAGTCATGGTTTTCTATCTAAGATACATATGAACAACCAGATTAGCGAGTGTTCAGGAGATAAGTTCCGAGACAGATCCTCTTTGGGTATATAACGCCATGCAAATGCTGTAACCCCTGCATACTCTACGCTGTGCAAAACAAACAAAACGCCATCAGTCAGAGTCATAATTGACAAGGCACGACTGCTTGGTTGTAACAGCCGGGGTCTTATCAGGCGGTGTTGTAGCCTTCGCTTCCCCTGTAACCGAGTCCTCGGAACCATGGCCAATGCCAGATAGTCGCTTTCTCTTCAGCCCAGCGATCACAGGACTTCCGAAGTTTGCGGGACTTGAAAGATTGCTGTGAGACAAGAATGGGTCTATGGCCGCCCTCGTGTTGCTGTTGAGCTCTTGCTGCAGCAATTGTCGTCTGCGATCGGCTTCCCTCTCGACCCTGGTCTGCTTCTTTCCGTTCAAGCTGTTCTTGTCAACAAGGGGCAGCCCACTGGCGAAGAGGGGTTTTGCGGCGGCTTTTGCAACATCGCTGGCCCCGCTGCCCATATCACCGAATTCGACAAGCCCGGCCCTTCTCCTATCCGCTTCAGTTTCCTCGAGAAGCTCAATACCTAAACTCATCTTATCCCGAAGCATCTCCGTCGCTTCCGCCTTGCGCGCGCGGACCTTCCTCTCCGCACGAAATGTATTGCGCAACCTTCGGCTCGCCACATAAGGATCCTCCCAATCTTTGTCTTTCAGACTCTTCAGCTCCTCTATGCGATCCCTGTCCACCTTCGCCTGCTCTCTCTCCGCCACCTTCCCCTCCAGTGCCGCAAATGCATCCCTCCTCCTCCTCTCCCTCTCCTCCTCCGTCAATATCACCCCAACACCTCCCTCCTGGCCCTCGTCCCCCTTCTCAACCCCATAATCCCTCCTCTTCGCCCCCTCCGTAACAACATACTCCGCATTCCTCGGATCCGTTCTGACCTCAATAACGCCCCCACACGCGGCATGCTTCATGCGAAACGCCCATATGGGCGTGCTGTGGTAGTTCCCGACCTTCTTCTTCTCGGCATTAAAGCGGACGCCCTGCGCGATGATCGTGGGTTTGGGGCATGTGCAGCACCAGATGTGGAACGGCATCTCGAAGCGCACGGTCAGGATGCCTTGGGAGATGTGGCGCGCGCGGGACCCGAGGGCATGTTTGCCGGAGACTTGGTTTGCGGACTTGAGACCTTCGTATTCGGGGGGGACGTAGCGGCCCATGTTGAAGCCTTGCATTTCGGCGGTGGGGGTGAAAAATTGCCGCGCTTTGCCAGATGGGAGCTGCGGAGGGTGGAAACTTGGCGGATGTTATCGGTTGTTGAGACTTGTCTTCGTAAGCGATGCGGAGGAGGTCTCCATGTAAGTCTGCGGTGATATCGAGACTGAGTGTTTGATAGTTCTATGTATGAAGATCGCCGTTTCGGTGATTGTGGATGGTTGCTGCGTGGGGCGGATGTTCCCGACGCTTGTCCCCGCGGAGTGCTGCGAGCTCAGGTGGAGCTCCGTCAACACCACCACGACGATCACTGTGATCCTCCCACTCACGTCCCGCATATCGCCCGTCGCTGATAAACATATTCGTGATGGATGTGGCATATGATCACATCCAAGAAGAAGCTTTCCCCGACGACCCTGAGGGAAAGCGCAACGACAATGAACCAAAGTCACCTTCTCTAAACACCGAGTTTCAGGAAGCATACAAAGCGTTCTCTAGCAGTCCATGGGGCACGCGGCTAGGCGGGTTCTTCGGCACGGTGAAGAAGCAGGTACGCATCCATTCACGGCGTTCCTTCGGCCCTCTTAGCGGCGTTAGAGACGGACAACTTAATGCTCATAGTGTATGTAGGGAGAGAGTTACTATGAAGAAGCCCAGAAGGAACTGGGAGCCGCTAGCAAGACCGCGACAAAAGGCCTGAGCGAGCTCCAATCCACCCTCCTGAGCCGTACCCGCGCTCTATCAATAAGCCAAACAACTCCCAGCGCTTCCACCACAGACGCCAGCTCCGCAGGCAACGAAGCCTCGAGCTCCAAACAAGCCGACGCATCCGCAGAGCCCCACCCCGACAGACCCGAGTCCCTCCCCGCGGACATTGTCAAAGAAGCCGAAACCCTAATCTCGCGCTTCCGCTCCGAAGCCGCGAAGCGGCTGAAGGACATCGAGAAAGCCGAAGACGCCGCCGACGAGGCTTTGCTAAAATTCGGTTCCAACATTCGGAACTTCCTGCGGGACGCCGTGACCATCGCGCCGCCGACCTCGCCTTCCGATACGCAGACGGGTGATGGCAGCACCGGCAAGAGTCGCGAGGTGCTATTCGAGAGCACAGATGCGGCTGGGAAGCGCGTCATACATACAACGCGCTTCGATGCGCAGTTGCACGTCATACACACGCGGCTGGAGAGTTTTGAGAGGGACCCTGATAGTCCGGAGTGGGAGGGGTGGGTCAGGGAGTTTGATGTTGGGGAGAAGACGGAGGAAATTGCGAGGGATTTGGAGCGGTTTGAGGAGTTGAGACGGGCGATGGAGAGGCTGGTGCCGGAGGTGGTGGAGTATAGGGAATTTTGGAAACGGTATTACTTTTTGAGGCATGTGGTTGAGGAGGATGAGAGGAGGAGGAAGGAGATGTTGAAAGGTGAGAGTTTCGATCACCAGAGCTATAATTGGTTGGGTCTCTGACAAAATTGCTAGGTGCCGCAGCCCTGCCTGAAGAGGAAGAGGTCGCATGGAGCGAAGACTCTGACTCCGAGTCCGAGTCTGAATCTACTACGCCGAACCCAGTCTCATCCTCCAAGGAAACACTCAAGCCTGTGGTGCCAGAGGCTGAACCAGGAACGAAAGATGACAATGACCGGCTCAAACCGGCCGAGCCGCGTCGGTCGAACGACCAGCACTCAACAGCTGATAGCGATGCGAGCTACGACATCGTCAGTGGAGCCGTTAGCGGAGCCACCAGCCGAGCGCCAGGGAGTCCGAAAGAGGAGAAGAAGGAGAAGCCGGTGCAGGAGGAGAGTGACGAAGAAGATTGGGAATAAGGGCACCTGACTTTGATTCCGGCGTTCCTGACGGGTTTTTAGGTGTTGACGGTACGGGTCAGCGGCACAAGTTATGTATTGCGGTTCAAACAACTAGGAGTTGTCCTTGCCTGATCCAAGGGTTAGCTACAGTATGAAAAGGCGCGACCTTCGCCCGCGGGTTTTTCTGTATAACTCCGCTATCGTCCTGGACTGAGTAGTGAGCATAATCGCACAGATAGCGATGGAGATGGACATAGTGAGAGAGACGGAAACCGGGACTTATGATTATCGAAGCGACCCTCCCTTGCAAGCAAGGTTACAGAAGTCCTGGGACAATTTTGGCGCGTCGCCTCACGAAAAGGTGTCCCACGACTTCTGCAACCTTGCTTGTTTGGCGTTCCCTCGAGCAGGGAAAGAACTGAAGCCCTTCTATAGCTGACCTCTGCGAACAACAAAATCTGATAATCAACGGCCTTACCTTCGCAGATGCCTTTTCGACGAATATGACAAACAGTCAGGTCCGGGGACTCAAGTTGCTGTTACTGGGTAGATAGTTATATACGCGCTTCCCTGATCCACCTGAATTCCTCACTGACGGAGGAAACCAGATGGCGGCGACATCCGAGGCGTCAGTGAGCTCTTAATCCTCCAGGAGTTAATGTTAAAACTTCGAGGGTTTCGAACTCTAGACATTGTTCCTATACCTGCTGAAGTCTTTGACCTTATTGGCAGCACAAGCACTGGTGGCTTGATTGCCTTATGAGTATGAGCGAGAGGCTACTGTTAGGTCGCAAGCCCTTGCCTATCTCAAGACCGGGCGGCTTGATGGTCTAAAGATGCATCGAGAACGCTATCGGTCCGCTACAGATTGGAATCAGTGGAGAATTATGTGCATGGAGTAAGGAGTGCCACAACGGCAGCTTCTGATAAAGCAGAGCATAGGCAGTGTGTGATTGAACTATTTCGTACGAGCAAATGGCTACCCGTTCAGGTACTAACGTTCGTCTAAATGGTAGATAAACGCCCTTCCAGCACACACCATGCAATGACCCAACCTCCTCATCGTGTCATAACGCTTTTAGTTCGCGGCCCCCGGCTCCGTAATCAGCTTCGTAATCTTCCCAATCGCAATAGTCTGGCCCTGATCTCTAAGCGTGAACCGGCCCAACTGCGGATAATCCTCAAACCTCTCAACACAGACACTGCCCGCGCCTCCAATAACCTCCAGCCGCGCAATAATACTCATGCCCTTTGTCGCGAACCCGGGGGCCTTCTTGCTCTTCCGCCCTGTCCCCTTCTCAAGCTTGTGCAACAGGGCTGCGAAGGTGACTTCTTCCTGCGCGCAATGCACGTGCATGACGCAGTTGAATCCAGCGCTGAGGATGGACTTGAGATCTAGTAGCACGATTTGCGCTTCGAAGGTTGAGACGCAGTGGACCGGCCTCTTCGGGCTGCAGAGCACGAAGCCGGGCATGATATCCTCCTCCTCGACGCCCCTGAGGCGGATGCGCACCTGGTCTCCGCAGGTCGCGGCGTTGATCTCCTCCTCCGTCTCGCCGTAGAGCGCTGAGATGCCGACGGTGTCCCGGTTAGGCATCATGAGGTAGTTGAGCCCCTTTTTGATGACGCCGGATTCGATCTTGCCCTCGATCATGGTGCCCATGTCGCGGTACTTGGCTGAGATGGGCATCATGAAGGGGGCGTTGACTTTGCGCTCGAGGGTCTGCATGCTGTCCAGGTACTCTAAGAGAGAGGGGCCGTCGTGCCATGGGGCCAGGCTCTTGGGGACGCGGTCTTTGATGCCAACGGTTGTTTGGGCGGAGATGGGCATGTATTCGATGTCTGAGAACGGTTAGCCTGTGCATTTTGTCGAGCTTCGTAGAGAAGCTGCCGGACTTACCAGTTTTGGGATTGTAGCCAACGCCTTTTAAAAACACACCAAGCTTGGTGATGCACTCCTTGTACCGTTCCTGGCTCCATTCGACTGTAGGGTCATCCATCTTGTTTACAGCGACAACCAGCTTGTTGACGCCCTGGGTCTTGGCGAGCATCGCGTGCTCTCTCGTCTGGCCGCCCTTTTCGAACCCAGTCTCATACTCACCCTTTCGCGCTGAGATGACAAGGACACCGACATCGGCCTGGGACGCTCCTCCAATCATGTTTGGCACGAATGTCTTGTGGCCAGGCGCATCGAGGATGCTGTACCGTCGCTTCTCCGTCTCGAAGAAGCCCCTTCCCACCTCCACGGTCTTTCCCTTTGACCTCTCCTCTTTCGTCAAATCCAAAGCCCAGGACAGATACCATGTCTCTCGCCCGGCTTCTTTGGCTTCCCTCTTGTACTTCTCCATCGTCCGCTCGTCCACCATGCCGGTCGCGTACAAGATACTGCCGCCCAGCGTCGACTTGCCCGCATCGACGTGCCCCAGGAAGATGACGTTCACGTGCTCCTTCCCGTACATCTCCGCCAGCGTCTCCTCGTCCACATCTGCCGCCTGCTCTTTTATCACAGCATCGGCTTCTCGCGCCTCTGCCTTCTTGTCTGCTCGGCTAGGGCTGCTCCGCCCTGAAGATGGTGACGCCTCCGCATTGCCTGGCGCTGCCGCTGCGCCTGTGGGTTCGCCGGTCTTCTCGATTGCTTTCGCCGCCGTCAGCTTTGCGCCAGCTGCAGGTGCTTCTTTGTCGACACTCTCCTTTGCTGAGGGTGGTGGGGCTTCTTCGGGGGGCTTTATCGGCGTCCCTATGCTCAGAACTTTCGTCGCGCCCGTCTTCTCTACTTTCGGTGCGTCGCCGCTTATTGAGAGGACTTTCGCTTTGGGTGCTGCGGCTGTGTCGCCGCCGATGGTGAGGACCTTGGCTTTGGGTGCGGGTGCCTGACGGGCATTAGTAGAGCGGGGTGGGCTGCTGATCGAGGACTCGACCTACGTTGCTAGTTTGCGCGGGCGGTTGAGGCGATTCGGGCTTCTCTAGTGATTGTCCTCGCTTCGCGATGACTGGAGTCTGGCGTTGCTGCTGCTGCTGTTGCGGTTGCTGAGGCTGCTGGTAGCCTTGTTGCTGATAGCCACCGTACTGCTGCTGCCCATATTGATCATAGCCTTGCTGGCCATAACCCCCTTGTCCGTAACCGGCTTGCCCGTACTGGCCATAACCCTGCGGGGCATACTGCTGATAGCCTCCGTAGCCTTGTTGAGCGTATTGCGGATAGGTGCCAGGCTGCTGGTATTGGCCGTACGACTGATATTGCTGGCCAGGTGTGAATGCGTGTGCGCCGGGTTGGAAGCTGTTGGCGCCTGGCTGGAATGCGTTTGCTCGCGCGTTTCCGAGGTTGAGGTTGCGTGCTTGCTGAGCGAGGTTGTCGTCTTGTGCGTCCTTGTCGTCCTCCCACGAATTAAGGTCCGCCATTGTGTGGTATTGATTTTTGTGGTGAGGATGTGGGGGAGGTGGTCGTTTCGAGGCGGCTCTTAAAGGCTCGTGATTATGTTGTGACTCAGTTACACAGGCCGACAACAGAGAAGAGCGAATAGCAGGGCGTTGAGAGGATGAGTGTTCGAGTGGCTGTAGAAGGAGTTCAAACACTTCCAAAGCTTCTTCGATGCGCCTTTTCGGTTCTCGACTCGACGTGGGGCAACTCAGCGTGGGATCGACTGCAGGTGCACAACTTTTGTGAATGATGCGCTAAGCCCAATACATTTAGCGCAGCGTGTGCATTATCACGGGCAGGTTGCAGCAGCAGCGACATCCAACACAGCCGTCAACACCAGTCGCGTCTTTTGATCCAAATCCTGGGCGGTCTTTGACAGAAGGCCTACTCGAAAAGGATGGAACTGTCCGAGGGCGCGTTAATAACGTAACAAAATCTAAAAATCATCAAGGGCGCGCACTCAGTCCTTGGGAACTTTCCTGCAGTGTTTGCCTAGGCGCGTCCTGAAGAAATCTCGTTATAGATTCATCTGTCCGTTCACGCTGGACCTACAACTGTTCGCACAGCTAACACTCAGTCTGCTTGAAGAGCTACTGCCAAAGATGGATATCCTTCTCTCAAAAGTCACCCAGCAGGCTATGAACTATGCTATCCGCTCGGGAGTCACCATCACTGCTGGCTACGCAATCCGGCAATGTTCGCGACTGGCGAAGAACGTCAAGGGCACTGAGAAGGAAGAGCTTGCTTCGCTACAGTTGCGGTTAGAGAGCAAAATCAGGATCATCTCTCCAGCCATTGATATGATCGAGCTGATAGCAGCACGTGGCAACACATCGCTAGAGTCAGCGGTAACTCTGACGAAAGCCCTACGATGGGACATTCAGTCGTTGGGGATTCGCCTCGCGAAAGCCGCAAGCGAAGAAGAGCTTGCTCGTCGGGGCAGCTCCAAGGCAAAGTCTAAGGAACAAAACGTCCTTGAGTTCAAACTCATCATCTCCGACATCAAGAGGCTCCTTGAACGGATAGAGGATGCGGTTCCGCTCATCAATCTTGCTATCACTACATCCGGGGTTAGTCTTTCAACAACCATGCCAGCTACAGTTTCTCCGTCCAGGCTACTGCAAGCTAGTACATTTCTCACAGCTGGGGACACTCAATATGCCATGGCGCATTCTCGGGCGGTACAGATAGGTCCTACCTTTACTCTGTCGATATACATGCTCTTTGGCGGGCACGCCTACCGACCTCATGACGAGGAAGGCATTCGAGAGACGACCTGGAAGGAGGTCATTCACAAGGCCCGCGTTAAACTGATCCGTATCCCGCTCAACAAAGTGTATGATTACCCATCAGGCAACGCTACGCCACCGATACGTAGCTTCAACGATGTCGGCGATCTCAACGGGTCCCACACCCCGCCCCTTATTCCGGCGGAAGGTAAGGCACACGAGTTCGCTTATCAACTGCTCATCATCGAAGACTTGAACGATGATCGCGTGCACACTTTCGAAGAGGGCGAGGCCCAGCCAGGCCCTTTCGAAGACGTGGCTACTGCAGGCATACGCGAGGTTGTCCCCATTCATGAGGTCTCGAAGATTTTCTACGCCGACACAGGCAGGATCCTTAACATAGGGACTGATGGCGAGACAAACAATCCGATTCTCTTGCTGAAACGCGATGTCAACGCAGCACCTCCTCGCCGGATGATGGAGAGGCAGCCAAGCGAGCAGTGCTGGCAGCAAGATGATGTTGACCAAGCAGGCGGTCCCTCTGTGTCAGACATTCCTGATGAGCACTCCGAGGTCGAGGCGCAGTTACGCAGAGAGTCTTCGGTACCGCCGCCACAAAAATCTGAGCCGATACCACCAGTATCACACGCCTGGCGATTTCCTCCAGATCTTGATCCAGAGTGGCTTGCCTTTGAGGTGTACACCGAAGCTCCAGACTCCGATGAGGAAGACGAGGAAGAAGAAAGCGATGTTCAACTCGAATCATCATCGCTGCAGGCCCCAACACAGCCGCCTCATACACAATCCCTTGCCTCCGCCTTTTCAAATCTTACCCTTCGCGGTTCTTCACCAGACAAGGCATTCTCCTCACCACAGCCAAATGCACATAACCAGCTTATACCAAGCCCCCAGAAGCCGTCGGTGCCGGCAAAATCACCGTCACCGCAGCCTACAATAGCCGCTGTTCCGGCTCTCAAGACGTCCCTGTCACTACTTGAGATGTTGATTCGTCTGACCGCTCTACAGCAGTTTCAGCAGTCGTCACATCTTGCCATTCCTGACGAACTCCTTACCTTTTTCCTTTCCGAGTCTTCGTCAACCGGCGCAGGTGGTGATGCTGAGAGGCGGCGGCGAGTGAGGAGTGACGCAAGACGACGAGTCGGATTTGACCCCTACGAGGAGAGTCCGCTGAAGTGGCGGGGAGAGGAGTATTATCAGGGCCCAGCTGCAGAGGTGAGTGATGAGCGTTCACTCCGTCTTCCTAATTTCGAATAACTCCTTTATACGCCAGCTATTGCCGGCCAGATAGCGCTGACTTTCAGACTAGCCCACACACGGCCAAGGTCTCGCGAGGCAAGACGGCCGATTCATGACCCCATCTAGCTATCGGCAAGGCGTAACCCCCGGCTATCAGGATTACTACGAGGAAGATGAATACGAGTATGACGAGGGCTGGGCAGGCGCAGAACCATCCCCCAACAATCTCCGCTCCATCCGCTCACCGCCAACCCCGCGATTATCAGGACCAACCCTCCAGAATGGCCTAACGCCCTCATCTCCATCCCCATCCTACTTTGGCAACCACGACATGCCGCCACCTCGACACTCACGGCATGGCACTCCAACCACAGATCCCCGCCGTCGCGTGCACTACACACAAACTCCGCCGCCTACGGACAGACGGCAGATGAATCCGTTGGCGAAGTCGGGTTCGCAGCCTGCGACGCCGCCGCTGACGTTAAAGACTAGACAGGGGGTTATGCGGAGAGAGAGTTCTAAGGCGGGGGGCGTGAGTCTGCCGAAGAGCGTGTCGAGTCCGCTGGGGAGGGAGATGAGTGTGGTGCAGAGCGTAGAGACAGAGCCCGAGGCGGGCTGAGGTTTGGGGCATGGCTGGGAAAGAGGCATAAGCGGACAAGAGAAACCGCGTCCGGGAGACAGCGGCTGTGCTCGCAATCACTGAAGGTTATGCTGGTGGCCGACGGTGGTAAAGCAAGGCTTATGAGGTGATTATCACTACGGAAGACCGCGCAACTACAAAGGTTGGAGGCGTTGCGTGGTGGGTTCGCGTACTGTCATGACCCAAACCAACAGCGCCAAGATGAACTAGACTGGCTTTTGACTCCTTACACATTGTCGAGAGGCGTTCTCAGCTCCGTGCTAGATCAGGACCGCACCGATAAACAGTCACGTCACGAATCCATCCATGGTTGAGCATGCTCATGGTCGTGAGCGATATGTCCCTGTAAAGGGGAGCGTCCATAATTGTATATTACACCACCAGCTCGACCATTGGTAGTATGTTTACGACTTGGCAAAGCTTTTATAACATCGACTTTTTCAGCGGACCCGTCGCCTTCATTATACACGCAGTTTTCATCCTAAGCTCGCCTCTCTCAGCTCACAGCTCCTCCCTCGCAGTAACAAACCTCTCCACACCCGGCCTCTCAAGCCTATCCTCCCTCCTCTCAGCTCGTCCGCCACCACCTAAACCATGCTCCCCTACCCTTATCTCGCCACCCAAACCATCCCCCACAGCCGCCGCGTCTCCATCACCCAAGCTCACACTATCCAGCGTAACCGTGCTAGCATTGAGCCTCCTCCATCCACCCCCTTCATCCTCTCCCTCCACTTTCAGCTTAAATGGATACGCCACCCCCGCCCGCGTCGGCCTCGTTGAACGTGTCTCCGTGGCCGGAACAACGGTACCTACAGCGTCCTCGCTGCCCACATCGACTTCGAGCGCGGACGCTGGGTCCGCCACGCCGGGTCCGAGACCTCGGCTGTCGGCTGGTAAGGCAGAAGCGGGTTCTTGCGGATGAGGTTGGGGTTGGGTGGGAAGGTAGCGCGGGTCGATGGAGGGGCGGGCCTGGCCTTCGTCGGTTACGGAGCGGTGGCGCGAGCGGGGCTGGTCGGGGGGTTGGAGCGTTGAGCGGCGGGGGCGACGTGAGGATGTTGAGAGGCGGCGAGGGGTAATTGAGAGGTGGCGGGAAGAGAGACGGCGCGCAGATTTCTCCTCGGGGTTGGGGTCCACGTCTTGGGTGTCGGCACGCTCTTCGCGGGCGATCTGGTGGGGGTGAGGTTAGTTTGGAATACTGCGAATCCTCGGGAGACAGTTCCTCGTGAGGGGCCCGTCTAGTGTAACACACGGGAAAATACTCACAGTCTTGACATCGTGCTTACTCCCCCACAAACTCCAAAGACTCATCCCCCAGCTCCTCTTCACCCTCCGCTCCGTATCCTTCCCCTCCTTCAGCCGCCTCCCCGCCAGTGCAGTCGCCGGCACCATCTCTCCCTCAAATCGCTCATACCCCTTCCTCAGCTCCTCCACCCGCTGCCGCTGTACCGCGCGCTTCTCCTTGGCGAAGCGCGTGTTGAAGCGCTGCTGCGCGGCCATCCACTTGCGCGTCGGGCCCTCCTTGACGACGCCAATCTCTGCGGGTGGGACGCGCAGCGCGCCGAGCGTGGAGGCTGGTTCGAGCGGATAGACGTGGCCGTGGCGGTCGACGCGTTGGCGGATCATGTGGGCTGTGAAGGGGGGGAGGGGGTCGCCTGCTTTGCCGACGACGAAGTTAGGGAGGGGGCGTGCGGTGGATGGGGTGGTGAAGATTAGTGCGGGTTTTGGTGCGGGTCTGGGCTTGGGCTTCGAGACGTTTTCGGAGGAGGACTGCGAGGAGGGGCTGGGCGTCGGGGTGGATGAGGAGCGTTCGCTGACGATGGATATGGAGTCGTCGTCGAGGATGTCGATTGCTGTCTGCTGGGCACGGGCTAGACACCAGGCACCGAACTGGGCGGCGGCGCGGTACATGTGCTTCGCTGGGCGGGTCCAGGATAGGGTGACTGCGACATGGCAGAGATCATCCCACACTTGCAGTTGGACATCTGTAGGAGGATATTGGGTAACTTGACTAGGGCTGGAGCCGAACCTGGCAAGCTGGTCCGTGGTTGGAGCGTATTTCAGTGGATCGGCAGCTTTGTGCGCCAGGTATATTTGCTCATCGCGGAGTAACTCGCCACCACCGACCAGAATGAGCAGAGGTGGCAGACCGCCGAGAGAGGGCTGGAGAACAGGAGAGACAAGCGGATGCGTCAATAGATGATTCGGCGCGTAGAGCTGTATCTGGTCAAAGATCGTTACTGTAGAGTCGCCAAGGGGTACAGTGAGCGGGCGTGGTGTTTGGACACCTTGGACAGATCCGCGTTCGCTGCGCTTAGCAGTATTCATGTTTGTTTGGATCGTAGCCTTCTCAGCAAACACTCCTGCACGATCGATCGAGAACCCTCTTACAGCATCCTGCTCTTTATTCTTTTTCCCCTTCGCCTCGCCTCTTGAAGACTTAGAGCTAGCTCGTCTTCGTTTAGTGTTACCTTCCGAAGACGAAGTAAATTCGTTCAAGTCTTCCGCATTTGGCGGAGGCCAAGCCATGGAGTGCTTGTGTATAAATCCATGTGGTGGGATGTAATCGTACTCGCCACTGCCAGCGACACTTGGAAAGGAATGCGTCAGATCAACCCAAGGCGACAGCAAAATGGCGCCAGCGGGCAGAGGTATACCCTGATCCCGCAAGATCACAAGCATGCTCAAAGTCATGCCTCCGCCAGCAGAGTCTCCAGCCAGTACAATCGTCGAAGGAGCGTGAGTCTCAAGTAATAAGAGATACGCAGCCAAGCAGTCCTGCAAGCCGCACGGGAAGGGGAACTGAGGCGCGAGTCGGTATCGTGGAGCCAGTAGTCTAGCCTTCAGCTTGCGCGCATGCCGCTGCATCTGGTACCTATGCTCGTCTACGCTACCGAAGAAATAGGCGCCTCCGTGGACGTAGAGTATGATGCGCTGCCCCTGGGTATCGCCAGCGTCCATCCGCTCGTTGTAGTCCTTGCGCATCTCGATCCATTCTGCCTTCAGCAGGCCGTTGTCGCGGCGCCATTGCCACCACTGTTTGCCGCCAACCTGCTGTATACCAACCGGACCCAGCTGTGATTGTAGGAGCTCCGCTGATCTGGCCAGTATATCCTTCGAGATGAACACTTCCTCGACGTGGACCCAGCGCGGCACCGGTACCCATTGGGCGGTAAAGGCTTGCAGATCCTCAACGGTGTGGAGAGAGGCGTACTCCAGGAATGAACGCACAAGCTGAAGGCCTTGGTGGTACGAGATGCGCTCGGTAGGCTTTTGGCGGAGAGACTTGCGATTGAGACACTGCGCGTGGGCGTTAGTTGACGGGCGTGGAGGCCGGTTGTAAGACTCACGTGGGAGATGCCGGTCCCGACCACTGTTGGCACAATAGCGGCGCCTACAGCGAATGTATTGAGGACCATGGCGAGCGATCGAGACAGGTGCGCGCAGGCATTTGTTGCTCAGGATGATAGCTTACGGGTCGGTATGTAAGCAAACACGACGCTTGAACGCAACTCCCCCATCAGCCAGCCCCTTTTCGTGGAGAAGAATGTCGACTGTCGACGGACTTCAGACAGCGAGGATCGAGTGAAATACACATTAATGATGATACAGTACGAAGAAAGATGCCGAAGGAGCGGATGGCGCAATTGAACCGCGCTGACCCGCATGAAGCGGCCGGCGAGAGGCAGGGCAAATCTGGGGAAGCGGCTCGCTGATCCCTCCAGGGCTGAGACGAACGCGCCGTTTTCGTCAGCGGCTGCTGTGGCTGCGGGAGATCGACAAACATCGAATTTTTGGGTTTCTCTTCTTCATGCCACCGCCAAGCATCGCCTCGAGAATCATTCAAAAGTTACTATCTCAAGCCTCGCACTGTTCAGTGACGGTTGCTTAACTTCAACACCCAAGCGCTCTTCGACTCAACAGTCCGCCTCACCTCACCTCATCTCATCCCGTCCCAACCATGGCGTCATCCCAAGCGCAGCGCGCCGCCCCCTCCACAGTGCCAGAGCAACCCCAGCAACCCCAAAGTCAGAAGTTAACTCCCGGTAAACATCCCATCAGAAACATCCCATCAGCCTCTCCCCTCCAAGCAGTTCTGACAAAACTCTGCAGCCGAACTCGAAGCCAAGCTCGACCTAGCAATGTCCCTGCTCCTCTCCGACTGGCCCGACATGACCCTCGCGGTAACCAACAACTGGGGCGGCCCCGACTCCTCCGACAAGCGGGACTACCTCGCCGGTGCGCTCTCAACTCTGCTCATGGACCCTGCCGTCGACGCCGGAGACGTCCAGGAAGTGCTGCTGCAGTACATGGCGGATGAGTTCGAAGTCGACCTTGACGACGATAGCGAGGAGGGCATCGCCGAGAGGGCGATAGGATTGAGGAGGGAGATTGTGGCGGGGGAGTTTGGGGGGTTGGAGAGGTTGTACAAGAAGTGGGAGGAGAGAGGGGGCAAGGCGGTTGCGCCGAAGAATCTGCAGGTCATCGAGCACGGGGACCACGACGACGAAATGGATAGTGACGATGAGGACGATGATGAGGATGAGGACGTTGAGATGGATGGGGTTGAGGACGCCGCGCCACAGCTTGTGAAGGCGAAGCCGGAGCCGGAGGTCGATGAGGAGGGGTTTACGAAGGTTGTGGGTAAGAAGAAGCGCTGATGGTTTTCGTCGACTGCGCATCGTACATCCGTTGATACCCGTATCTCAACACGCTTTCCTACGAAGTTGAGAGAACACAGCTGTCATGTTCCAAATCTCAGTGAATGATCTTCGCTGTACTAGACGTCATATCGGCCGCTGCCCGTCTGTTGCTGTGCCATTTTGAGATTCTATAGTCCTATAAGCCCCTTTACAGCGTCCGCAATTCCCTCGAACGCCTGTGCCCTAGCGCTCCCTGGCTCCGCGACAACAGTTGGCTTCCCCCGATCCGCGTCGCTACAAATGCTCGCATGCAGGGGTATATCACCAAGTAGCCTTATGCCCATCTCCTCGCACTTCCTTGCCACTCCTTCACGCCCGAATATATCGGTAGTTTGCTGGCAATGTGGGCAGTGGAAGGTCGACATGTTCTGCACCATCCCCAGCAGCGGCACATTAACCTTCTTGAACATGTTCACACCCTTGACCGCATCCTTCAGCGCAATGTCCTGGGGCGTTGACACAACGACGGCGCCGTCCAGCTTGACTTGCTGGGTTATAGTAAGTTGGACGTCGCCGGTGCCAGGCGGCAAATCCAGCACAAGGATGTCGAGTCCGCCCCACTCGACTTCGTGGAGTAGTTGCTGGAGAGCCTTCATGACCATGAGGCCGCGCCATACTACTGGCGCGTCCTCGCCAATGAGGTAGCCCATGGACATTGACTTCACGCCATAGTTAGACAAGGGCACAAGCTGGTTATCTAAACCCCGTCAGCCAGCACGCTCCTTCTCAGTGTGTTGTTCGGCGACGGACTGACTGGAGGAAAGGCGCGGTTCGCCGGAAAGGTTCAGCAGCGTCGGGATGGAGGGTCCGAAGATGTCGGTGTCGAGGATGCCGCTGCGTAGGCCGGAGCGAGCGAAGGACAGCGCCAGGTTCACTGCTATCGTCGACTTGCCCACGCCGCCTTTAGCTGACGAGACCGCAATGACTTTCTTCACGTTTCTGATACTTCGTTGCTGCGGCAGGCCTCGCTGCATGCGCGGGATCTGCGGTGGTGCGCCGGAGCGCGGCAGGCCCTGCACTGGTCAGCAGAGATTTTGAAAAATGAAGGTTTCGGCATACCAGTGGGTTCTCATGGCCTCTGAGATGTCGCAGAGTAGAGAACAGCCGGGTTCTCATTGTACGTCGCTACATGGTGTTGATGACCTCCGAGCGCTCCGCAGCCGTGACGAGTTGCGCCGGAGAAACTGCGGGAGTCGGGGACTTGTAAAATTTCTGGGCTGCAGGACTGGATTCTTCACCTGAATACACACAAACCATGGCGAAAGCTACGAGACCAAAGACGCTCGCGGAGCAGATTGCTGAGCTTGAGGATCCTGCGCCTAAAGGTATCACTTGCAGAGCATCTACACCAACATGATTACTAACATGATATCACAGATTTCGATCCCGAGGATCACGGCGAGCAAGCGGCGAACGGAACAGACGAAGGCTCTGATGATGAATCATCGAATGAGAACGATGCAAGGGAGCACTATGTCGACGTGGGAAAGAGTAAACTGCGTAAGCGCGACGCTGTTCCGCTCGGCCCGCAGTACAAAGGCTCTCGTGTCAGCCGAGACGCAGTGCTGGAAGAGGACAGCGACGACCCGTTCGCTCGAGGTTTCGACGAAGAGAGTAGCGAGGAGGAGGAGGAGGAGGAGGAGGAGGAAGGCTCTTCGTATGCCGCGAATGGTGTCCATCCTGGGGAAGAGGAGGCTTCTACGACCGGCAGTGAGGACGGCTTCTCAGGCGAGGATGAAGAATTGGATGGTATGAGCGCCGACGATGGGACTTCTGCCACAGACATGAGCGATGGAAGCCCAGACGAAGACACCGACATGGATACGGACGGTGATGGTGGAGTGGACATTGATCGCGCGGAGCTTAGGAAGATCATGGCGGAAGAGCAGAAGAGCGTGGCGGCAACCATCTCACAAGCAGCACAGGAAGATGCCAAGAAAGGCCGTGCAGTAAAGACACAGCGGACGACTTTCGATTCTCTGCTCAACTGCCGTATACGGCTACAGAAAGGATTGATATCTACCAACTCCCTTCCGTCGGCGAACGATAACGGCGGAATCGACGGCAGTACCGATGGAGACGCTGTCCGTGCCGCCGAGACTGCCGCGCTCAATCTTTTGAACTCCCTTAACAGCCTCCGCGAGACCCTCGACACGGCTCGAACTGGTACTAAGCGGAAGCGCACCGAGTATACAACATCCTCACCTGCATCCCTAATCTGGGAACAGATGCAGTCGTACGAGAGCACGAGCCATCCACATCGCCAAGCTGTCCTTCAAAAGTGGTCAGCCAAAGCACGGGGTGCAAGTGTTCTTCCTCCATCACGCCGACTCAACGCTGCCGCCGAGCAGACCATTGTCGATGTGCTTGACGCCCAACTCGCTAATCCCTCCCGTCTCGTCAAGCGGACTCGGACACCGCGATCTTGCGCGCCGATGCAAGCTGCGGCTGGTGTCGTGGAGTCAGCAGATATCTACGATGACGCTGACTTCTACGGTCTCTTACTCAAAGAGCTACTCGAGCAGCGAAGTCAAGATGCCTCCTCTGGCGTTGGTGTCCAGCTGTCCGGCGTCAACTTGAATGTGCCCACCTGGCAAGCAGCCCGAGAAGCCAAGACGAAGAGGAATGTCGATACGAAAGCGAGTAAGGGCAGAAAACTTCGGTATACAGTGCACGAAAAATTGCAGAACTTCATGGCGCCTGAGGATAGGGGTACGTGGGGTGAGAGACAGGCTGAGGAGCTTTTTGGAAGCCTGTTCGGGCGGCGGATGGGGCTTGCAGAGGAGGAGCAAGGAGGTGCCGATGAGGAAGATTTTGATGCTGAGGAGGCTGGACTGCTGCTTTTCAGGAGCTAGTCTTATCAATACCACGTTCTGGCTCTGAAACGTCCGGCACGAAACCAGACCCTACCAGAGAGTTGCGCATTTTCCGTGCGTACACTAATTAATGACAATCGCCGCTTTGTAAGGCAGGTCTCTTCCCCGTTCGTCTTGCTGAGCAGTCTATCTTGGTCATTGTAATCTCATAGTGCCCCAATTTCGCTTGCGGAGTCGGACACACGGCACCTTCAAGCCTGGGGAGACAATCCAGCCTTCAGACTACACTAATATTGCTCACACGGCACGGCCCTTCGGTACCATCCCAAGACTCAGGCGTACCATGGTACTAGTCCTCGGCCACACAGTGCTCATACTCGCGAAGCTAGCATCTTCCTCATTCTATTTAAACTCTTTGTTGGCAACACTTCTTTCCCATTAACCCCCAGATCGTGTCTGGCCAGGCCTTCAGAAGACTTTTGACAGCACTACTCGTCTGCATTCGACACATCTATATATTCCTGATAATCTTCGTCCTCACCAACACCTCAGGCCTCACAATGACCGACACGACAGAGATTGGTTTCTCCAACGATGTGCAAATGGCAATTCTCCACCATGAGAATCGTCTGCGAGAAGATACGGCTTCGTACGACAACTCTCAACCACGACCTTCACCTAGCTCTTCCCTCGAAGCACTCCTTACATATCATCTCCAAGAACCTGCACCATCTTATCAGGCTCTTCCGCCGCGGTACATGAGCAAAGCCGCACCGGCTACGCAACTTCCTCTGTCAGAATCATCCGATCAACTTGCTCAGCAGAACGTCGACGTCGAAGCCAACATAGGGGTCGCACCGCTATCGAATCGAGGCGGCAAGGCGATAGCCAGGGACTGCTGTGGCATGATCTGTATTTCGATCGTGATTGCAATCCTGCTCGGAATTTTTCTTATCTTGCTATGATGCCCGGTTTACTTTCCCCCGACAAATAAGGGCTAGCGTCGGTCTCGGCGCTGTACATATGGGCTAGGTCAGTAGGCCGTACGAGTTGAACGGGAGGGAAGGTCGAACGTACCACCTCTACTCAACCGCCTGGTATTCTACAGCCATCGCAGTAACAAATAGCGTCTGTGGGGCGCTTTCGTCATAGGGTAGTCAGATCCATGGTTGTCCAGGTCTTTCACACTCAACCATGGTTCAATTTTGAGCACACAGCGTCGTAAGATTTCAAGTGCTCAACACTATCTCTCAATTATATATTTGAGGTACCCCTCTCCTGTCACCCTCCTCACCGTTCCAGTATCCAATCGAGTACTCGATTCAGCACCCAGCCCTGCAACCATGAACCCCCCCGAGGTCACCGGAGCACCCATGTCGCACATCCACCCCTTCAAGCTCCGTCGGGAACCAAGCGGGCCTCTTTACAACCTCCACGAAGCGCTATCCATGGTAGGCTATCCTGAGCAACTTCCGCCTGCTCATCCGCCTGCTCATCCGAAGCATACGCATGGCGAATGTTACTGCCAGAACTGGAAATTTACACGCACTAAGAAAGCACCTCGGCGGAAACGTCTGGTCCGTATCGCTCACCGCGTGCTGGTTCTTGTTTGCTGCGTTTAGTGGATATCGAGCTTCAGCGAATACGCGAATACTGCGCAGGCATCGCAGAGCCCGAAGAGTCGGTCAGGTTATCGGAACTGCGAGATCATGGCAGTGGGGCTCGGCCGTATTCGTTCACGGAAATCTTACTATCGCCCAGATTCCTTACTCAAGGAAGGAACGACAATTTTGCTGGCCCTACGCACCCCAGCACCCACCAGTCAGCCATCAGCTACACGATCTCAAGGCCCGCTCATCATGCTGCTCATGAAGCGGTATGGACTTTCTGCGCCAATAAGCGTCGCAAGACTACTAGATCGCTCTAGCGCGAACGTGGTTTTACGCTCGGGAACGTGGCAAACCTGCAGCAAGGAGAAGCAGAGACACAAACGCTATACGGCCAGTTTTCTCTATACCAAAAGCCATCACGCTCATCGCTGGCACCGAGCACGAATCTTAAGAGGGAAGGTTGGAGGGCAGCATTTTCTCTTGATTATGCGGGGGTAGGATTGTCCATTGCGAACAAGTGGCTACTATCGAATATGATTATTCGCAAATCAGTTATAAGTGGTTCAAATTCACGCTAGTCAAACTCTCCTCACTCCATCCATAGATGGCCAAGTTTTTGAAACATGGTTCCGGTAACTCAAGATCCAAAAAAAAGCTTCCCGCGACCGATATATGAACGCACCTGGACGCTTCTCTCTCACACCCTCACAAGTTCCAACTTCTCCCCAGGATGGATTTCCCGAATGTCGCGTCGGTGGCTGTATCTCCCTCTGGTTCCGACCATCAAGTACAATCCGATGCTCCTCTCTGCGCGCCCGTCCAAACAGCCTCCGCGCCTGCCCAAACATCACCCGCACCCTTCTTCATCCAGAAATTCGACTACACCCGCAACCCCTCGGCACGGCCTTCCTACGACCCGCCAGAAATGCCGCCCGCCTACGAACCCCCGAGCAGCGGGGAATCAGAAAAGCGGACGACTCCACACGACGCCGACATCGAAGCGAGCGCAGGCGTTGGAGCGCAAACCGCGCACGATGCGAAGATCCCCAAGCAGGAGGAGGCGTCTGGTGTTAGCAGGCAGATGCTGCCGTGGTTCGGGTTTTTGCTCATCGTTGCCTTGTGCGTTGGCTTGTTTGTGGTGCCTTGGGTTGTTCCTGCGGGGGAGGGTGATGGGGGTGCTGGTGCTGGTGCTGAGAGTGGGAGCGGTGGATAGTTAGCTGAGGCTTCCGCGGAGTATTGGGGGCATCTGAGTTGGTGCGGTGGCATGCTGAGGGTGTAAAAAGCATCGCCCAAGCCGCTGGGGATCCTTGTGGAGTGCAGGTTGGGGGAGGACCAGCCAGAAAGACGGGACTTGGTGCTGGATTGGCATGGCTTGAGCAGAAGACACGTGAGCGAGAAGCGACAGGCAGGCAGGTGGCAGAGGAGTAGCGAGACTGGGACAGCGAGGTCATTATAATTTACGTTTATTCTTTAACGACTGTGTACACCTCAAGAACACCTCAAGACCCAGCACTCCATAGAAAACTAAGAACAGAAGCCATGGGTATCACACCAAACCGCATCGTCCCCCCGCGTCGCGGACGCGTTGACCGAAAGTGCCACGAAACAGGAGAGAAGAAGGAGCAGGAAAAGAGTCGTGCGCGCCGAGAAAACACCCACTAAAGGCCTCCAACCCAGGATCCGACCCTCGACAAGATCAAGCCAATCGAGGCCCGCAGAGAAAACTCCTCTCCCTCATCCCAGCGTACAAGCATACAGCCGGGCAGAAAACGTGAACATCATCAAACCATCGCTCTCAAGAAAAACCACCTCATCAAGATACGCCGAGCGCGTCGGAGGACACCCCCCCAAGAAACGAAACAGCCGCGAGCAGCCACGAAGCGAAACGGACACGGTCCGATCATAGCACGAAAACCGCCACGCCGCCGGCAATGGCAAGCGCGCCCGCGCCGACGCCCCTAAGCGCGTTTCCCGCGCCCGTAAACGGCTTCGCCGACGCGGTGGGCGACGCCGTGGCCTTGAAGCCCGTGCCGGCCGGCACCGTCGCGTTCCCACTGGCAGGCAGAAAGCCCGTGCTGGCGGCGTACCCGGAAGAGCTGGCGGCGGCGGCAGAGGTGGGCGGCACGCCAGTCTGCGTCTCGGTGACGACGCGCATGACGGTGCGGGTGGAGGTGTGGGTCGTGATGCTGGTTGCGCTAATGGAGTCGTGGGAGTGGGAGAGGGTGTCGTTGGCGCAGGCCGAGGCCGTGAGGGCGAGGCCGAGGATGAGCGTGGGGAGGGTGAACCTCATCGTGGTGGCTGGAATGCGGGTTGCGCGGAATGCGGATTGATTGATGTGGTTGTTTGTTTATGGACTGCTGTTTTCTCGAGCTCTGGGCTGAGAAATGCGGGGCGGTATGGACGAATGCGTTGGCAGCTGGTGCGGTACGCTGAGCGTAGGGCTTGTATTTACGCGCGAGCAGATATTTGACAGCGAAGCTGGAAAAGAGGGTGGCGATGCGACTCTGGCGCAAATCGTTCTTCTAGGCACAGCCGTGGATTGAGTAAAGAGTGTGAAGTATGCGTGCGACAGCGACAGCGACAGTGACAGCAGACGTGAGCAGTAAGCAGCAGCAAGACTGTTGAGGAAACAGAGGCGGAGGAAAGAGGGAGGGCGGCGGGGAATTTACAGTAAAGCGCCATGACAAAGGACACAATCTGGCAATGAGATGAGCTCCCACATGCGGGAGATTATCGTCGTTGCTTGGCGCCATCCAGCGCAGTGGCTCCATTGGTCCGCCCTGGATGTAGGGCGCAAGGCTAAACTTGAACCGGCGTAGACCGTGGAGGCGGCTCGGCCAGCTGCAAGAAACACGGCGTTAGTCCGCCGGCGAGATGAAGCTTGTCCAGGCTTGTCCAGACAAAGCCCTGTCAGCGAGATTTGCTTCATCTTCTTTGTCGCGCGCCCTGTCCACTAGCTGGCCTCCCCTGCGCCGCTGACATGCGCAGCCAACGGCCATCGTGACCTCCGCCTTTATTGCGGCGCCCCCGCTTCGGGCTGTGAAGCGCCTGTGTCGCATCGAGACCGCTCGCGCGACAAAGATTGCGAACTGGGCGCTTCTTCACCTTGAGCTCCTATTGTCGAGCTGCCCCTAGCTGGCCGGAAGGGGACTTGTCACGTTTGTCTGTTCTGCCGGCTGTTGTGCCACTGCAGCGCCTCCTGTTGACGTGCAGGCACCGAGTAGGCGGTTGGGACTTCAAACAGCTGTGTCGCGGACATGCGACTGCTGTGCTACCTCTAGGGAATTGGATCCAGGTGGATGAGATCGAGGGACAGGCTATTCATGCATGGCACCCGAGACCGCAGCTGCGACATTCGGTCGGTGATCAGACAGGTAAGAGATGTCGCATCCGTGATAAACTAAGCAGCATGGCTGGGTCCAAGGCTCTTCCACTGCGCTCCCACAATCGTGATTCCGAAAAGGCTGGAGAGCCGCTTTCAAGGTTGCGACTCTTACGTTCCGTCTCCTAGGGTAGCGACGACACGTGCGCAGTGGCGAGGGGTTGAAACATCTTCAAAAAGTGTTGTCGCCGCTATGTGACGACCACTACGATTACCGGATGTAGTATCCACTGGAAGCTAGTCTCCCAAACCCATCTCGCGCCCTTCCCACTATTGCAGATTACCGGCCCAGAAGCCTCTTCCTCGCACGCCGGGTATCGTCTGCTCCATATACGTAGTGATACACCCTCAACTGCGTGCTTGTGACGCCGAGCTCCTGCTACCACAGCTAGCGCAGAGCAAAAGCGGCCGGTGCCCATGACGGCCTGCTACAGCCTATCCAAAGACTGGGGAAAGCGCCGAAAAGCCAGTGATCCGCCCGTATGTTGCTGCCAATCCGGCGACTGACTCTGAGTCGCCGCCGAAGATGGGAGCGAAGCGCACACAGCCCCGTGATGAGCCGTCCAAATCCGGCATCTGTATGCTCCCATGGTGATGATAACAAGGCGCGGCCTGCGAAATTATCAGGGTGTTTGCAGCAAAAAGGCCCCTGAGACCTGTCCCTCAACCCCCGACCTCAACCTCCGACACCCCGACCGTCTCCCAAATCCTGCGACACAGCTCCGCCAACTCGTCTCTCCTGTCGACCTGGCCGTCACTGCCCAAGCTCTGGCGGCCCTCAATATCCTCATCGTCCCTTCCAGCAACATCGAAGCTGACCTTCGAGACCTTTCGCTTATGGTCCGGATCCGGCGAGGCGCGCCCATCCCTGCCCGGCGTAGCCCTTCCATCTCTGGCAGGCGTGCGCGTGCCGTCTCGCGCTCCAGGCGTGTGGCGGCCATCTCTCCTTTCGCCATCGCGGTAGCTCTGATGCGATCCTTGTCTACCGTCGAGATACCCATTCCGCGTCGATGCCCTTGCAGCAGCTCTCTTCCTCGCCGATCCCGGAATCTCCGCGAGCCGCACAATGGCATCAGCGACTGGATTTCGGTACCGGCGGACGACTTTGTACTCGAGCGCGGCCTGGTCGAACTGTCTCTGCAGCCGGGGGTCTATCCTCCCCTCCACCGCGCCAGCGTAATTGATGCTCGGGCCGAGGATCTGCGGCCCGCCCGTCCGGGGCAGGATAGCCGGGACCAGCTTCTGAGGTTCGATGTTCGAGCTCGCGCGCTGTAGCCACAGCTTCTGCTGCGTGCGGCTCGGATGCAGGTCTGGCGTGGTGGTTCCAGCTGTTCGCGAAGGCCGAGCGCTCGATTGCTGCGACGCTGATGCCGATGCTGATGCAGCCGCCGCCGCCATGTTCGGCGCGCTCCTGTTCCGCCGCATGGCATCGCTGTCGCTGCTGCCTTCGTCGCGCTTCGGCGGGCTGCGCTGCGGGAGGAAGGAGCTGTCGCGGGGTGTGCCGTCTTCGTCTTCGTCGATAAACCGGGATACGAGATTGCGGCCGGGGGTTTCGGGGTGGGTGGAACCTTGAGACTGGGAGAGCTGGCGCGTGTCGTGGCTGTCGGGGACGGCAGTCGCGGAGACGGAGGAGATTTTTGGGGGCGCATTGTGTGTGTTGTTTCGCTGGAGGAGGCGCGAGGTTATGGCGTCGGCGTCGGGGACTTTGGAGGAGTGGTAGGAGGACGCGCCATTGATGCGGGTGGCGCGTCCTTGTTCGGCGTGTTTGCTATCTGGCTGGGATTTGGGCGGAGGTGAATGAGGGGCCTGCTCTTTTGTATCTTCGCGTCCGCCGTCCTTCCCTGACTCTGCTGTTCGTGTCGTCGGAGCTTCTGCGCTCGGGTCTGGCGGAGCTTCGAATATGGCCGAGTTCTGCCGCGTGTGTGAGCGCGTCGTCGTGGGTGACTGCGATGCGCTCTCTTCCGTCCAGCCATCATCATTGCCATCATCTACCGCCTCCTCGTCGCCTACATCGAAGCGAACAGTGGGATGCGCAGGCGCAATGTCTGGTGAGCTGTGACGCTTTGTAGGATGCGCATGTGAGCGCTTGATGTCGGCTCTGACCGCCTTCGTAATATTCTTGTGGGAGCCTGTCCGCGAAAGGTGTCCGCTAGAATGGTTTTTCTTCAAGGCTGTGTGAGAACGATTGCGTATTATGCCGGTAGTTGAAGCGTGGCGCTGCATGTTGGGCCGTTGCTGTGGGCTTTCGACGGGCGTGCTCCCGCCAGATGCAGTTCTCTTGTGCTGTCGCGCAGCAGCTGCGCTGTCAGTCCCTTGCGCCGATGCGATTCCTCTTAGCTTGTTGAGGTTTCTTCCAAAGGACGGGTTCCTCTGACCAATGCGCTGGCCTACGACATGCCTCTGAGGTGGTCGTTTCTGGGACGAGCCGTCGGACGGGGTCTGCGAGACTTGGGACGATGTCGACGAATGACGGGCAATGACGGTAGGCCGTCTCGGCGGCTGCGGCGAGAGCGCATTGTGGGAAGGCATGCTTGCTCTTCGATGATTCGGTGCAGTGGTCGGTGGCTGCACTGGAAACGGTAATCGTAGGGTAATGGCGCTGCGGGATGGTTAAAGAAGGCGTTCCCCTCTCCTGTCTCGCTGCGCTCCTCAGCCGCTCCGGTGGATTCGGGGTGTTGCCGGCCTTCCAGGTCGGTGTCACGGATTCTGTGCGTTCAATTGGAGGCCGAGGGACGAATTCGACCGCTGTACTCAAGTACTGAAGTACTGAAGTACAAATAGAAATAATGCGACTGTGTGAGGGCGTGGTTCGCCGGAAGGCGGTCAGTCGGGTGTGGGTCAAAAGTGTTGGCGCACCGTCATTGGCGCAAGTCGCCGACCACCCTCGCTCATCCCCTACGCGTCTCAACGCAATTTCACATCCAAAGCTGCCCTACCTATGTTATGTTTGCAACTCCTTAGGGATTACAAATGCTCCATAGGGGACATGTATCATGCCCAGTAGCTGTGATGGAGACCCCTAGATACTGCAGTTGCTGGTTTGTAGGGCTGATGTCCTCGGAGCTGCCAATATGACCTCTTTCCCTTTCAAGCGTTGCCCTTTTGGAGCTTTCTAGACCTGAGTTATGGACATCTGTTCTGCTCCAGCCACTCGTAGGCTATCGAACACACCAAAAAGACTTGACCAGAGGGACCTGGCCGGTTTTGAGTCCTCTGGGCTGTTGAAGAAGACCGAACATGTCTTGGGCGCCACGGCCGACGGGATAGCTTGTTCTGGTTGAGCATGCACAGATCCTAGGTCTTGCTCTGCTGTTTTGAAGCTCGATCCTACAGGGCGTGTCACGTTGAGTATTTTACTTGGTGTTCCTGTGTTACTAGCCGCTGTTCTCCTATGTAGATTCAGATTAAGTTACAACTACATGAAGCTAATATGGAATGTGCTATGACCTTGGACATGGCAAAAGCAGATGAAGAAACCCCCCAATCACTACGTATAGCTACTGCCTCGCGGGCAGTCGAAGCGACACATGTAAAGAAGCATCGAATCCAGATTCCCCATATGCTCGCAGCCGTCCCAGCCCATACCGTAACGCAACTTTCGTCTGCATCGCCCAATAACAACAAGTAGCTCATGCTCTTATGTTATGTCACCTTGACATCCGAGCTAAGCACAAGCGAGAGACACGATGGCGCAGAAGTGTCATAAAACTTTTCCTATCCGATTCCCCCTCGAGCATCTTGTTATGACCGCCCGCCACTACGGAGGGATTGCATACGCTCCTTCAAGGTTCCAAACACTCTCTTGACACGCTCCATGCCTGTGAGTTGTGGTTTTTGCTCCATGCGTGCGTACTGTCGTCCTTGGAAGCCTATAAGCCCTTCATCGAAGAAAGCCTCGCGCAGAATGTCGCGGAGCGGATCACGCAGTCCATCGACACATCCGAAGGACGCTTCTGAAAGCCTGGACGGGTGCCTGTATGCCTTGTAGGGCGGTGGAGGAGGCGTCAGAGCCTGATAGGATGGCCGGGATCCACGGGAGTCGTAGGAAGGGGGCGAAGTCAGGGCCATTGCGGACCGGTGACGTTGGATGCCAGCGCGAGGGACTTGGTCAGAAAGAGCACGGCGCAGCAGGAAGGGATCAGACTTGGCGCGGTTATGTCGTCGGTAACCCTTCCCATCGCGAGAAATTGGCAAGCTGAACTTAATGAGGCGCCTCTGCTTTGGCAAAGGTAGCGGTTGTCCCGTCTGCTGGCGCTTTCGCGAGATTGGTATTGGAGGCAATGGCTTCATCCTGTTCATCGGCGACGGCGGCTCTGCTGGGAAGGAGAATTCCGACCGAAGTGGTGAGGGAGGTTGTGGTGCCGCGGCTGACCTAAGCTGGTATGGCACACTCTGTATGCGTGTAAACTGACTTCGCGTAGCTGCGTTTGCCAGAAGGCTTTGAGCCTTGTCGTGCCGTACGAGTGGAGACGCCGGTCGAACGCGTGTGGTATCAAGCCAAGCTTGGACGTCACGCATCGTGGTCGAGGAGGGGCGAGGCGGTCTAGAGGGAGGTGTACGGTAAGGCGTATCGTATCTGACCGGCAGAGGAACATGTCTCCGGCGTGAAGTGACGTGAGGACGTATATCGACGCGAACGTAGTCCTGATCGAGCATGGGCGTGCTGTCCGCTTGAGGCATAGGTTGCTGCATTGAGCGGATGATCGCTCCACGTAGTGGCTTCTCTTTGACTGACTCAATTGACCCGTCCGTGGCCAGGCTGGTGCTAATACTTGTGCCGGAGGCGTCAGGGAAGAAGGTGAAACGCATTGAGACGCGTTGGGGACCTCGATATCAATTCTACCGGAATTGCGCGGTAACCTCTCGTCAAGTGAGGGCGAGAGCTCACTTCACTTTAGTTTTGAAGTCCTGCTGAGATGCTGAAGACATGCTGGAGTAGGATATGAAGTGCACAGGCAGGCGAGAGTACAAAGTGAAGGAGCGGACGGCGGTGGTGCTCGGAGTGGAAGTTGCAACCTACATTATCGATCTGAGCTTTACGTCTGATATTGACATTTTTACGTCAGGTTCAATCGCGGAGTCCACGATTATTGATTGTCGATCTATTTGATTCATCACGCACAGTTAAACTTCTTTCGATGCCTCTCTGTGTGGGCGGACTATGCCGAGTTGTTGTTGTCGCAGCAGGTTGCTCATCACTCACGGAAGCCACCGGCTGCCTCATTGCAATCTTTATCAGCATATTCCAATATTTATGTTCATCCATCCGAAAATTGTCGCAGCAGCAAGATAATACCCGACTCACCTCAAGCAAGGTGCTCATGGCGTTAAAGACGATGGTCTTGACTGCTCCTGTCTTACTCCTTACCACATTTCAAAGTATTGCTCGCTGTCTAACAGATACGTCGTTCCGTCTAGACATTCTGGTTTCTGGACGTAGGACGTGTCTCGTATTCACTCTGATGGTTGTTCATCATTCTCACGTTTAGAGTCAAGTTTGCTTTAATCGTCACTCATGAACCAGAACAGTTGCCACACTTGCGAGCCGGGTGGCTCATGCTGAATCTCATCTGTGACGTTCTTATGAGTTGCAACATGATGTCTGCGTACCACGATACGTAGTAAGCCGCTGTTCATGATGCTGCCTCTACCCAATTCACTCAGCTACTCATCGTGTTATCAATTGTGACTGGGTCTTCCAGTACTTCACTCTGTTGGAAAGATCCTGCTTCGCTGGCCTATCTGCGTCAGCGGGCTCATGGCCAGGCATACTTCTTCAACCATCTGCGCTCTTTCTTGCAGCTCGCAGCTTCTGTATCAACTAAATCCATCTACATCGTCCACCGACACAAGTTACATGCACCAGCTCTAAGAGTCTACACATATACTGCACGTCGCTCTATCCCACCTCGAACTTCAAACTCACATAACAACCGACACATACTTGAGAACCTGCAGCTTGAGTCAACATGCCCTTCTTTCTCAACTCCCATGGGAAGAAGGTTGCCAATTGCACTCACGATGTTTATGCCGAGCCCCGCCCCAGCCCCTCCCGGCTCACCGGTAACGGCGCCTTCGTCGTGCGCCATCGTGGCCCCGACGGCAGACAAACCGGTGATCCCAGCCGACGCATCGGCGGTAGTGGCTCTAACAGAAGAATAGAGGATCTTCAAGCAGAAGGCCGCTCTGCCTTGTGGTTCAACAACCGCCCAAGACCCCGCAGGCAGCCCGCTGCAGCTGGACAGGCAGCTGCACATGGCCCTGGATATGGCCCTGGTCAAGCAGCAGGACAGCCAGCGGGACAAGCAGCCGCACAAGCAGCTGGGCCTCATGGTGGACCTGCAGGAGGGCCTGCCGGTATCTATGGAGCTGGCCGTGGAGGCGGTGCTCCTCCTGCAATGGGTTGGGGAGGAGGTGGTGCCGGTGGCCAAGCGGTTTATGGCCAGCCGGCCTACGGTCAGCCAGCTTACGGACAACAAGTCCAAGGTCATCCAGCTCATGGACAGCAAGCTCACGGTCAGGCCGTCTACCGCCAGCCAGCTTATGGCCAGAACATTCAAGGGCAGCCAGTTTATGAGCCTCCTCTCAGAACGGGTGGGGCAAGAGGCGCACCTGGCGGCTACCCTCCTGAAATGGGCGGGGGAAGGGGATGTTGATATCTACGGTGAGCTAGGCATTGCTCTGTGTGCCTGTATATGGTAGACGCCAGCGGGAAGCAAGCTCTTCAAAAAATGGCATCTGGGGCGTGAGCAGAGCACGGATCTACATACATTACACCCCGGAGGCGATTTCCTATAGTCAAGTTTCATCAACGAAAGCTCTAATCTTTACTTGATAAGCGTTCAAGCGAAGCCGCTGTTTCTCGGATGGCCTTGCTTATGATAGTGGCGAAGACAGCCATCCAGGTTGCAACGTACGACCAGTATCTCGAAAGTTGAAGTACGTCAAAAGCATGGATATGATCTCTCGACCGCTCAGCCTGCCCCATCGAGGGTCACAAAGCAATGAACACCCACAGTTAATCAAGTATCGAGAGCTTGCAACCCAGTCATGCGTCTGCGTATGATTCGGTGCTTCGGCGACTGCTGGCTGGTCACGACAACACGGAGTGAAGCGGATCGGAGGACCGACCACACCAGCGGATTGATTACGACACTGCCTGTACTGACGTAGTGAGCGCCAGCCATGCCGCTCGTGACTCGTAGCTTGGGAACAAAGCGCTGTAGTTCTGCTCTTCCTCGCAGGGCACCACCACAACTTCCGTTCGGACCAGGTAGGGGGGAGGCCAACGGCCGCGTGCGCCATCAGCACCACTAAGGCTGGGTGGCGGACGGGGTCCTAGGCGTCCGCCATCCTTTCCTCCTAGAACGGGCGGAGGAGGAGGAGGTCACCGGCGTCGTTACAACCTCAAGTGAGGCTGATAGCAGCTTGGGCGTAGGCCTCAGCACTGCATAGGCCTCGCGGGTGGACTGTAGTTATTTCATTCTTCATAGCTTTACCTTTCGATCAGTGTAGTTGCGGAGCTTAGCGGGCTGTGGAACATCTGCTCTCTCAACTCCTTCCCACTCTCACCTAGCCACCCTCTACAAAGCCTCGTAAAGGAGCACCGATAATTCAGTTGATCCTTACACTAGATCCGTTAAACTCTGTTCAAATGAGGAGGCGTACACAAAACAAACAAGGTAATAATTTGGCTGCCGTTCTATGGTAATTCCAAGAGGTTGTATAATTGTCTGACTATCCTTTGAGTCAATCGACTGCCTACATTCAAACCCTCTACGGCCGCAACCCAGCTCAGCTACTGCTCTCAATCAACCCAGCAGCAACCGTGCTCCCCCCCGCCCTCAAAATAACCCTTCCCTCCAGCGGAATTGCATTCTCCAGCTCCACCACCACCCTCGCTACCGCGCCCGGCTGAACCGCCCTCGGTTTCTTCTTCGTGACCTCGCCTGTCGACTTATCTAGCACAGCCACCAGCCTACTAACCGTAGCCGCAACATTCAGCCTGCCCTGATGCACCTCCACCGACATGGGCAGCACGTGTTCGAACGCCAGTATCTTCGCCGTGAAGCTCTTCACGTTCTTGATCGGGTTCGAGGGGCTGCACAGCACGTCGCCGTACCGTAGATGTACAGGGTCGATGTCCGTGAGGTGCAGCGTCACCATTTGGCCCGCGACTGCCCAGTCCGCGGCTCCGTTGTCGATCTCGATGCCCTTGATGGTCGCCTTTTCGCCGCTTGGCATGACGAGCACTTGGTCACCAACTTGGAGGCTGCCGGCTGCTATGCGGCCGGCTACCGAAAGGGGGTTCGTGACACCGCCGCGGAAGATGTCGAAGATGCTGAGGCGGAGTGGCTGCTCTATCGCGCGCTTGGTCGTTTCTGAGGCGTCGAGTTCCTGAACGAGGGTTTGGCCTGTGTACCACAGCATTGTACCCTCCGGGGGCGGGTTAACGACGTTCCCGCCGGTCAGTCCGGAGCATGGCACAAAGGTGACGTTCTTCGGTTGGAAGCCGGCGGAAGTGAGGAAGGCGGACATCTGCTGTGAGATTTCTTGAAAACGGCCTTCTGACCAAGATACCATGTCCATCTTGTTGACGGCCACAATCAGCCGCTGCACACCCATGCTTCGCACGAGGAGCGCGTGTTCTTTCGTCTGGCCCTTCAGCCCTGACTCGAAGCTGTTGGTGCCGGCATCGACGACCAGTATGGCGAAGTCGGCTTGGCTTGCTCCGGCGATCATGTTGGGAATAAAGTCTCGATGGCCTGGGGCATCAAGGATGGTAAACCGTGTTTTCTCCGTCTCGAAGCTATTTGTGGCAATGTCGACCGTTACGCCTCGTGATCGCTCTTCGGATGTCTGGTCCATTACCCATGCCAACGCGAAAGACGATTTACCTATGGCATCGGCCTCCTTACGGAGCTTGTCTAGTGATCTCTGATCTATAACTTTCAGGTCGTAAAGCAGTCGGCCCATGAGGGTGCTCTTGCCGTGATCGACATGGCCTGATAAGACGTCAGCTTAGAAAAGGTATGAAGCGCCAGTGGGCAACGAGGTCGGACTTGCCTATCACCACGAAGCTCGCGGACTTCTTCTGATCAGATTTATTGAACTCTTCCCGGACATTCAGGTTTTTGCTCTTCACTCGAGGTGAAGCGTCGACACTCAGTTGTGACATGCCTTCACTGATGCCGTTCGTTATTCTCTCCGCTTCTTTGGGTTTGGCTTTCTGCTTGTCGCTTTTGACACCTATGATGGATCAGTCCCTGAGGTCCCTCTGACTCAGGCACGTGTTGTCGAACCTTTGGACTGCGCATTTACTACTACATCGTCTGGGCTGGGACCTGTGAAAGGATTGCGTTTAGTAAACTCTGGATCATCTGCGTATGGAATACTGAAGAAGCTGCCCTCCTTCGATCGATTATGGATGCCATGACTGGAGGGGTGGGCGCCAACCATGATTCTGGCGAACGTAGAGGGCTCGGCTTTGATGTCTGGCAGTGGCTCCAGTTTAGTGGGCTCAGGCGCTGGTGTGGCAGTCTCCTTCGGTTCTTCTGGCCGAGAACTACTGGGCTCTTTCCTCGGCCGAACAGGATATGAACGGGGTTGAAATTTTTCAGACACATGGCCGCTGGGCGCACTGAGATGCGCGTTCTTTTCGGTATTCGATTCTCCACTGGCTCTACTGCCGAGACGATCAAGCAACGATATCGCACGATCTGGTAGCTGTTGCTGAGCTGATGTATCTATCGCTGGCATAGCAGCCGCCCTCTTCTCTTCCTCCTTCTTTTTCCGAGCTGCAGCAAGGGCGGCCAGCTTGGAAGACGGCTTGGATGAGCCGCCGAGAAGACGAAGCCGGGGAACTACTGGTTCTAGAGTAATGTTGCCGCGCCGATGATCCGGTAGCTGTAGCCATGGCGTGTCTTTGAAAAAGTCCCTGGCAGACACAAACGAGAAGTGTGTTCCGGTTGCTAATGGAATCGGATAAGCTGGCAGCGGCTCTGCAGTGACACCGGCGTTAATGCAACACTATCTTGATATCCTCCGAGGCAACGACTGACGGTCAGGCACCGGTGTTGGATAAGCCGAGGGCCTGGCAATGACTGACCGAGGAGGGCAGCCGAGAGTAAAGAGACGAGGGAAAAGAATGCACCTACCATCTGGCTTTCGTTTTTGCGTACTAGCGGCGGAATTGGCTGCTTGATCAAATCTCGACGCTTGCTTCGGTTTCTTGGGTTGTTGCGGAGGTCTTAGGTCTACAAACACGTCAGTTGCATCCAGTAAGATGTGGCCTTATGAAGACACGTACTCTTTAGGTAGGACACCGATTTGGAGACATCGTAGTAATAGTGCCAGAGTGCCTCTTCAATCTCTTTGTCCGAGACTGAGTAGCTGGAGCCTAATGCCTTCTTGACTTGAGCCTTGCCCTCGTGCATCCGTACTGCAACAGATGTGTGAGTCTCTGCTAAATCATGATTCCGGGTCTGGTGACGCGCAAATATACCTTGATCTTCGGGGCTTAGTTCTGATGGTTGCATGTTAGCAGACGCAGCATAGGCGTACTCCGAAGGGAACAGTACATGCCTTGTTGCTTCTGTGTGTCTTCCGCGTATTCGTCGCTATAGTCGGCGACCTCATCGTCATCATACTCAATACCCTTCGCTCTCCTGTGGGACATGATTGTTGAGGGACGGATCTTCGCAGCAAGGTGTTTCGAGGTTACGAAAGTTAGACGAGAGAAGACGTCCGAGCCTTCGGCTGGAGTATGGGTTCAGCGGTACGCAGACAGGTAGTTGCTGGTATATGATATATCTCCTGCGGCCCTTAAAGCGCACAAATGTTGAAGCTCAAATTCATTGCCGTCAATCAGCGTCGAGAGCGGACAGCCTTCCCTAACATCGTGCGTCATTTTTCGGTTAGCTATCGACAGGCTCCTTGGCGCGCGTCTACGCGGCTAAGTGAGATATCCATGGTCAAGCGCGCTACGGCTGTTATGATCCGAAGGTAGCGATATACCAAACACTTACTTAGCGTCTGGATGTTCATACCCGCAGGTATCCTAGGGGGTTGGATTCGGTTGAAAGCGCGATGATCAGTCAAAGTATCGCGCAAGCTGCGCTTTGTGATATTTCCAGCTAGATAGCGAAAGACACATGCAGCAGATGTGCTAAGAAACCCAGCCTAGATGGTGGCAAGTGTCCGCAACCTGTAACACTGATTCCGCCCGCAGTGGGCGCCTCACCAGCAACACCAAGCCGTGGCGTCTCTAGTCCCTCTCGGCGTTAAAGTCAACCTACCAGGTTGAAGCAAGCAACAGCTGGTATGCCCGTAACCCGCTCAAACGCTTCGACAAACAATCTAGATGAACGAGCTCTCCTCAGCAGCCGCCAACACCTCAGCAATCAGCGTCTCATCCTCAGCACTGTACTCCAGCCCCGCCTCATCCTCAGCAGATAGTCCAGCAAAGAACTCCTGCACGCCCTCAGCAAGCTCATCGGCGTGCTTCAAGAACTCCACTTCTCGTTCTTGCCGCTTCTTCTCAGCTAGCATGACCGCGATCTGGGCGCGCTGCTCTTCTTCGCGGCGGCACTGTGCCTGCACTGACGGCTTCAGGGTACAGTGCGGGCAGTGGAAGGTTTGTTTGCAGTAGGTGCAGGGGCAGCGGGCGGTATCCGCAAGGCAGAACTATAGGTTCAACTCAGCGAACGTTGGTAGACCGGGGGATGAGACGAACAAAAACCTACCTCGCACACGTAAACCCCACACTCCGCGCATTCCTTCACCGTCGCCGTGCACCGAAACCGACCGTCGGTAATCGGCCGGACCTGCTGACAGAAGTAAGCCCCACAACCCTCCCACTGCACCGGATGACGCGGATGACACGGCAGCGGTAGATGGTCTCTTTGCGATGGTCGCGATGAGTCCGGCCAGGACCAGAGGGACGGTCTAGGTTGAAGGCCCGACAAACTGAGTGCGCGCTGACGCGGTATACCAGGACCCAGCGTGCTGGTAGAGGCGAAGCGATCGGAGAAGACCGATGTGGACATGTCGGGTGCGCGTGATGCATGGAAGAGTTTGCTGTTCTCGACTTGCGCAGCACGTGCTGTAGTGCCCGCTGTGCTGTCTGGCGTGTTTGACATGGTGCGCCCAGGATGTTCTGGGTCAGATGCCTGAACAGGCTTTCTATCAGAACTACAGCTTGCCGAAGAGCGTTCCAGCGGGGTCCCAAAGACATCTGCTGTGTTATCCGCTTCAGCGAGGCTACTAGGCTGGGGAACTGGTAGATCGCTTGGTGGACTGCATGGAGGAACTGATGGCAGTGGCCTGAGCTCCGACGCTCCAAAGGCGGGTATCTCAAGATTGCTGACCGCAGGCTGAAAACTAAGGACGTATTCGCGCTCGATATTGAGGTCCCTGTACCCACACTTCCTCACTTTGAGACCTCTGAGATCATGCTCTTTGCAGATAGGCCGCTTGCAAGCGCGGCAAGAGATCTTCCATCGAAACGCTAGATAGCAATCCTGGCAGAGACTGCGCGGACAACTTTCAGCTTGCAGATCAAGGATCTCTCGTTGGAGGTGCGGCAGTATATCCACGTCGTCACCCAAAACGTGATTGTAAAGTGGCTGGTTCTTCATTTTCCGTAATAGCTCCGGCGACGTAAGCAGCGAAGTGAAGTCCGGATCCTCATATCCCTTGCCTTTCGGTAATGGTGCTGCGCGAATCCGCTCTGCGCCGTCCCGGCCGAGACCGTGGCCCAAGATTGCTATGTCTCCGCTTCCCGAGAATATTGGCTCGAGACAGCACCAGTTCATCTTGAGCTTTGGCGGTGCAGAAATGGAAGTCATAGAGGTGGATCCATTGTTGGCGGCAGCATCGTCAGATTCGGAGGAATCCTCCTCAGCAACATTTTCGTTCATCAAGTTCGGCGACCGCGTTACTCCTGGGGCCCACCAGAACCGGTTCTTTTTCGTTCCTGGCGAATGCCGGATATGATGTTGTGATGAGGACGGTGTCGACATGGAATCAAGCGGTGTTGTGTTACTTGCTCCAAAGGCCAGGCTTGTCGAATGACTTGTCTTCGCGCGCTTTCTTGGAAGAGGACGAGTGAAAGCGCAGCTTGCGCAGAGCGTCTTCCGGCACCCCATGCAGTGCATCCGTATGCTACATTGCTGGCATCGCTCCGAGATTGCGTCTCCGCACTGGTCGCACTTGAGGTTTTCGACGAATGTCCGGTGGCTCCTGCGCAGGTGTGCTGGCACGCCCTTCCCTTCACCTTGGAAAGGTCCGCCCTGTGTCCCTAGTGCTTCTCCATCATGGCCAGTCTCTGCGTCCTCCCACAACCGCCCGTCAGGTTTTCGGCTTTCTGTGCGGTCTTCGGCCGGTCCGATGCGGTTACATGAGCGCCATAGCCTGTCAAACGGTACCCACACCTCTGCCGTCCCTGCCGCAACGCGGTTAGCGTGATAGTCTCTCCTCCGATAGCATCTCCCTCCCGGCGTTGGACACCAAGCCGTGTCTGTCCATATACTCAGTTCGTGGCATATCTCGATGAGCTGATGTGTGGGTTCCGAGTCCGAGTCTCTTCGCAGGAGGGAGGAGGGAAGGTACGGCCTGCGGCGGTGGTGCCGACATCTGTATGCGTAGAGGCTCCTCAGTGCTAGATGGCCGCGTTCGGCCCAGGGGTTGCGACGCTGGCTGTAGGGTTCGAGGAAGGGCACGATGTGATACTTGATCGACACGTTCTTGCAGCCTCGGACGGAAAGATGTTGTAGTGTGGCCAGACGAGGTTGCAGAACCCTCGAAGTCAAGGCGACGCCTGAGACAGCAGTGTTGCAAAGATCCAGGCTGGTCAACCTTGTTCCGAAGGGTACCACCACTTGTATCAGCAGGGCATCAAGCGCGTACTGCTTGGACTGCCGTTCCCGCGCATCGGGTGTCTCGGTCCCCGGCGAGCCCAGAAGCAGCGTTGGCTGAGGGAGCCGGAATGACACCGCTTTCCATGCAAGTGGATAGTCTCTGAGAAAGCTCCGCAGGTGTCGAGATGTATGGTAGAGATGTAGGAGAGAAGCGGTGGGTATCTGCGCAAGGAGTGATTCGAGAATCGGCGGGTAGGTCGTAACGATTGATTCGAACAGGCTCAGAGAGGTAACCTTCTGAGGCGGCAGATCCCTCGACCCTTCTGGCTGCGGTCTGGTTGACGGTGACGGTGACGGTGACGGTAACGGCGCCGGGCTCCAAGAAAGATCCTCCGGCGTGGAGAGCATGCTTTCGTCTGGTTGAAGGCGGAGCTTTGTGGCCAAGTCCCGCCCGGAAAGACAGTCCTCGCGACGCAAAGTGCAGGGAAAGCGATGTACTGGCATGCAAGAGAAGGTACGGCGGCGAGACGGCAGTAGAGATAGTGGTGGATGTTTGTGTTTGTGCTGAGTGCTGAGTGCTGAGTGCTCCCGTCAGGCTGCCCGCGTGCGCAAGTCGCCGCCTACCTTGCCGCGGAAGCTCACGCCCTGGAGCGCCAAGAGTGCGCAGCCAGACCGAACAGCGTCACAGTATTCACGTTTCACGTCGAGCGGTGCGGATATGTGTCTCTAGGCCTGAATCAAGGGCTGGAAGCCATGTGAAGTACTAAATAGAAACAAAAGAGGTCGACCTTACAGAACAGGTTGCACGGTAGTCGGCTCACGTTCAATATCAAATCAAAGCGTTTGAATCTGTTGCTTTCCTTCACTGACCAGGCCTCAAATACTACTTTGAAATCTAAATACATTCAGTCCCCGTCGCGCTGACTTCATCCAGACATGGCGAAGTGCCAACCTCGGATCCATCAGTGCCGTGATCTGCAGCCAGGTTTCGGAAGGCAGAACATTGGTGACAGAACGGCGCAGCCCCCTCGCACGACCCTCTTCGCGGGAGCGGTCCGGCTGGAGCTAACGATGTCTACAGCGCTCCAGGCATTCAAAGCACAGAATGCCGTGGAACGACTCCCAGGTCGTTTAATCTCACTGATGCTCTTGCTGTTCGCTTCCACGTAGTCCGGCCTGAAGAATGACAACCTTTTGCTTGTCCAGCTTGGGTGGAGGAGTGCTGGGCGCTCACAAGGATCCAATCGAAGGTTTCGACTCGGTGCGCATGCAACTCCTCATGTTTTGGACCTGTCACCTCCGACCGCGTATCCTCGCGCAATACCGCTTCGACCCAGCTCCATAAGCGCGCCTGGCGTGTCCGTACTGCTTGGCTCATCGTATGCAATCTCGAAATCGCTCCCGAGGCCCTGCCATGTCCTTTTGTTTCTCAAAAACTCTGCAGCAGGAGATACAACACCGCCCACTTGGGCGAGATCGCCGTTTGCTCTTCTCATGAGAGACGATGAGGCTGGTTGCCTTCCTGGATCACTGGCCTTCTTCGTGGACCGGCTTGGTGGAGCCTGCATAGGCCTCGAGTGCGATACGTAACGTCCCGTCCGTAGATCAAACTCAGGCGGCGCCGATTCTTCTTCTGACCCGATGTCGCTGTCTTGTAGGCGTTCTTCACCCCCATTTTCTTCAGCTGCGTGGTCGTCCGAGATAGCCGGGGCATTCTCTTTTTCCGTCAAGACTGCCTGGAAATCACCGGTCCATTCGCCGGTCCACACCCGTTCGGCGTCCCCCTTCAGAGCCAAGCTCAGTTCGAAGGGCGTGATGATCGGTTTCCAGAAATCTTTGCCCTCGATCAAGCTGCTCTCCCAGCATCCGATGACAACCCAACCGCCTACTTCGCTAAAGTTGGCAACCTTGGCTGCGTTGACTTTTCCGACAACAAAAGTGTAGCTCTTCTTGCCGGCTGCCGCGATCTGCTCCTTCACACGGTTCAGGATGTGAATGTAGTTCTTGACGGATAGCGTGTTGATAAGGATGCCAAATATTGATACAGTGCTTAGGCGTGTAAGGAGAGCGTAACGACGGCGAAGGGTCGCCGCCGATGAAGCCAAAAGGGCCTTGGGGGAAACGGCGCTCTTACTGTCCGTTGGGTAGATGTGGATGGCTCCCACACGTGAAGAAAGCGTCAATAGAAGCGATTGGGGAGGATCGGAGATGTGGAATAGTTGATAGTCGCGAAGTGTCTCCGCCTTCTCCTTTACGTCAGCGGGTACGGATCGATTGGGAAGAGGAGATGAGGGATCATGTATGATTTGTGCTGCGAAGAGATTCGAGTATCCATCGTGCCGCAGTCTTTCGAGAAGGGGAGTGATGTGGTTGGAATAGGGGATGTCTGCCATTAAGATTACTTTTTCGTCTTGTGACTGGTACGTCTCCTTGAAGGCGTGAAAAACCAAGTCTAACGCGAGCGGTCTAGTAGTAAAAACGTATATGACTGGCAACCTCGCCGTTGGTGAAAGGCAAGATCTGCCATAGTGTACAACTACATCAGCATCTACATGCTCTGCCGCGATTTCATCCACGCAGCACGCGCCGTACGATGTATCAGCGAGTATGAAGAGCTTCTCCTGTGGCCCGTCCTCAGACAAACTAACACTCTCCAAGCTCTTGCTAACCCCATCGGCACCATCACCATTGGTATGGCTGCTCTTGGGGGAAGGTGATGAAACTCGATCGTTGCGTGCGTGGCTCAAGCCTCGAGCTAATGCTTCGAACACACGCGGCGCATCCATGAGCATCTCATCCGGGAACTGAAGAGCAATCCTGCGCCATTTGCTGGCCCGTATTTCCCTGACCGTGCGCTCAACCTCGTATACTACAAGGAGCTGCTCGTTCGAGAGTCTTGCGAGGCTTGCGATGTCAACGGGAGGAGTCGGGTCTTCGAAGATGTGTGTATCCGGAGTCGAGAGAACAGGAGCGACTTCTAGAGGCTGCGCCGACATGACTTCGTGCCCAAAGCTTGGAGTCTCAGAAGGCGGTGCGCAACGGACGTCGAATGTTGTCGGCAGGAAATTCTAATGCAGTGAAGCGAAACGGATCACATGACCAAACCCTTTGCCACGTTCTATACACAGGCACGGCAGGGTAACTCCAGAACGAAGACGTTGCGAAGAGTGCCTTGAGCGAGTTAACAGCTCCGACTCCTGTATAATGTCCTGCCACTGGTCCCAGATACAGATCCGTAGGACCATCTACAGTAAATCAACCACGGCACATGACGTACACACAATGGAGTGCTCTCTCCTGCCTCCTCCATGATAGAATCTTGGGCACACCGAGAGGCACATAAACGGGCTAAAATTTTGGTTGTACGGCTACGAGAACACTCTCATCGATCTTACACGGTCTGTAGCACTTAAATCGTAGCGGTGATTACTTGAAAGTGGTCTATCCCGAGTACCCAATATAGGTACGAGGTATTCTTAGACTCCAAGAGTCCTGAACACGAAAACACCAGAAAGCTGAATATTCGAAGAGCTACAAGACTTCTATGCAACCAGACTCTACTACCAAAAAGCGGCAGTAGCAGCCGAGGAGGAAATAAACGCTCGGATTAGACGCCTCCCCCTCCCGCTGCCACAGCACCTCCTCTCTACCTTTCCCTCAATGATCTAGGCACGCATGTGTGCATCTCACCCCCATCACCCACTCTCTACAGCTCCCCTTCATCACCTCGCTCCCCTTTGTTTTCCATTCCCCTTTTCCCACATGGTCAACTCCGGCCGCCGGAATCGTGCTCTACAACTTCACACTGCTGTCCGACTTCGCCTGCAGGTACTTATACGCCGCGAAAGCGAGGGCACCGCCGACGAGGATAATGGCGTAGATCCCGACACCCAGGCCCGCGGCGTCCGGGCCTGCTGTCTTGGTCGCGGTGGGCTGGGCGGAGGAGGAGGGGGCGGGGTCGCCGTCCTATACAAACGTCAGAAAGATACTCAGAGGCCACCGCAACCAGCGCCTCTTCTCGGTTGGTCGTATTGCATGCTGTAAGAAGGTGTTGTGCGCGAACAGAACTGGGAGCTGAGGCGGGGCAGACGCCGGGCTGGGGAGGGGTGTAGTAGACGCACCTCTCGCTTTAGCTTGCCGACGAGCAGGCCCTCGAGGATCTCGCGCGCCTCGTCACTGTGGCCGACGTCTTCGAAGGCTTCGGTTGCGTCTTGGCCGCCGACGTCTAGGAGAACCTCTTCGCCGCCGCTGTAAAAACCGCTCTAATCAGCCCAGAGTTCACCTCTCTGTTCAATCGCAACAACTAAGAACGTATTGTCCAGAGCGGGAGTATACCCCACGTTCCCAGACAGGCCGCGAAAGCCGAAAGTGTGGGAGGGTTGGGGAGACGATACAGAATCAGAGCCGCTAGACCAGAGGGGCAGAACATACGGATGCTCGTCCACAAAGCTAGACGCATTGTAGACTTTGTCGTGTATCACGACCAGCAGGTCCTTCTTGGTGCTGTGCGACGAAACGTCGGAGTAGGTGTAGTCCTTGTCCGCCATTTTGTGTTCCTCAAGGCTCGATTGTGGGGTCTACGAAGTTTTTGTAATTTGAAGCAGGCGCGGCGCGAAGACGGTCGGCTTGACGAGGCGTGGGATGTCGGTGAGAGGCCGTGGATTTGCGAACACTGGGGAGAGAAAGGGTCTGTGTTGTAGTTGTCGGGTAGAGACAGTCGGTTGAGAGATACGGTGGTTCGAATTACATACTCCGCAATCGATTGGCTGAGGTGATAGTCGTTTTAGCCGAGTCGGATACGCCCAGCGGCAGACCTGAAACGGGAAACTGTTCCGAAACGGTCACTAATATCCAGAGCAATAGTATCCGTAGTTATGCTCAAGTAGTTTGGATGACCCGAGACTTGCGTCGCTGCGGGTCGGTCCTACTTTCTGAGTCTGCCAATGCCAAAGTCGTGCCTCTCCGAGTCCTCTTGACTTGGACCGATGCAACGCCAGATAAACCATCAATGTCACATGATGCAACCAAGTCAAGGCCTTCCCCATCCGGATTCATTGGCATCCGCCAGTTCTCCTAACACTCCGCCGATAACCTCATAAAAAACCCAACCCACCCCTACCGATAAAACCCATCCACGTCCTCCCCCCTTCCCCCTCCGCCAACTCCCCCCACAGGCGGTGCGCTCGCACCCGACGGCCACCTCTGGCCCTGCGCCTGCGGGTTATACGCCTGGTAGACGCCTCCCTGCGGCGGAGGTGGGCTGCCCGGCGGCTGGTGCGAGGGCTGTGGGGGTAGCATGCCGTAGGGCACCTGATCAGGTTGCGGCGGGTACGGGTCTTGGATTACGGCGGACGGCTGTTGAGAGTAGAGCGATGCGGGGGAGTCGTAGGGTGGTTGGCCTTGGGGTGGAGGTTGCTGCTGCTGCTGCGGAGGGTAGGGAGGTTGTTGCTGTTGTTGGCCCTGCATGTGAGGTTGTTGTAGCGGACCTTTCTGCGGTGGGTAGGTGTCGTATTGTTGTTGCTGTGAAGTTTGCGGCGGCCCAGATGGACCCACGAAAGATTGTCTGTTTTCGGTAGGGCTGTATTGCCCCGCTGCGAGCTCCTGTGTGGGCGCATATGCTGCTGACGGCGGCCTCACACTAGCTCCGCCCATTCGCGCGTATGGGCCTGCGCTTCCTGTCGGCTTTGGCGACATCGTTTGCGCTGGCCTGCCTTGGCCGGGTGGGACCATGTAGAAAGGTTGCGGGCCGCTCTGTGGAGGGTACTGAGGTTCTTGAGGTGCAGGTGGGTAGAAGTTTTGAGGGTCTTGCGCCGGCGGAGCCTGCGCATGCGGTCCTTGAGGGGGATAGGCACCTGGATATGAGGGGCCGTGCGGGCCTGGTGCGCCATAACCGAAGCCTGGGCGCATATAGGCGTGCGACGGGGGCGGTTGGGACATGGATGCTTCAAGTAGAGCTTCGTAATCGCGTCGAGCTTTGATGAACTTCTCGTTGAGCTGTGTGAAGTCATCTGGAAAGTGCGTCAGCGGCCGAGTGTCTAGGATTCCGAGAGCAACCAGGTTCCATACCTTTCTTCTGCGAATACTTCCCAATCAGCTCTATGAGCTTGGGTCGTATCGCCAGCGTGGAGTGATATAACGTCTAGAACCGGTCAGTGTCCATCTACAGCAAGTGTTTCCATACGACACCATACCGTGATCTCTTCATTGTCTCTGACGTCCACAGCGCCGGCCCTTTCACTCGTGCTCAGCAGCGCAAGCAGCTTTTCCACGTTCCTGATTTCCCCAAACACCTCCGCCTCCATCTGCGCCTCCCGCTCCAGCTCCTCCTTTGTCGGATCTTGAAGCTTCTCCACATAGTTCAACGGGAAGATGCCCGTCTGGCCCCGCAACGACCCCTTCCACCAGTCCTTGTACACCGATTCCAGGACTGCGATTATGTCGCCTTTACGGAACTGCAGCTCGCCGGGCTCGGAGGGTTGGAAGTCGAAGAGCGCACGCACGCGGGACACGGTGGCCGCTGTTGTGCCGGCGGAGGGTTGTGGTTCTGCGGGCTGTTGTGAGGCGCCGGCGGTGGCTTGAGGCTGGCTGGATGTTGTAGCGGCGGCTTTCGCTGGGGTCGATTTGTCCTTGATTGAGAGTGCTAGCGCCATTTGAAGCTCCTCTTCCTCCTTCTGCCGGTCCGCCTGCGTGATTTGTGTCTTCTGCGGCTTCGAGGGTGGGCGTAGGTTCGGGTCTAGCGGTCATCATGTATGAGCTAGCCGAAGGATCAGACACAGATATTATGACGACTCACTCTGCGTCTTGAGTTTCATGTATGCCTGCTCCATTATCCCCAGATCTGGGTCCCTTGCAAACATTGTCGTCCACTCGCTCATGCGCTCGATGATCTTAGCCTTGACCTGCTGGTGCGTGTTCTCCCTTTGTCAGCGCCAATGTCGTCCGTTTCAGCCATCAATCCCACGTACTCTGTCTGCAGCGAGCCGTAGCAGCGCGTCTGTAAAGCTTCGTGAGGCGAGCTCCTTGTGCATTTTGCCGCCGCAGTTCTGCGACAAGGCATTTGCGAGCTACAGAACAGAAGAACGTCAGTTTTTGCCTCATGTAACGTCGGTTCAAATGGTGCACGGGATAGGCGACGGACCTCGAGTGTGTAGAGCTGAACATTGGCGTTCCGATGCGCCAGACGCTTAATCATGGCCGCAACGGCCTCTTTTGCCCTGTCATTAGACCCGAGTCAGCCCAGTCTCCTCAGCCAGTTCGCTCTATACGGAGGTGATCGGGGGCTTGTCGAAGCTTCGAGAAGGGAAGCGCTCACCCATCGTCTCTTGAGGCGACTTTATCGCATACGTCCTGCCGAAGGAGACTCCGTCAGTGAAACTCTTCAATCCTCGTTGAAGCCCCATACCAGTATGTATTCCCAGTTCTCGCTCGTCAGGTTCTCATCCGTGGCCTTGACTGCGCAGGGCAAACGGTGTCAGCAAGAGCTGCCTGGAAGCTGCCCCACCATAGCCAGAAGCGCACTCACCGACAAGCTCGTCGAAGGCGTTCTGTTGTGCGCGGAACATGGTGGATTGAGTGTGGGAGACTGGAGAGTTCAAGGTGGTGGAAGAAGCGTGGTTGGAAGGAGAGTGGTAGAGGGTTACGAAGCTTCTGCTGCGCATGCCCGCGATGGTCCCAAGTGAGGTCAGGGCTGGGGCTTGGCGGGCTTGGTGGTGCGCCGCAATGCGCGGCACGCTAGTGACCCCGGACCAGTCGATCATAGGTACGTACATAAGGTACACATTGTAAGCCTCAGGCATCACGTGAAGTCACATAGGTATCGCAGTAAGGATGGTCAAACACAGTGATGCCTTTGTACTTTCGCAGTTTTTTTTCTACACTCCCAGTCTCCAGCACCTCAAGCGCCGCTTGTATCCGCACCCCTCGAAACCAGCCGTGAGAAGATACACAAGGAGACCAGCGGGAGGTTAGAGGCCGACCTCCCGAAGCACTGCAAAGAGACCCAGGTGAACGCCTTCTTCGCTCCCCGCTCCCCGCCGCGACCGTCAACAACGACATTCTATCGCAGCAAACGTGGCCCAGCACCATCTGACTAAGATGCATATGGAAGGAAAAAGAAGCAAGCATTTCGTGGATGACGCCGTGGCGCAACAGGCACAGCTGCGCAGGAGATGCAAACTCTTCAACGAGCTGCTTCAAAGTCTGGGGTAATCCACGTGGGTGCAGGTACGGAGGGCGTTCGTCGACCATGTGCGCGAGATACCTCGCAAGAGGAGCCGGACGCGAACTCGCACACAGGTCGAAGCGGACGAACAAACAGAGAAGGATCAGCGAAAATCACAACGATGCTCATAGCCCAAGTCTAGCGCGCCGTGCTCTTGCTCTTGGACTAGAAGCTCTCACGACGCGGCTTTCTTGCGGCGCTCTTCGGCCCTGGCTTGGCGCGCGGCTCGCACGAGCGGCGCAAGCGTAGAGAGCTGATCTGCAGTTTGGATGAAGGGATGCTACATCTGAGTTAGCCGTTGCTCTCATGTTTGATGAAGTACACCGCCTACCTTAAGCAGATCGTGCGCGCTTGCCCGCTTCTCCGGGTCGACCTTCAGCGCGAAATACAGGAAGTCCTTGAACACGGGAGAAAGGTTGTGTTCCTCCTTGATAGCAGGCGTGCCATTGGTGGCGATGAGCCACAGTGCCCGTAGCGGTGATTCGTTGAGGTAAGGCGGTTCGCCCTCGATCATCTCAATCGCCATGATGCCTAAGCTCCAGATGTCCACCTTGCGGCCATACTCTTTGCGCGTCACAACTTCCGGTGCCATCCAATACGGCGTGCCAACCATCGTTGTACGCTTGGTGTGAGACTCATTTATCTGGGCGCAGAAGCCGAAATCCGCTTCATGTGTGTCAGCAAAGAGGTCGGTTGCCGAGAACTCCTTGTCATGTACTTACTAAGCTTGATGTTCCCTTCTAGAGACAGGAGAATGTTGTCCGACTTGATATCTCGGTGTATGACGCCCTTTGAGTGCAAGTGCTGCAGGCCATGCAGGGTCTGTGCGGTAATTAGTATCGGAACAGCAAACTTTTTTCTAGCGAACGTACCTCTTTGCAGACTGCTGCGATCTGCTGCTCGCTCATGATGTTGAAGGTGACCACGTCTGTCAAGCTACCTCCCTCCATGTACTCCATGACCACCCACAGATCTCCCCGGACAAGAAAGCTATCCATAAAGTTCACGATGTTCTTGTGCTTGGCCTCCTTCATGACGAGGATCTCATTGATAATCAGATCCTTCTTTGGCTGCTGGTCCAGGTTCATCTGCTTGATCGCGACGCATCGGTTCGTGCCCACCTCGTAAGCCGTAAACACGCCGCCGGATGCACCCTGTCCGATCTTGTTCAGATTGCGGTACCTCTTCGTCGGGTCCGCATTGGTGCAGATCTGGTTCAGCCTGGCGACAATGTCAGGGCCTTGGCTTTGACGGGGCCGCTGCCGAGGCCGCGGTGCTGGTCCTACGCGCGCTTGCTGGGACGGGAGGGGGATGTTTTGGGGATCTGAGATCTGAGCGAACTGCTGCTGGGGCGTCGGGGGAATGAAGTCGGGCTGCTTCTGGCTTTGACTTCGTACTAGCTGCTGCTGCTGTTGCTGAAGCTGCTGTTGCTGCTGTTGCTGCTTGGCAAGAGCTTGTTGCGCTGCCATCATTGCCTGTTCTTGCTGCTGCTGGTACTGCTGCAGCTGTTGTTGCTGGGACGGACCGAACGCTCCTCCATCATACTGCATAGGAGAGCCTGTAGTGTTTGACCTGCTCCTAGATAGAGGCGGCAACTTCGGGCTTTCTGTCATAGTGGGCGGGGCGTATGCGATCGGAGGAAGATCATCTTCAGGACGGGACTGGACTGGTGGTGGTATGATTGGGTTTGGAGCCGCAGGTGCAGGGCGAGTTGGAACCATGCTGGTCGATGGTGCGCCAGGTGGTCTTGGCGCTGGTCTCACAGGATTCATGTCGCTCGTTTGAGAAACACTCGGCGATAGCATTCCGAAAGAGTTTCGACCCGGAATTGGGGGTGGAGCACGCGGGTTCTCGAAGCTGTCTTCACCGTTTCTGGGAAACCGTGGGCTTGCCGGGGGGCTCATCATCTGCATGCCAGCGACGCTCGGATTCAGGCTACCTTGGTAGACATATCCACTTGGCTGAGTGTGTCCAAGCTTGTCCCAGATCGGATCGTCGCTCTTTCCCTCCATCGTCTCCTTGTAGTAGGTGACAACGTCGACCAGCGTCTGGGGGTTCTGCTTTTGCTCTTGCTCGGTGATGCCATTTTGCTGCAACATTCGCTGCCACTCCTTAGGCAGTCCCTGGGAAGCGTTAGCCTGCGACATCTGTAGGCTGGGCTTTCATCAAGACTGTCGCTGGGGATTGGACGATAACGTACAGTGTACTCGCCGGTCTCGTTATCAATGCTAACATGGGTGACATGCATCGGATTTGTTGGCGTCGATATCGTTGGCCTTCGCGGCGTGCCGAGCACGCTGTTCACGAAGCTCGAAAACCCACTCTTCTTCTTGAGCACCTCTGGGCGCACCGGTTTGCCGACGCTCGCCTCGTCCGAGTACCGCTGCTTCGGACTGTTGGTGCCGCTATCTGAGCGGGGCGGCGAGATTGTGTCCATCTTCCGACCCAAGACCGCGAAGCTAGCGGACTGGCGCAGCGACGGTTTGGCAGGACGAGCGTCGGTGGTGTACGAATGCTGGGGCGGCGAAGGTCGGTGCGGGCGTGGAGAGGGTTGCAGTCGTGCGGAGGGTGCGGTCTGGTAGGCAGCGGTCGAGTCGAGAGGATGTCCAGCAAGATGGCTCGGGGCTGTCTCGGGCAACGAGTGTTGCGACGAGCTGGCACCTGAGAGCGCGACGTGGTGGTGTTCGTGGAGTTCGTGGTGTGAGTGAGATGGATCCGCGCGCGAGATCTGGGTTGGTAGATTGGTTGTCAGCGCTGCGCGATTGGACCCGCTGAGCCCTCCACACACCCCCCCACCCACCGCCCAATGGCCGGCCTTGCACAGGGCACTTCTGACAGCTGTAGGTACCGTGGACGTGACTCTCGCCGGAAATCTCTCGCTGGGGGACGTCCGAGCATGCACTTACCTCGCCGTACAAGCCTTGGTCGCCGTTGGAGTAGTATCTGTCGAGCGAAGATGCCGAAGAGGAGAAAGCAGCGGGGCTGGGCGAGGTGAAGCGGGCCTGGCCAGGGGCGCTGCTGTGGTGGTAGTGAGGGTAAGTGGGCGCCGAAGGGTTTCTTTTCAGAGCTCGCGATACCACATCTGCTTTGTAGGCAGTGGGCGGGTGGTGGTGCCCTCGGTGTTGTTTGGAGGAGCCGCGCTCCATGTTGCCAGCACTCGACTTGCTTTGACGACCTCGCACAGCACCTATGCAGCGTATCGTGAATGTGAGCAATCGCCCGACCTCAATGTGGATTCGTGCAATCGTTCAGTTACAGACGGATGCACAGAGACGGACACTCTAAGATCTGCACGCTTGTCCTCACGACGCTGCACCGACCTCGCACAGCGCTCCCCGTGCTAGCCCAAGAAGCCTGCCTTGTCGGCATGCCTCGATTCAGTCAAAGCCAGCCCGGCATCCTGACCAAAGGTCCTCAAGTCAGCGCCGAGGCCTCACCCTCATCCCAAGACCCGGGCATGCTCATCTGGCTAACAGCCGCCATGTACACAAGCGCCCTCCGTTCACGCAAGCAAGGCGAGGCCGTTGGCAAAAGGCCGTTTCAGGCGTCGATCCGCTAATTTCTGGAGGGCGGTTCGCAGCGCAAGGGCATCCATGAGCTTCCATCGAAACGGCCCGCTTGGACTGCAGGTCAATTTCCCAGCGCCACACTGACGGCAGTGGTCGCTACTTCCGAGTTGATGGACTCGGAATCAGCACAGTTCGGCTGTTGACCTGGCGCCGAATGACGACTGCAGCGCTGGCGAAGCAAAGATACTCGCTGGCTTCGAGCTCGCGAGACAGCGCGAAGATCACGATAAGTAGCTTATGGAGCAGTCCGGGGAGAGCTACAGCACGGAACGGAATGCCGGAGTGGTGCGATGGCTTGGGTCTACACGATCGGATTATCAGAGTTGCAATTCGCCTGGAAAGAAGGTCTGTATTCAGGTAATGCAGCGGTCTCCCTTATAGGTCAGGTAGGCTATCCCTGGTATTCAAGATATCCAGCGTTCGGGGCTAGCTCCGACGCCCTCTGGAAGATATTCTTCGCAACCATAAAGGAGGGACCGTCTCCTCACATGTCACCGGGAAGATCACATCGTGCCATCGGTAAGCACCTCATGCGGATATGGCACGACGTAGGTAATGTACGGTTGTGAGCTAGCTAATCGGAAAGTCGTGGTGTTTTTCACTTCGGGGTGATGGCAACCCCGCGAAAAGTGGTAGAGTTGCAGTCACAAGCTGTCGGATGGCTTGAGATGTCGGGCTCTAGGTGAACCACACATCCTTCTAGACTTCATATATATAATCTACTATGCTCGATATGCTGGAGAGCTTGTGATTCTCCATTACGAAGAACTAGTAGGTGCCTTTACGGCTTTGTTTTGGAACCCATTTCTGATGTGTATTCATAAAACTTTGTCTGGGTGGTGCATGCAACAAGGGTCCTCAGGGGCCGACCAACGCAGGATCAGGGCGGAGACGGCCCGCTGTCCCACGGCAGGGTTTATCCATGAATGGTTGTGCCTAGGGTTGCGCGGTTGCGATGCAAGGTTGGCTGAGTTCGAGTACCGAAAACGTGTGGACTGCTCAGTAGTAAAACAGTCGCAAGGTCGAGGTAAACCTTTGCAACTTGATTACCGGCTTGAGTTCTAGTCCGTGGACCTTTTTGTGGGTGCCGCCATCAACGTCTGGACATCCACGATGTACTATACAACCCCTATACCGTTCATCAACACAGAGCAGAGCCGCTGGCCCCGCATGGCCTTCAACCACCTAAGTGCGAGCCTCCGCCCACGTGCCAAACGGAACGCTCGAACGAGAAGCCTAAGCCGTGCATGTGCGCAAAACGTGAAGTAAGCCGTTCCCCATAAGCCATCTCTAACAAACAGTCATGCGCCTAATGTCCACGTACTGGTACAGAGCGTGTATCTCACCAGAGCAATGAAAACGCCGTGAGAATGCACGATAACGTGAAAGCGGAAGTGAAAATCGACAGACCCGGCGCCAGCGAGCAGGCAAAAATGCTTCAAAAAACGGTCAACAGACAGGATGAACGGTGCTAGGTAGTGTTGTGAGAAGACAACCTCGGCGGAGTTTCTTCTCCCGACTCCTCGTTAGAGGGTGTCCGTTGGTTCTCATCGGGCGGGGCAATGGATCCTTCCTCCTGCTGCTCGCGAAGGCGCCTCTGTTCCTCCGGAATGCGGCCTTCGCCGCCATTGCCCACGAAAGGATCATCCGATGCAGCTGCGGCCTTCGCCTCATTAGACGGGCCACTAAATGGAATCTTCTCAGAGGGCTCGGTTTTCGCCATAGACGTGTTGGGTTGCGCCTTGTTGAACCAGCCTCCCCTCTCCCAGTTGCCCGGCTGGTAAAGGTTCTCTCCTCGTGTTTTGGCGTCTACAATACCGTTGAGCAGCTCGCTGAGTCTTTCAAAGCGAATTGGCTTCATGATCCAGCCATCGAAGCCATAATCAATGTAATTCTGTCTCTCTTTCTCCACCAGGGAGGCGGAGACAGCAATGATCGGTACTCGACCGTTCAGAGTAGCGCGAGTGGAGAGCATGTGGGTAGGGTGAGACTTCTCGAAGGACCGGATCATCTTGGTGGAGGTCATGCCATCCACAATCGGCATCTGAGTTTCATGTCAGCCATGCTATACAGGTCCAGCACAGGATCTTACTAACCTGCATGTCCATCAAGATGACATCGAAGTGACCAGAATGGTCGCAATAAACCGCCGAGCACTCTTCTCCGTTGACGCTTAGCGTGGTGGTGTGGCCCAGTTTCTCTAACCGCTTTGTTATGATTCGACTGTTTGCAAAAGTCAGCAAATATTATGCTAAGGCTCCGTGGTATGGCAGACGCACGCATTGATTACGTCATCTTCAGCGATCAGGATACGCATATGATCTGCTGATGGTGGTTCATCCTCGTGTGGACGTGATGAAGTCCCCTTGCTGTGATTCTCCACTTCACCTAGTATCCGAGAAGAGCGGGCTGAATCCTCGATCGATGTTGTATCCTCGCCCGGCATGTGAATAGCCTTGACTGGCGCCGAACCATGAGGAAGATCGTCCTGTCCTGGAGTAATATGCTCGACCGAACGCATATGCTCTGGCGGAGGCATTTCAATGCTTCTGGTTCGAGTCCTTTGGGGTGAGGCCGGCTGACTGGTGTAATGGCTGCGCCTACTTTCCAGCCGCGGTCGACCAGATCGTCCACTTGTGCTTCTTTCGCCAGCGTTCGGCCTGCTTTCGAAGTTCTGAGGCTCTCGGATGGCATTGATGAGCCTATCCACGTCACTCTTTACACTGTTGGTACTGGAAGCCGCGCTCCTCCTGCTGTTCACGCTGTCCGCGCTGTTCTTCCGGACGAGCTGGCTGCTGGAGCCTCTGCGCTGGTCGCTATCCCGAGCCACTAGTGTAATCTCGCCTTTCGACTCAGCGGCCGCAGGCTGAGGAGTTACGGTGCCGGAAGTGGAGCCCGTAAGGGATTTCTGCTGGTCATCTGGGAGCTCAAACGGCAGCTGGATTACGAATCGCGAGCCTTTGCCTTCTTCAGACTTAAGCCGCAGTTGGCCGTTGATGTTGCGTATTATTCGAGCAACCACTGCGAGGCCGAGACCTAGCGTCCTCTTCTCCTGTGTCCCCTCTATCAGCTTCTCTGGGCCGAGCGCAGGGCTCCCTGTCGTCTCGGTCTGGACCTGCTCAAAATCGCGAAAGAGTGCGTCCAGCTTTTCGGTAGGCATGCCAATGCCAGTATCCTGCACAGCCACTTCAATGTCGACATGATTGTCTCCGTCCCACGCGGCAATGTACATCTCCACTTTGACGCCTCCCTTAGATGTATTCTGGATTGCGTTCGCCGTGACGTTCGATATGGCTTGACGGATCTTTCGCTGATCGCCGACAACATTTTGTGGCACATCGGGACACGTCGTGACATCGTATTCGATCTTTTTCCGAGTTGCGTCGCCCCTGAACAGATCAGTAGCTTCTTTTAAAGTAGCTCTGAGGTCGAAGACTTCCCCCTTGACGAGGTCTGCGCCTTCTTCGGTCTTTGTGAGGTCTAACAAATCATTAATAACGTAGATGAGTGACTTTGACGCGGAATGTGATTTCGCTAGATTTTCTCGTGTTTCTTGATCCAGTGTGCCTTCAAGAGCAATTTCCAGGTAGTTGATGATAGCGTTGAGAGGCGTTCGTACTTCATGTGCAGAGTTCGCCAGAAGAAGCCTCGTCAACTGACTGTTCTGCAAAGCCAACTCCTTCTGCCGCCACACCTCGATGAACTTGCCGTACACTAGGCACAATACTGCTGCAGTTTCAATCTCCTCTGCAGTCCACTCCCGACATTTTCCGACCACAGTTTCGCTCCAAGCCTTGAAGCTCTTTCGGGGTTCTAGATAGCCTTCGGTGCCTTCTTTGATGAATTTTTCGTACGGGTTTCCAGCCCACTTCACTTCTTTGAGCTGGCCTTTCCTGAACATTACAATGAAATCGCTACCCCCGACGGAAAGAGGCACCAGAAGCAGACCGGCAATGAACGAGAAGCCTGGAGAATACCTGAGGTCGGGGAAATCTTGCGTGATATCTTGAGATGCCGTCACTGAGGTGATTCTGCGCATACGGAGGTATTCCAACATTGCCAGGGCCTCCTGTGAATGTTTCACATCTCCTAAAATTTTAGTCTCGTCTCGGATAGAGAGCATTCCAAAATCCGCATCGAACAGGTTCAAAAGGTCGTCTGACGAGGCAACGATATAACCGGAGGGGTTGTGTTCTGATGGTGCAGTATTGATCAATTTCCGCGCCTGTAACCGCGAAGCGTACGAGAGCCGCTCAATGTTCCTTGAGGCGGAATCACCGATAAGCCGGCACATTTTCCTGATTGGAAAGGAGACCCGCATCCCCCGGGGTCCGTACGAGTGGCAAGCGACCAAGCCCCAGAGCTCGCTGAACGCATTGATTGAAATGGACATAGACGATCGCACTGCCATGTTCGAGAGATACTTAAGATGAATGGGTGACATAGCGCGTAGATAGGAATAGGTCAGGTCCAGAGGGCGCTCTAGGTCTTCGTGTGTCCGACACACCAAGCGCGCAGTTTCTTGGTCTCGGTCGTATAGCAGCCGTACTCTGTTGATCTTGTAGAGTTCCCTAGCCTGTCTAGGAATATCGGATGCAGGGAAGTTCAGCCCTTTGTAAAGGTCGCGAGTTGCTCTTGGGTCCACAAGCTCGGTTACGACGCGCCCGTTCCAAGCCTGATCGAACTGATAAATCATCACGCGATGAAACCCTGTAAGCTCTTTCACAACGCCGACCAGGACCTTGAGAAATTTTTCAAGGTTTGGGGCCGCAGCGAGCTGCTCCTGTACCTGTGACATAATGTTGAAAACCCTGCAGTCCAGATGTGTCAGTGAAACAAACATGCGCCATTGCGAGTTTAAGACCTACTCCATGGCAGCGGCCTCCCCCTTCCTTCGCCTTGCGCTCCTCAAAACCCGCAGAGGCCTGCTACTGTTCTGGGTGCTTTCCGCATACTCTTCTGCCGTCGGCTGGTTATGCAATGTATTCTCGGGCAGTTCCGGCGCCAGCTCGGTGGGTGGAACAAGCGGAAATTCGGGGTCGTCCTCGAGCTCGAATTCGCAGATGATCAATCCGGGATTCGTATCGTTGATATGGATGGCGCACCACAACTTATTGTGCTTCCTCTGCGGCGTCTGGATCGACATAGTGAACACCTCGGGCCCATTAGTAGCGACATCCGCATCCTCATCCTTGATGAAATCGATGTGGTCTAGCAGATTCTCGCATTGTTCATCAGACAAAATATCGCAAAAGCTGTCGAGATGAAACAGTTGCTTCGGTGTGTATCCGATCAAGCGCTGAGCGTTCTCGCTGGCGATCCTAACTTTCAACTTGTTATCTTCGGTTTCTTGGAGTGCTATGAGAAGGCCGAAACTCTGGATTGCTCCAGGGATGTGGATTTCTTCGTCCTCACACCGCCGGAGGGTGTCGCCGTCTCTTCCAGTCACAACATAGTGACCGTCTTGGTTTATCACATGTTGGAACCTAGCTGTAACTAAGCCCCCACCGTCAATGCTGCTCCTAGTGCTCTCGATAGACGGGGGTCGGTCGTCTCCAGATGATGTTGGCCGTTCGCGTACCTGTCCGCTTCCTTCTGAACCTTTGCTCGATACATAGTCGCTGAAAAGCTGCGGCGGTACTCTGGGTGCAGATGATCCGCCGGGGTCGGCTCTGCGAGGTGCACCAGCTCTTCGATCGCTGTCGCCATCAGTCTGAGGTACCGCTGTGCTGCTTTGCCTTGACCTTGCTGCTTGCGAACCCTCCGATCCCATGCTCACAGATTTCCGCCGCGCATCACTAGCGCGAGCTGGAGTATGAAAATATGAATCCCTTTCCCGATCCAATCTTTGTGAAGGCGTAGGCGTGGGCTCGACCGAAACGACGCTACGAATGGGGAACACTCGGTCAGAGGCGTCCGGGCTCAGAGGGTCCATTGACTCGCCAGTATGTGGCATGACATTACTGGCTCCAGCCGGTTTCTGTGCCCGAGTCCTGGTCTGAGAAGAGAGGTCAGCCGCAGCCAGACTTCTGCAACGGTCTTTCGTTTGCTCTGCGGAAAAACATTGTAGGGTGTAGTGCCAAGAAGACACTGACCTTCGCGCCCTCGCCCAACTCCAGCGAAGGGTTCTGAGCCGCCTCCTTTCTATCCGGCTTAGAAACGGACGGCCCGCTTTTCCGAGACTCGTCCGCCATAGGGTGGGTGTGGGTGGGGAGCAGGAAGGAGAGTTGGCGACGGAGGTGGTGTTGCCCGCCAGGAGGAACTGAGCCAACGTCTTAGGTCATCACAGGTTCTGCTAATTGCCGTGAGCGGATGGTAGGGTTGCGATTGCGGAGCGAGGTCGCTTCTCTGGCTTCGAGAGGTAAGATGCGCTGCTTGTGGACGTCGACGCCACTCGAGATGCACAAGTAGATGCGGTTCGGTGAAGACGCAAGCTTTTCAGAATCCGTATATTGGCGACTCAGGCGATGGACTGATCGCTGTCACCAGCACACACACTCCTGCATCTGCAACCGAGGGTCGTCGGGCAACTGTTTGGTGGTGGGAGATGGTGGGTAGGCGGCGGAGGTCGATCAACCTTGGAAGATGCGTTACTGGCCCGCGATCACGTCTGCTAGCGCCGGAGACGGGGCGACATAGCAACATGCACAATGACTGACTGCTGGGGAGTTGAAGAGAGTAGGTAACATGGCTCTAGTGGCTAGGTGAACGTTTAGGATGAAACTCGCTTCTTCGAGGGATGTGGACGGTCTTCTGGAGCCAGCGTTTTGCGGGTTTTGCAAGGGAATAAGCAAGATGTACACCGCCGATCATACACGCTCAATTCCCTGGGCCGGAATGCCTTGGGCAGCACCTGAAACGTAGGGGACCTGGATACATATCCCGAGGCCGGTCAGAGGGATTGTCAAGCCACAAGACGGCCGATCCTCAGTCATTCGCTGACAGCCCGTGCCTGTCCGCTGCTGCTGCTGCTGCTGCTGCTGCTGCTAGTAAAGATGCGCAGGTCGATAACCGAGACGGCGTTCAAAGGTTTACCATCAGACTGTGGCGTTTTATGACATCCACAAAGCTTATTTATGCTCTGAAAAGTTGGCGTACGCCATCAGGTCCCGCACAGCCGCACAAGGGTAAACGTCTAGCCTTCAGCTGGTGGAGCAATGGGAGCTACTTCCGACTGCAATGGAATTTCTACCTCACGACGCTCCCGATGCATGACTCTTCGAAAGCCAGGGAGCGGCCAAACTGCAGAAGATCTTGGAGATCACCCAAGCCAATCGTGACTCCAGTGGCCGAGGGAATAGACACTAGTGTACAGCCTGACCAACATCCAACCTGAGGCACGAGTATTTATTTGATATAGAGCTGCGACTTGCAAACATGTGCGTCAAAAAACCGTGCTGGGTTTATGAGGTAGTAGTCAGCGAAAGATATCCAATAATGTGACGCTTTCGTGCTTTTGTCGCTCCCTGTCTTCTCAGCGAAACTGTGCAAAAAGTCCGGACAATAAGGGCAACATATACCATCAGACGCCTACTTGCTCAAGCTCCACATCTATTATACAATGCCGCCAGCTTCATGCCCTCTGTAGAACGCTGAAGCCCAGCTGAGGGTTGCGAATATGATGGCAGCCGTGCGGAGAAACGATACCTCACAGAAGGGCTTCTCAGAGCGCCATAACAACAGGCACTTATCAGCTTGACTGACATTAGCACTACAGGTATCACTTCCATCAGATTCTATGTCTGTCACATCCGCCTAAACACATTCCCACTAGCACTCCTCCTATCCTTTCTTTCATGCTTCTGCCCTCCTCCCCCGGCAAACTCGTTACCCCTGCTACGCCCAGCCTTCTCTACCCTCGCCGGCGCAAACGTGACTTCCTTCTCCCCGACCGCCGCGCCCCTGGAGCCCGCAGGGCCTCGCTTGCCATTGTCCTTCAGCGAGGCTGCCCGCGAGCCGAAGGACCTGTCGCGACGCTGTTGCGGTTTACTGCTTGTAGAAGATGAGACGAGCATCTGGGGCCGTTGGGAGCGGTGGCCGGACTTGCGGTAGTTGGAGGAGGAGAGGCGATTCTTGTCCGTTGACTGTGTTGGCTGCTGCGGCCGTTGCTGCGGCCTGCTCTCGTCATCATTGTCCGAAGAGTCGTCGGAGTCGGAGCTGCGGCGGCCATCGAGCTGCTCTTGCTCGACGGCTGTCAGGCCCTTGGGGAAGCTGGCGGAGGGGTTTGTGGAGGGGTTGATAGACTGGAACTCTCGCGAGGTCTCATCGACTTCGAAGTCCTCGTCCTGGAAGAGTCTCGCGAAACGGGAATCTGTTAGGGGATTCGCTTTCCTCGGCGCTTCTTCCTCCGCATCCTGTTCTTCCGCCGCCGCATCCACCGCCTTCACAGGCTGAGCTTCATCAACCATATTGTCATCCCCGCCCCTCTCCAGTATTCGCCTCGCCCTCCTCCTTTCACTCTTCTCCTCCCTCTCCGCCATCTTCTCCGCCAACCGCCTATTAACCTTAACAGCGACCTTCTTGCTCCCCCTAATCCTACTCTCCCTCTCCTTCTCAATCTTCTCCTGGATACTCTTCGCGCGCCTCTCCTGCCACAGCTCGGGGTTACTTATCAGCCTCGCCTCCTCATAGAGCCGCTGCTGCACGAAGAAGCCGTGCATATACGGCTTCAGCAACCCCGTCGTGCCGACTAGATGGTCCAGACTCAGCGCCCGCAGCTCCGGAAGGGTGAGGAACTTATAGTTGTCGTAGACCTCGCCTGCCTTGCGGGCACCGGCGCCGCTGATGCCTCCGGAGAAGGCAGCGGGGTCTTCGCCGTCCTCGGCCATCTCCTCGACAAGGTTGTCCAGGAACGCGCACCACCTGGGCGCCGGGCCCAGCTGCGGAATTAAGAACGAGTGTAACGCCTTCCCCTCGTTGGCGGTTAGTATCATCCCGCTGTCTGCGATCCACTCGACGTGGTTGATGTCGACTGCGGGCTCGACGGACGTCCAAGGCGCGCCGGTCAAGGGGTCCCAGAGCTTGATAATGCGCTTGTCTGCGGAGAGGATTTTGGGGTCCGAGGTTCGCTGCCGGGTTGTGGTGGTCGGGTTCAGGAACTTTAGAGTTTGGATCGGGAAGCCGTAGCCTTGGTCTTTTTTGAGGAGGGGGAGAGGGGAGCGGAGGTCGTAGAGGTGGATCAGGCCTGTGGAGGTGCCGGAGGCAAGAGTAAGACCTGAGCGGTCGAATTCGAGTGCGGTGATTTCGGTACGGGCGTCAAAAGCGGTCGCGGAGGGTGGCGGCGCGAGTACACCGGCTCGGCTGCGTGAGCGTGGGTCCCAGAACTCGACTGTCCCGAGCGACGTCCCGAACGCGAGCAGGTTGTGCGATTCCTCCGCTATGGCGGCTGTGTTCACGCTGCCGGTATCGATCCCGCCCTGCAGTGCACCGCCTCCCATAGAAGTGAAGTCGTCGCCGCCGACATCAATCTCGTAGCCTTTCATGAAGCGCCCGACTTCGAGGTTGAGGCGGAAGACTTCGCCGTTGCCGTCGCCGTCGACCCCGACGGCGGGCACCAGCGCTTCGGCGGAGCGCTTGTCATATTTCAGATCCCGCCCGTAGCGCGGTATTCGCGTCGAGTAGTGGCGGCCTTGCGGGGTGTGGAATTCGAGGAAGCGGTCGGACTGGAGGTGGAGGGATTTGGAGTAGTCGGAGGATAGGAGGAGGAAGGTCTGGTTTAGGGCGTCGGTGTGGCGCGCGAAGGATAGGGATAGGTGCGGTAGGTAGTGTGTGTGTATCTGAGGCTTGTAGGTTCCTGCATGTAGAGTCTTAGAAAGTGCTCTGGTATTGGTGGCTTAACGATGTGTAGCTGAGACTCACTCGCTGGAAGTCAACATACCGGTGCTCATGACCCAGTTGCCATCCTCACTGGCCCTCACGCAAGAGCTTGCCTCCTCGAATTCAAAGTCCTGTAGAAGCTCGACACGGTTGGCGAACTCGGGGTCCTGCTTCAGGCTTCGTTTTCGCTTGCGCGCAAGCCAGTCCGGTAGAGGGCGGGCGGTGGAAGAGCCAGAGATGGTGTAGACGGGTACGGCCGAGTGGTTTGATAGCTTCATTCTGGATTCGAGCGTGAGTGAGTGAGAGAGAGTGTGTGTGTGTAGTTGAAAGGTTGTCGCAGCCCGCCTCTCGACAACTATCGTGCGGCGGCCTTTTTTCCCAAGAAAACTGAAGCTTCAAGCGGGCCGAGGGCACATCATCCCGCCCGAACCGCAGGGAAAACACCCGAGAAACCGGCGGACCAGTCCCTGCGACCGGCGAGCGAGCCAGGCCAGCCAGCTCACCTCAGCCCATCCACCCCATCCACCCCATCCAAAGACGTCCTGCCCGTCCGCCCTCTCGCCCTTCTTGAAACCGCGCTCCGCCCACTACTGTGTATATATCGATCGCTGTTAAGCCACGGCACTACTCGTGTGCGGAGCCGACCTCCGTGCAAGTCCATATACCCTCCCCAGGTCCGCACTCGACGACACGCTCTTCCGTCCGGGTCAGCTATGCCCCGACGACATATCCACATCTTTGCGACCTCGAACTACAGCCTGCCTTTTCCCGAGAGGCAGCTGTATCTCCGTCTTCGTGCGGGTCGACGGTGACACCAAGCCCCGTGAATTTGCAGAATAGCCCCTTCCTATCAAGGTTGATGAAGGCGCATACAGCCATTTTGGGTGTGCATCAACAACGTCTCTTCCATTTGCACGTTCCATAACAGCTTTGACGGAAGGTGTGATGGACTTCTTGAAAGCCTGTCACACCAACATTCAGACTATTGTACGTTATGAAGCCATGCCTAGCCGCCCTGCGATTGCGCTGACGTATGGAAAGGATGGATTCGATACTATTGCTTACCACCTCTACCATACCAAGTGCGACACAACAGCCGATATCACCGACTCTGCCAGGTGCCAGAAAGTACTAGAACACGTTCAGAGGGTTGAGGCGTCGTTGAGGGAGCAGCGCTATCTGGTCGCTGCAGACTTGTCAACATGCGCGCTTTGGGGTTTTGGTCACGTAGACCGTCGAATCTCGCTGGGGAGCCTGGAGCAACAGATCAGTTCTCTACGGACGGACGACTGTTTCCATAACCGTGAGCCAACCTCAAGCATCTCATTTGCTCCCTACTGACCCACACTAGGAGCTACTCAGGGAGAAGTGAAGGCTACCGAGTTCAACAAACTCGGCTACAAAGATTGGGCTATAAACAATGCTGCCATGTTGAGCGCATTGCAAGGCGGTTCTCGGTCACACCAAACCGCAAATGTAAGAATAGTGCAGGCGAACAACAGCCCGAGCGCACAAAGTTACGGCTCTTCCCTTCAGCAGCAGCTGGAGAGTCTTACTTCCATTTACGAGTTCTTCACGGCGGCAGTCATCGGCACGGCGTCCTACTACCTGGCAAGATACAACCACGTAACACCCTTGAACGCTCGCACCTTCATTGCAATTCCGCCCCCGGATCCTGACCTAGATGAACATGCCTATCGACATTTTGAGCATCCCCGGTGGTTAACAGCATTGCATGTCCAGCTAACGACTGCGGGAACACTGGTCATTACATCCTCCACGGACATAGAGCACCCGGTCTACCGGCTTGCTGACACTCGCAAAGTCAACTCAACCTTCAAACCGGACAATAGGCTTGTTCGTATCGCACCTTCTGGAGCTCTGGTCACGCTGGTAGAGCCAGCACCGCCGAGCACGCTAGGTTACCATCCGGCTTCCAGTAAGCAGCCTCGAAAGCGGTCAAGAGCGCAACGGCCGGAAGACTGGTCGCATCACTGGAAGACTGCGGTTAACGCATGGCTAGAACGGAAAGGCATCTTCTTAGACGGCACTGAAGAGGATGAAGATTGGGTCAGGGTCCGGTTACCGAGTCACGTGCTCCCCTCGGATACGGACAATAGCCCTACACCGCAGCTCTCAAACCAACCCGTGCTCTGGCCAGCTTCGCTATGCTTTTACTACCATCAAGAAGACGCCCAGTCAAAATTCCTTGACTCAACAGGATCCGCACAAGAGAACGGACTTGAATGGTTCCAGACCTCTCATCAAACAGGCTTCCAAGATCCTCTATCGTTTGCTAAGCAATGGATTCTCGGCAAGGCGGAGAGAGAAAAGGCACTTGAAGACCGTGAGAAGGCGGAGGAGGCCGAAGAGGAGGCAGCAAGAGACCAAACCGAGCAGACACAGCTGGAGCCATCCTCTCCATTCCAGCCCCGTAGCACAGCGTTGGCCGATATCAAGACCGCAAGCGGGGTGTATCCTACGCCTCCTGATGGCATACCTTTCCACGGCCCGGTCGGTCCGGCTTCTGGCGAAGCCTCAACTCCGTTGCAGTTCAACAGAGCCCCGATCACTCCTGCACAGGATCACCTGGATACCGATCATGCGAAGGAATCTATACAGACTCAGGACCATGCGTTCGAGCGTCCAATGAGCTTGGATCTTCACAGCCCTTCTCACGACCACACAGATGATCTGTTCGGCGACATGGACGACGATACGTATGGAGCCAATGACGTTACTGATATGGACTTTGACTTCTTCGACGATTCTGCCGCTGACAAGGACGATGCTGCCGCTTTGGACGCTTTGGTTGAACAGGAGCTTGCTGTGGGTGGTGAATTGGAAAGCACGAATCATGCCCAAATCCAGGACTCCGCAACCGAGAATGCTGCGTCGTATGAACAGCTTACGAATGACATGCGTTCGCCGTCAGCGCCCGCGCCTGTCAGGACTGGTGTTCCTGCTCCTCCACAAGCCATCACCGCACAGGAAAAGCCCCTATTCATTTCTCGATCATCAGGCATGGTTCCAGGAGCGGCAACGGAATGCGACTCGAGCAGCAAGACCACGGTCATGACCATTACGACCGAGCCGACTCCGCCTCTCAGCCCGCTTGCTGTGAAGCGGAAGCTGTACCCATCTCCGAAGATGTTTGAACCTGGCGAAGCGAAGAACCTTGATGGTGTCACTCGAACTGCTCCGAGACACAGCGCATTTGATCCCCTTAAATTTAACAGGAAACTAAGCCTATCTGATGCGAAGTACGGTGCTGATGGCCGTTTCAGCTTCGCCTCTCCGAAGCAACCATCTGATGACCATGCCACACAGGTTGGACTGGAACAAGAAGGTGCCTCATTAGGACTCGACGATTCCCTTATCCGTCTGCCGGCGAAGCTCAAAACACCTTTATCATCTTCAATCATACCACGCATAGATTCAACCGCCCCGCCAAGCACAACACGCCGTACAAACACTATTCCTGATAACGATGTGTTAGATGATTCCGAAAATGATTTTACCGACGTCACTAGCGGAAGCTCCTCCGAGGACTCGTCCGATGAAGACGCTGAGAACTCGAGGGCCGCTCACATACATCCACATACATCTACCGGTAAGAGGAAACGCGAAGTCCGGCAAGGCAGCGAATCGTCCGCATGCTCCTCTCCCGCCAAGAGCGATAGTAGAACGGAAGGTGCCGACTCAGAACAGAACGCGCAAGCCATTAGAAACCCCGTCAGAATTTTGGGCTTCCTTGAACCCGATGCTGCAGACTGGTCGCTGGCAGGCTTCGTCGCGCCTGCTGTCGCTCCACCAAAGTCGCTTGCCCAGTCTTCGTCATTCATGGATGCGGTCTCACCTATGAATCTTTCAACGCCGATAACAGACATTCAGCAAGACCGCGTCCTGTTGGGTCCGGCTTTGACTGGCGAAGATTTGACCCACATCGCTCAGATTCTCGCGGACCAGGTCATTCTCTCAACACTTGATTTGTTGGAAGATGAGAAAGCGCGGTTCGCCGACCCAGCCGAAATTGTGCCTGAATGCCCTTCATTTAACCCAAGCGAGTCTGTTGTGGCTGGCATCAGGAGTGTCTTCAGAGAAGCAGAGTTGCGCGACTTTGGAGAATATGCGACACTCAAGGATGCTGTATCAGAGAGAACACAGCAAAGCAAGACTCAGCCGAAACCGGTACCGCGGAGGCACGCTTCCTCATCAAGCCAGCCCGGTGAGGACGATAACTATAAAGTTAAAAACATGATGCATTACATCAGGCCACCTCACATTCGAGTCTCTCGGGCGGAAGAGACGTGGGAGCTTTCCCCGCCGGCCATCGCATTCTGGGACGTCCTTGGGCTTGGACCTGTCTCCGGACAAAAGAACGTGGAAGCATATTGCGTCTACCCTCTCAGCGACGATCTTCATGAGCCGGCAGAGAACTTTCTGAGTACTATGAGCCTTGTCTACGAAAGCTGCAGGCTTGGCGCTCACATCCGCGCTAATGGGCCCGGCCAGTTGTCTGAAACAGTGAGCGCCGAGAACGGGTTGGTGGCGATTGAGCTGCAAGAAGAGGCGTCGTTCCAAAGTGTCATGCGCGCGGTCAATGAAGTCTTCGAGACGCTCGGTAAAGCTTGGTCTGCTCCAGATTATGATCGTGGCGAGGCAAAGATCGACGCGATTGTCATCTACCTTATCAACCCATTCAAGACCTCCCGCGCTTTCTGGAATCTCTGCAGCGCTTTCTGGACGCTGTTCAATGTGTATCGACAGGGGTGTCAAGCGCAGCCAGAGGTTGGACCCAAGCCTGACCTTGTCCTACAAGTCGTGCCGATCAAGTACATCGCCTCCTTTCAGGAGCTAATAGTGCTGGATCCGAACACGTATTTCAGGCTAGCCCGTGAAGTGTACGATCGCTGTCCACCTAGCGCACCGCCCGCCGACCGCTCGTCGCTGAGCATCTACGGCGCCGCCTCGATACAGCTGGAAGAGCCGGTGCCGAAGAGCATTCCCTTCAGACTCCAAGCGGATCCACCATCCGATCTGCTGCACGAGAATTCGTACATGCACGTCGGCTATGCGTGTAGCATCGATGACGACTGGATCACAGTCGCCTGGACGGACAACACCGGAAAGTACCAAGCGACGGTATCATACTGTTTGTGGGGCGGGCGAACCTTCGCAGATATCGCGCGCGAGATATGGGAGGCGACCATCGAAATCATGCAACAAAGACGGGTGACGTGGCGCCTCTGCATCGCCCGCGCCGGCATCATGAGTCGCGAGGAGCTAGACACTTGGATTGCAATCGTGCAGTCTCCGTGTCCGCTGTCCGTTGCTATTGCCATCCTCGCCGTCGACCCCACCCCGCCCCTTGAACTCACCATGGACTTCCCCCTCCCGCCTGTGCCAAAGGACACTCCCGCACCCGCCCCACTCTCCGCCTCTACACCCGCAACACCCAATCAACCAGCTCCCTCGCCCTCCACCGACCTCCCTCACGGCTTCGGTACCCCTGCCGCCACCGCGCCCACCAGCACAGCAACTCCCAGTGAAACCGCACAACCCGCGCCAGATTCAACCACAGACCCGGACGCCCGCCTCACAGACGCAACCGACGACACCTACGCCGTGATACTGGGCCACCGCCTCAATACGCTGCAGTCGCTAACCGACTACCGTCCCGCGCTCGCATCAGGCTTTTTGGTCAAGCGCGGGGTTGTGGGGAGTGAAGCGGGACGGAACCTGGCACATGATTCTGAAGAGCCGCCACGGTGGCCGAGGGGCCCGATCGCTGTGGGCGTTAATTTGTTGGTTGTTGGGGAGGTGGGGGGACGGAGGACGCAGGCTGGTGCTGCTGCTGCGACGGCTTCTCAGGACGGGAACGGGGGTGTGAGCACGGCGGAGGCAAGCCAGTGGGCGAGAAGCCCGGAGGCGGTGCTGAAGGACGCGTTGGGGATTTATAGGGGATTGGGACTTTTGGCGAGACTTAGGGGGATGAGGGGCACGAGGCATGGGGCTGTACCGTGGCATGTTGTTGCTGCTACGAGGGGGGTTAAGGGGTTGGAGGGGTGTTGGAGAGGGGTGGGTTGATGGAGGGGTTTTTTGGCAGGGTTCTGGGTGGGTTCCAAAAGGGATGGAAGGGTGTTCGGGAAAGGTTCGGGTGACTGGTTTGGGAGGCGTTTGGGAAGCGAGGTTGGGCTGATGCATCACAGGGCGTTTAAGCATGGCGGACTGGAGCCATACGTGGTGCTTTTTCAATTAGGCCAGTTTGAGCGTTAGGTTCACCAGATATCGATATTGGAAATCGGCCTCCTATGAGGTTTAAGAGTTGAAAGATATGCCAACACACCACCGGGTTATCTCCAACACTTTCGTCCTCATCTGACTATCGATATTCCAGCTCACCTCACCCTACTCCTGAATCCCCAAATGATCAACTTCCTTCATCCTCCTCTGCCCCGCCTCGGCCTTCCCGCTCCCCACAGCGCTGAAGTTCCCAGCCCCGACGCCGTTTGCGCGCGCGGCGTGCGCAGACTCTTCAGTCGAGGCCGAGGAGCCGTCGTCGTGGGTTTCGCTGGTCCTCTTTGACCGGCTGGAAAGCGCGCCGCTGAGGGCGCCGAGTATGTTCAGGTTGAGTCCGGCCTGGGTGAGAGGAGTGTTAGAGGGGGAGGTATGGGAGGTATGGGAGAGGATGGGGTTTTTAGGGGGTTTGAGAAAAGGAGAGGGGGTGAGGAGGAAAGGACAGGCGAGGAAAGCACTGGAGAAATGGATGGAACGGAAATGGAGAGGAGGGGAATTGCATCGCGAGGGTCGTTGATTCAGAGACTAGAATTTTCGGAAGGAGTTGAAATGACAGTGGAGAAAAACATTACAAATCTTGTCCGGAGTTGCGGTCCGAAGATTGATAGAAAGTCACTGTACCTGTGCCTGCGCGCTCGCATGCGATTCCTGCTCCTCGACCTGCCGGCCCGCCTGCGTGTCTTGCTTTGCGACTTGCTTGCCGGACATATTTCTCAAGGATATCAGTCAGAACAATTTCGACTCGTTTTCTAGAGATTAGCTCAATTAGAGGGTGGTACAGCTGAGATTTTCGATTGTAAGTCTGAGACGCTGATGTAGCTGTACGTTGAAAATCACGTGTAAGCGTAGGGCTGTAAAACCGGTTTTACGGACTGCGCTCCGGCGGTGACATCCCTCGATCCTGAGTTCAGCTTAATGATTCACCCGAGTGGGTTTTGTGCATTTACATAAGATATTCTCTCGAGCACGACAACACAGTAGAACGGGGGTTTTATGTAGGGCTGCTTGAAGAGTCGAACAGCTGCGTCTGTTGTCTCGTAATGACCTCGCGTCCTAACATTCTCGGAACTGGAGATGAACCGTACAACCATCTTTCTTGATCGGTTTACAAGTTGCTGTAGATTCCTAAATATTTTCGCGCATGACCGAAGGACTTCTCAAGCCGGCCACGCTATAAGACCATGTATCAATCGCAGCGGCATTCTCTCCGACTGTGATTACAGGGGCAGCTAGCGAAACTGTCACAAAGCAGGATGGGGAAGATTATCAAGCCGGGTACGCTTTCAAGCAAAGTGATAACCGCGACGGTCATCTCCAGTCAGCATTGTCAAACTGTCAGCTGCTAGGAACACGTTGTTTTACTAACTTGGTAAAAGTATACGGAAACACGTTGCACCAATGCAACAATAAAACGCCACATCCTTTGAAGACCGTGAGAAGGAGCTATACTAACATTCAAAGCCGGCAATTGTTGGCCGAGAACAGCTCTGTCCATGAAGAGCCATGTAGAGAAACCGTAGGGTGGAAAGCCAATCGTGCAACCCGGTCGCGGCGGAGTCAGTATCACGAACATCCTCATGGATCAACCCATTGCCCAACACTCTGACTGCAACACTGATCTCCTCCCACACAAAATGGGATGGTTCAACCTCTCAATTTCAAGCACTGGCCTTTCTCCAAGCACTCTTCCGCATGTGCGGATATCCTGTCCAGTGCAAGAGCCCCCAAAGCACAGCCAGCACTCACACCAGCAACGGGTGGACCCACGAAATAGGCAGCAAGACCAAAGATGATTGCGCAGCCTGTTCCGACATCACGAACATCCCTGTATATGTCTTCGATCTTCTTGGTGGCTTGGCGTGAGAGGACAATTTCGTCTGGCGCCCAGTCGTTGACAATCTTGCGGGCAAATAGACATTCGTCTTTGTTCGCTGACGGTGCTGGTGGGTCTGTATCGAGAAGTCTTAGTTATGGAACGTCATGAAGGCAGTGTTCTATGTCGTGCACGCCTTACTCGTTGAAACGACGTTCGTTCACCCTCGCTCGTCTATCGCCCGTTTATCGTCGTGATGCTTTAGACGACCGCTAGCCCATTATAAGATAGCAGACCTTAGTATTCTCGATCTTAGTACGGAGGTCTTAGATAAGCGCGAGGTGATTAGTGAATAGTGGCTAATGGGTTCCTACTATAGCACACCACCCAGCAGCTCCGGATTACCGCTCCACTAATACTCGCGATCTTAAGGTACTAACGAGCTATCACGATAATAGAATCTTACTATAAAGGGCTAGCTGACTGTAATAAGCGGTTAGTGCATCGTATAACCGTCTATATCGTTGAAACGGCGTGTCGAGCGACACGAGCGTTGGACCCTCGTTCGCCAGGCGATCCAGCGTTTTAGAACACTGCAGTTGCGTACTACAACAGACTAAGGAGAATGCAGAATACTCGAACGTCTGAGCACGGTGTCTGCTCAAAGATAATGTGCGTCTATCATGGGGAGCGAGAGTCGTCCGATTTACTCTTTCTAGCCCCACATCCCGAGATATGGGCCCAGGCGGGGCCGAGGCTACGGTGCAAATGGATGTAAACAGACTTACACTCTGCACTATATCACGGAAAGACACCGGTCTCTGTTGATTCCACGCCTCTCAAAAGATCAGCAGTCTTGTTCTCTCCAGATCGTTAAAAGTTTGCGCGCTTAGTCTTGTTCTTGTCTCTAGTTGTAATTGCTCGATCTTCTGTCCAGGGGCTAGCATATAGTCAGATCCCGTGCGAGTTAGCGGTTGGTTATACATAAGCTAAAGACGATGCCGGAATTTCCCATTTCGATAGACACGAGCAGCTCATTCCCGCTGGAAAATATTCCTTACGGAGTTTTCAGCACCAGGGAGGATGCCAAGAAGCGAGCAGGAACAGCCGTTGGGCAATATGTTGTTGACCTAGCTTATCTTGAGCGTCGAGGCGTCTTCGACGAAGTGTCTAATGCATTTGGTAACCTCTTTGCACAGGTACCTCACTCATAAACCAGTTGGGTTCCCCGCCAGTTAGCTGACAATACTCGAGGAAACCCTCAACAATTTCGCCGCTCTATCTCGCGATGTTAGGTCGAAGACTCGAGAAGCTATTACAACAGCGCTGTCATCTAAGGACTCTCCGCTCTTCACAGACCGCGATGTCAATGAGGGGGCATTTTACCGGCTGCGAGATGTAGAAATGCATCTTCCCATGCACATCAGCGAGTTCACCGACTTCAGCTGTTTTGAAGAGCATGTCCGAAACGTGAGTCCTTTCTTTCCATATCTCCCGTCAGTTTAAGCATATCAGTCTCATTAGCGATCGCGCTTATGAGTGCACCAAAACGGGAGCAGCTAGTTAACTCCCGTGCTGTAGTGCTGCCGAATGGCCAAGATGGATCTTCCCCCCAACTTCCACCACAGTCCGATGGCATACAACGGGAGAACATCTTCCATCATTCCCTCTGGTACCAATTTCGCCAGACCGCGGGGAGTCTTCAAGGATTCCTCCACCGGCTCAGTCAAATACGCGCCCACTCAAAAACTCGACTATGAAATGGAAATGGGTATTCTTACCGCGAAGCCCGTCCCGTTCGGCACCACGCTCACCGCCGACGAAGCTTCAGACCATATCTTTGGCTTTGTGCTCTTGAACGACTGGTCAGCGCGCGACATTCAGATGTATGAAAGCTTGCCGGTTGGCCCCTTCAACGGCAAGGCGTTTGCGACGAGCATCTCTCCATGGGTCATAGTCCCAGAGGCGTTGGCGCCGTCAGCTACAGAACCACTCGGTCAGCAAAATGATCAGGTTCCCACGCATATCCGCCATTCTAGTCTGTCCAAAACTATCTATGACGTATCTTTTAACGTGTCCCTTGCACGTAAGTAAAACCGAGCTCCGCTGCGATTCCGACTCAGCTGACACGTCTGCTTTCCCACCGCAGGCTCGGGAAAGGAGAGCGCAAAAGTCTCAACCTCGAATCTCAAACACTCGTTCTTCACCCCCGGTCAGATGATTGCCCATCGCGCATCTTCCGGATGCGGCATGCGGACCGGTGAACTCCTTGGCTCTGGAACTGTCTCGTCTCCCGTAAGTACGGGGTTCTCTCCATACTTCGACACTGTATTGCTGCACGTGTAAATCTCCTTAACAATCCAGTTCGGTTGCTCTTACGCCCCTTTCATGAATTCACTGACTAACCGCAACTTTCCTTTCCCGCTGTGCAGGAATCCCAGTGGCCGGACCCATCAACGGCCCGAAACGGATGTCTCTTCGAGTTGACCGTCGACGGCACCCGTGAAGTCCCCGATATCGGAGGCACCTGGCTGGAAGACGGCGATGAAGTGACGTTCGAGGGATGGGCTCAGGGTGCCAATGGAGCGCGCATTGGATTCGGGCAGCTTACAGGCAAGATTCTACCTTCCGCTGGCACGAAGAAAGAGTGATGGATCATGCAATGGCCGCGAATGAACATCGAGGAAGCGCTGGGGTAATTAGACTTGAATTCCGGTTAACAGTCATGTCGCTTCACATCTCAGAAGTAACGTTGAACAGGTTCCTGATTTGACGCTGTAAGATAAAAGAGGTTTGGATAACTGCAAGTCCATGGAGTGCGCTCTTACTTCACACCTGAGAACTCAACTCTGCATAGCTCGGATCGATATGAAATTGTAAACGCTCAAGCAGTAGCGGCGAGCAAGACGAGAAGCCACCCATGATTGTATGCAGCGAGAGGATTGAGTGAGCGGAAGAGGACTTCTTGCCGATATGAACGGAGGCAAAGGAAGAACCGCAAAGAGAGGACTAGATATCGCGGAGGCCAGCAGACTTGAAAGCGGAGCTTTCACTGCACCGAGTGAGAATGAAGCTTGAGTTTACCGTGCAGACTAGTGTAACTATCGAGACAGAAGGCACAATCGCATATACCCTAGAGTAGTTATCTGGTTCAATCACATTCCTGTACCTACACATACTCATCCCCCTTCATCCACCCCAACTGCTTGAACATATTCAACTTATCCCACTGCTTTGTAAAACTATGCACCTTCCCGTCCCTAATCTCGAATATCGCTGCCGCCTCCCAGCTCGCCTTGCGCCCCGTCGCCTCGATCCCATTATGCGGCTCACCGCAGTGGCTGCCCTCAGCCGAATACTTGAGCAGCACGTGCCCGTCCTTCGCGAAGACGATGTCGTAAGACTTGATGTGTAGGTCCGCGACGCTCGCCATGACCTTGGCGTGCGAGTCCGCGTAGTCGAGGGGTGTCTTGCAGTCGGGGAAGGTGGTCGGGGCGTAGAACCAGGCGTCTGAGGTGCACAGGTGCTCTACGGAGGAGCGGCCTTTGTTGTTCTTGGGCGAGTAGGATATACTCATGTATTCTTTCGCGACGGCGATGTTTTTCTGTGCTCAGCGAGTGGTTGGTTGGTATTTGTTTGTCGAGTGCGATGGGCGGGTGAGTACCTCTTCGTCCGCCGTTTGGGTGGTTGTGATCTTGCAGGGTATGTCGTTCGCCATGTTATTTGTGATGTTCCTAGGAAGTTACAAAGTGGCCTTGGTTCAATTACGGTACGTAGCAGAGTGTTGCAATATCACTTTCTTGTGAGTGTCTCTCTGAATCAAGTCCAGACAAAGCGGTGATGTCATGTTACATGTATTGGAAACCTCGAGTGCCCTTCAAAACTCTACGCGCATTTCATTATATATTATCTCGCGGAGGGAGAGTGATCGTGTCTGCAAGAGAAGAAGTCATGAAGAGTCAAGTGTAATTTTGTCAAAAGACAGAGCTGCTACACATCGAATCTTGCAAACAAAACGTAGAAATCCTTCTGATTCGTCGAAATACTTCTTCCTGCAGTCACCGACAACAGTATCATCGCCGACGCCATTCGTTCACTCAATGTATTAAGTTACATGAGAGAGGGTGTGCCTCTCTAGAAGCCCCGACTGGCCCCTGGTCATTCTGATCACACAACTTGGAAAGCACAACGTGCCAACGAAACCCAAGACGCTCGAGTTACTGAGTGCGAAAACTCATCCTGCTCAGAAACAGCACCAGCTTCAAAATCCTTCTTCTTCTTCTTCTCCTTCCACTGGGTGCAGTGGCGTTATATCCTGCAATGATCAACCTTGCTGAGTCCGATCCACACCCGCTATGTGCAGATGCGTCTAACGTATTTGGAGAACCTCGAAGAGATTTTACTCTACTCTGTGAGAGGGTGCTGGATGGAAAGACTTCCCGAGTCGTCCGTCAATATGGAGGTGCCGTTTACAAGCAGTGCTCTGACTGTGCTGAAGGGTGATCGAGATGAAGAACGCCATGAGGCGGTGCAATCCCTTTTGTGTATCGCAACATGGGTCGGATGCAAATTGGTGAATAGGAAAGTCGAAGGGCAAGCACGAAACTCAACGACCCCAACGATCCAACAATGATCTCTTGCTCTTCAGCGGTAGTAGCCCGATGATCGCCGCTCCTCCCTATCACGCCGCGGTGGCTCGCGGATCTCGACGTTATAGTTCTTGTACGCCCTGCGCTGTTCCACAATGTCGGCCTGGTACAGCGAGCCGCGTTTCGAGACATCGACGGTGGCTTTCCGTTCTCGGATCGGATAATCCACCGTAGCGGCCGTGCTGCTTGCTTTCTCCGGCTTCCTCGGTTGCTCCACCTTCACTCCCTTCCACGTGCGCTCAACCGGTCGAGGAGCAACGTAGTAGGTCCTGTCCATGCTGACAAAGGGGTCCTGTTGGCGTCGGTGACGTAAGCTCCGCTCCATGGCCCTGAGCAGTCCCTTCGTCTGGCTGTAGCCATGCGGGATCTCGACACGGACGAGCCGGCCTTCTTCCTTGTGCGTCGAGTAGGGGATGCCTTCTAGATTGTAGATGAAGGTCGCGACTTCCTGCGCGAGCCGGTGCCCGGTATCACACAGGCGCTGGCCGGATCGGTGAACGTAGTATGGTCGGGAACAGCTCTCGCAACCGCGGGCATGCATCTCAAAGTTGTAAAGCGCCCAGTGCTCCGAGTCCAAGACTGGCCGCGAGACGCCGTCCACTGGGTTGAAGCGGAAACCAACTACGCGATCGTCCTTCCGGGGTGTAGGCTTGGCGTTTTGGACGACGGTAGGCATTGCGCCGTGTTGACGATGAACGGAAGGCATAAGATTGATTGTTCGCGCGTTTTTAAGGATGGACTTGAGAAGCGGCGCCAACTTGACGACGGGTGTTGGCAGCTTTAAATCCGGTAACTGATGTTGGTGGTGGTGGTGGTGACAATGCTGGGGATGGCGGGTTGCCGAAACAGGGCAACGGAGCTTTGGCAAGAGGGTGTGGGAGGAATGTTTCAGACTCGAGTGCTAAATATGGATGACACTCTGAAGGGTTGTTGCAAGAGAATGGACAGATTGCGCGACAGCAGGGAAGGACGGAAAAGATATATTCTTACCTGTCTGACTCTACACAAAGTCCCATGGCGCGGATGCCTGGCATTGGCGTTGTACCGCGCCTCAAAGCACCAGGAAGACAGAGAGACCCCAGGCAGCTTACCAGCAACCGCATCCCTGCAACCGATCCGGCGCAGTCTAAGGTATGTGGGGGAGGGGTGTGCGGACACTGGGCATGACGAAAGCCGTCGCGAGCGAAACACGCCAGAAACCTGCCTGGAACAGCCTTAGGAGGTAGGCTGGCCCCGAGCCATTATTGGCTGGACGCTGGGGCAGTGGGGAAGCCGAGCAGCTCGAGCAGCTCGAGCAGGCGCGGATGACTGGCAGCCAGGCAGCGGCAAGGCCATGGCGGACAAGAACAGGACAAGAGCTCCCCGCCTATTTGCCGCGAGACGCGGACAGGAAGAAGGATTTCGAAGATGGAGCTTGCTGCGCCGGCCTTGGTCTCAGATCGTGTTGACTCCGCCCCCATCCGGCGTCGCGAGCGATATTGGGGTGTCGTGTTGAGGAGAGAGAGGAGGGGCAGTTTCGGTGAAGCAGTGCCTCCGGCGCGTCCGCTTCCAGCTTAGCCCTCGCCCGCAGTGGAAAGGCTGGCGCAAATCACCCCAGCAAGCGCGCTTTCGCTGCATCTATCGTCGCGGTGACACCGCTCCACCGTGACAGGCGCCATCGCTGTCGCAATAGAGTACCTAGGTAGACGGTCGCTCATCGGCGCAGACCCATGCGTGGAGGCAGTCGATATCTTGAATCTGTTGAATCTGGCATGTCCGTGTCGTCGCTGTCCGCAAGCTTGCGACTGTCGACGGATGCTAGCAACGGTGTTTATCCAGCATCTATACTCTCTTCCCAAGTGCATTTCCATCCGTCTCCGTGCTTTGTCTCGCACTTCTCGAGCGAGTACCTATGACTATGTCGTGTGTTACTCTGTTTCCGGCACCGGGAGCAACTGGACAAGGCGCAAACAGTCGCACACGGCATCTCCCTGTCCGCTCCCGTTCATCGGCAGAAGCGCGTCCATCGTCCTTCCTCCCGTTATTGTAGCTGTGACTCTACTTTACGTCGAGGTCCGCTGCCCTGCGCCGAACGTTCCCCCTTGTCCGTCACCTCTCTTAGCGTTATTCTTCTCCACTTGGCACAGCCAGCATCCGCTTTTGGCTGACCGGATTTTGCGTGTCCTGTCTGCGTCCCTGCGTGGCCGTTATCTTGACGAATAGATCCGCATCCTCTCTGCCCTGTAGGGCTATGGCTTCGCGTCCGGCCAACATCACCTGCCTCTGTCTTGCAGAGCGCGGCGCAGACGGTAAGCACGGGCAATCTTTACCAGACGTCCACGTGAGTCCTCAGTTGCGCGTCTGTCAGCGGCCGTATCCTCAGGCAGGCTTGCCCTGTCAGCACCCAGCTCCCGTGACCCACAGACTGCCGTCCATTACCTCACAGCGGAAGAGCCGGCCGGGGGTGCCAAAAATCTTCTGTGTCCACCACCGCGCGTTACTCAGGCCAAAAGTCTCCATCAACGACGCCGGACTGACGTGCGTTTCCCCACACAGAGGCCTGCGCAAGACGTCAGCCCTGAGAGGCTGGGCCCGTCTTGGTTCCGCGACACCAAGCATTTTCAACGGGGATTTTGCGGCTTCACGGCCTCAGCCGGATGCGCGCGCCACTTCTTCTGACCTGAGTGCCCGATCGCTGTGTGGATCGTCCATCTCAGAAGATCATCATCACCTCGTGGAGCCAAGAATTGGCGTTTGGAACGTTGACGGGACATGTTCGCATGTGTCAACGCACCACAATGTTCTACTCTGCATTCTGTAGTCAGTGGCACCTGCTCTCATCCGAGCTTGCGGCCGGAATGCTCGTAAGCAGCAGAGTGCCAGCAATGATGAGGCACGCCTGAGATGCCACAGTGTTATCCCGTTTCAGCTCCGTCTGCCACCATCGAAGCCAAGTAGAAGGGTCTTCGCGGCACAAGCTTGAGCTGCTCGGTAATGCTTCGTATTCTGGGATGCCTTGTTTACAGAACGCAGGTGATCGCGGAAACGCATGCAGTCCAGTGTGTCAATCTTCGATGGATGCCTCATGTGTTTCGTGCGACGGGTGCATGTCATAGCCATAGTCACTTGCAATCCAGCATCACGAATGTTTCGCTCGTTGGGGCTTCAAACTGATCGGGAGCTCGGCGGTGTGCATGATGAATGTTGATAGTCATGATGAGAAGCGGTGAACAGAATGGGGGCAATGCTATTATGTGAACGAGGCAGACTTTCTCTGGCAGCTGATTGAGCCTCAATATGCCTTGCGCCGTGAGACTGCAAGCACGTTCAGATTTGGACACGCGGTAGGGCTGAACACGTGATACGATTTTCTCCATCGGCAACTCCCGCCAAGACCATCACCTCAACCAACAGAGCCTCACCCACAGCGCATCCCTTGCTGTCGCCCGCATCCACCGCAATGGCGAAGAAAGGTATCTCACCTCCTCTACCTCTCGACAGTATCCTGCGAGCCCAATCCCCTAATCCCCGTCTCCCGCTTTCCCGCTCCAGTCCCCCAACCCCGAATACCCAACCATCTCTCGAAGCCAGCAAACTAATGTTCAATGCATCTGCACAGCAAAATCCCGCACCATAACCGTTCGCCTCATCTCCATGGCCCTGACAGGCTACTACAAGACCTTCACGCGTCCGCGAACGCACCGGCCGCTTAGCATGCTCAAGTACGATCCTGTCGGTACGTGTACGAACGCACCTCATAGGCCTGTTGGGGATGCAGCAGTAGGCTGGAGGATAGGATGAAGTGATGGAACGGATGGAGTGGGCTGAGGAAGGGGTTGAAGTTGAAGAGCTGGCTGACATGTGAGCATCACAGTGCGGAAAAAGGTGCTGTTCCTTGAGCAGAAGCGCGGTGGATCGAGGTAGTCACAGGGCACATGGCTGGTGGACCTTACGACTGTTGGCTTCCTCGGAGGTGGAAGCGTGTGGTGCTCGCTAGGTCCTAGGCTCATGGCCGCGATGGCGTGGGCATTTGGTTGCATGCGTGTAGAGGATAGACCACAACGGGATGCGGAGGACGGCATGGCGTCACAGACACACACACTTGCAGTGGCAGAGCGGAGAGGTGAATAGTTGTGCATTTGCGGCATATAGCGGCGTACGGAGTTCGCGTGAGGATGAGCTCAGCTAGCTCTGGCTCGATGAACAGCGTATATTTACAGCAAGATACGCCTTTGTAAGATCAAGCGGAGAAAGTTCGAAGCTCCTTTCCTTCCGTGTTCAATCGCGGAGTAAGCGGGAAACCCCGCACCAACAGATGCACAGATCGTAAATGTCGCAAACAAGACGAGACAAGATGAACCAGCACATGGGGAGCAACCGTCTTTTGTGCTGGGAATGTTTCAGTGATGCTTCACAGCAAGAAAGCTTCCTTCATAGATCGTAGCGCTTAGACAGTCGAGGTGTTTTCACAATTTCTCATGATTTAGTGGTCTCTTGTGAGAAGCGTAGATTGTAGCGATCACCTGTCATTCTCAACGATTAGGATATGGTTGTAGACTGGGTGTATGGCTTGACACACCTTTGCTGGCCGACTTCCGCCGACCGGATTTAGCGGAGCTGCTATAACCGACCTGCGAAGATCGGATTCGACTTGATCCCAGCGGATGAGCCGAGGATGGCTGCGATCCGGGAATGCTAGTGTTGATGTTACGAGGAGTAGCAGGCATAGGAGTCTTTGCGCGCTTGCTGCTGGAAGGCTCCAGATTGTTAGATGCACGACGCTTCACGCCAGGCTCAGCTGCAGGGCTCTTTGCGGCCGATTGCGGCCGAGACGACGGTTGGTGGTAGGTTTTGACTTTGTGTGTTGACCTGGGCTCCTGCTGAACGAATGGCGGCGAGCTTGAACCGCCGGACTTGGGTATGGATCGAGATATACCGAACTGCTGTGGCGTATGCTGAGAGCTACGAGCGAGGATCGTAGATGCAGAATGCTCTTCGACGAGGCTAGGCAGCTGACGCATGAAAAGGTTCTGATTGTTGGGCGCCATGCGTGAAGCCATGTTGGCTTGAGACTTCGGCCGAGTAAATGAGAAGAAAGGATCGTCCTCGTACTCGTCCGCCACAACTAGACCGGTGCTGCTCGACGCCTCGTGTTGCTCGTTGAGAGTTCCGTTCGTGTGGCGCTGAGATGCGGTCTCAATCGGTAACTCTTGCAATACACGCTGTGCGGCAGGTACAGCAGGCTTCTCACGCTGGCTTTGGTGCATAGCCAGCTCGCTTGGTGTACGAATGTTTTCCAACTCAGATAGCGCAGACGACGAGCTCGTCTGAGAGCCTGGGGGCGACTTTCCGAGGCTCTCGTTGAATTGAGCGAAACTGATTGTCGGGCGGGATTTTGGCAGCGTCTCCGGTACTACGTCTTGTGAGACCGACATGGTTTGGGAATCCTCGCTCTCCAGCGGCACAAGATCTGCGAAGCCCAATTGCGAGGGCTGCTTTGCTTTACCCTGCAGTTTGCGCTCAAGGCTTACCACCGAGTTGCTGTGTCGATCTACCTTCCGCCGTGGCTTCTTGAAATGCTGAGACTCTACACCAGCTGGAGGAGTCTCCACGACACGTGCAGTACCGGGTCGGTCAACACGGCTTTGCGATGCGTAGGACGCATTGTTCGCTATCTCTCCGCCTAATGAGCTTTGCGCGTTCTGGCTGTCCTTGACCCAGTCATCCGTGTCAGTATTTGAAGACAATGATAGACAAAGCAAGTTGCAGAAGTATCGATTCGGTGTAGGCCTCGTGACACCCAGTGAGAATCAAGGCTGCAATGGTTGCGGCTTCCATTGTCAGGAGCAGGCCTTTGATAACCTTGCAGATGACTACGGAGAGTACGACCAACATACAGCTTGATCAAAAGGTGTCAGGAACGTCACTCTGGGCGGGTGTTGCGCTCCGGAGTTAGTTGGATTCGAACGCTCGCGTGTGCAGGATATTCAAGCCACTTACATTAGCATCATGGTACTTCGACACGCTAACTGGGGCTGGCTGCCGCTCAATCTGGGCCCTCAAGTTGCTGCGCAGCTCATCTAGTTCAGTTTCGGCCTGCAATGCGCGTTCCTCGGCAACACTGAGAAGACGCTGGCCCGCTGCCTTCTGGCGTTCGAGTTCGTCTTGATCTGCTCTACGAAGGCGCTCGGTGGCCGCTTCTGCTTCGTGGAGGCGTCGCTGTAGCTCTCCAATGTCGCCGCGGGTCTTCTCTTGCTGCTTCTTCAAGGCTTCCTCGGCGTCACGGCGGACTTCTTGGTATTTGAGCTCGATCTCCTTTTTCGTGTGTTCGGCTTGAGCAAGCTGCTGATGCAGGTCTTCCTTCTCTCGTACGCACCGCTTCTGAAGCTCTTTTACGGCAGCTTCTGCTTTTTCACGACTTCGCTCAAGAGCAGTTTCGGCTTGCTTCCTAGCGTCACCAGCCGCTTGCAGTAACTCGCGGTGGCGCTGAAGCTCTTTGCTGGTAGCCTCGCTACTCTCGTGAAGTGCCGCATCGGCTTCCTCTTGTAACTCGAGCGCAGCAGCTTCAGCGGAGCGCTTCGCAGTCTCCGCTTGATCCAGACTTCCATGGAGCGTACCGATCTTGCTCAGGTTTGCTGCTTGCTCGCCTTTCAGGAGATTGATCTCAAGATCCTTAGCCTGTGACTGCTCCTTCAGTCGCTTCAATTCCCCGTTGATCCATTCACTATCTTCTTTTGATAGACCAGTAGTGTCGATGAAGTGTTGAAGCTCTTTAATCGTGGTATCGCTAACAGTGCACGCATGTAGCAGCGCAGTTATTTGGGCGTCTTTTGAACGGCACTGAATTTCGAGCTCTTGCAACCTCTCTCGCTCCGACAAGAGAGCCGACGAGGCCTCTTTGAGCGACGCCTCGAGATCACTCTTCTTTTTGTTGGCCTGGTGAAGCTTGTTCTCGTAGTCGGCGATGTCTTCTTGACGTAGGCGCTTGGCTTCCTTCGAAAGGCTCCTGCGCATGTCGTTTAGACGTTCGGTTGCCTAGATTCACAAATCATGAGCTCTGAACTTCACCATCTGTCGAAGGTCACAGAGGCCCGAGTCTTGAGTCTGTAGAGGCCAGGTGCACAGGATAAGCTTATACGTACCTTGCGTTCGTATTCAGCCATCTCTGCGATGGCCTCCGTGGCCTTTTTCTTGGCATCATTGCAATCGCTCTGTAGAGGTTGCCCATCAGTAAGACTCTCAACGACTGAGCTGCCAGTACTTACCTGGAGCTTCGCAAGCTGTATGCGGAGGTTGTCTTCACCCTCGACGCTGGTACGCAGCTTCTCCGCGCCGCTATGCAGCTCCGCCCGCGCAGTCTCCAGTTCGTTGCGAAGGCGCGCAGCCTGAGATTCAACTTCAATGAGCCGCGAAATCCCATCAACGTCCCCGTCAACCAGCAGTAAGGTCTTGAGACGGAGAATCTCCGCTTCAAGGTCAGAAATCCTGTTCTTGTAAGAGTTCTCGGCTGACAGTAGGTTTCTCAGTTGCTCCTGCAAATCGGACATTCTGGCATCTCTAGAAGCTGCACTAGCTACGAGAGTGGAGTGTGACTCGCGCAATGCATCCAGCTGAGCGCGCAATGACTGGGACACATCGAGTTCGGACTTCAATTCCTGGAGTTGTTCGGCCAAGTTCTGGCCCTCGGACTTCCTGGCCGAGTCTGCATCCAGACGCATGTCTTTGATGGAGGTCACACACTTGTCAAACCTGTGCGAACGTCAGCAGGGGCATTACTTATACATTAGACGGTCAGCAAAGGGCCTTCATGAGGCAAGTCAACGTTGGTAGTAATAACTTACTGTAATGTCAAGTGAGTAATGAACTCTTGCATCCGTTGCATGTCGTGCGCAGCTGTCGAATCTGGACGCTTGAGCTCTTGTATTGTCGTCAGGCACTCACTAAGCCGGCTTCCAATTTGCTCCCCGCTCTCTGCAAGCTTGCTGTGTCCCTCTTCAATGTCTCCTGCAAGCTGAAAAAGTCGGTCAAGCAAGTGGTTCTCACTTCGGCCAATCAGCACTCTGATGGCCTCTTGGCTGTCGACGGTAGTCTGCAGTTGCTTCTCCAATGCCACCCGTCTGTCCCGCTCTTCAACGAGCACACCAACCTTCTCATTCAGCTGTTTCTCAAGAAAGCCTTTGGACTGCTCAAGACCCCGAATGCAGATGGCGGTTTCGGAAGCCGTCTCTTTGATAGCTTTCCTCATTTGAGCCGATTTTCTGAAGCATGCAGCGATGTCCTCCCCGAGCCGTTCTCGTTCAACATGCTGCTCGCCACTCTCGATTACCAAGTCGGTGCATTGGCGCTGGAAGTCTTTGCTCTCGATCTGTAGCTTATGAAGATCATTACCGAGTCCACTAACAAACTTCTGTAACCCAGAGACTCTTTCATTGTAGCGGTTGATCTTGTCCTCAGACTGCTGCAGCTTGATGGCAAGATCCTGGTTCGCTTGCTTTGAGCGAGCCAGCTCTGCTTCCACAGCTTGCTTCGCGGCTTCGATGCTTGTAAGTTCCCGTTGCTGTAGCGCTTGCTGGGCCTGAACGATCCGAGCCTGCTTCTGTTGCTCTTCTTGGACCAACCAGCCCAAGCACTGGAACATATCAGTGATTGACGGCTGACCTGGTCCGGACGGGACCGTCGCTGTACTCTGCAATACTGGAGCCTTGTGTGCGGGCCTTCTGTCAGAAGCCGAAGCAGCGGGAGCCGCAACAGTGTTCTTGAAGGTGCTGGGGTTTAGTGATGCAACAAAGCTCTGTGGTACAGGGTTCGTCTTAGTTCTCTTTACAGCCTTGACGGGTACCGCGCGGTCGGAAACGCGATGTAGAGCCGCGTCAAAAGGTTCACTGTCGAACGCTGTCCGAGGCCGGGGCGGCTCCTTCGCTACGTCGTGAGGCACAGGGACGTCGAACGGTATATCCCGTGTCGTATCGTGATCCGTGCTTCTAGGTAACTCTGATGCTGTTTCTGTCTGCGGCGGTACAGTATCCTCCGGCTCTTGCAACAACGGCGGTTGTGACGGCAGCTGTGATGGCTTCTTCTTCTTCCTTGGTCGCTTTCGACGCTCAAGGGGCGGCTCGATATTCGCCTCGTGGGATGTTGATGGGACGGTATTGGGCATAGGAGGTAGCGCAGAAACCGTGGAGTCCTCACTAATGAGGCGGCTGTCAGCGTAATGCAGAGTGTACCGTCATCAACAGATACTCACTTCGGAGTTGCTGCCTCCATCACTGAATGTGTATCGCCTGATTCCTGCTCTCTTGGGACCTCCTCCTCCGGAGAGACCGTGGCGGCTGGGCGGGCAGGTTCCGTCTTTGTCTTGCTTGCTACGGTTGGCATCTGTGCTGCAGCTGCCCCCTTGCGGTTACCGGTGAAGTCTAAATGTTGCTTCTGAGCCATGCCAAACTTGAAGTGCTGAGTTGGGTCATCTCCAGCGGACGACGGTCTCACAAAGAGACGGTGCGACGGGCTAAATGTGGACTCGGGAGTGTCTTGAGGGAGACCTGCTCCGTCTCCAGAGAGCTGCGTCTCGCCGGCGCCCGTCGACATGGTGCAGGGAACGGTCTTTACAGCTGGAGAGGCCCCACCGGCCATGCCGAATCGCAACAAACGCGCAATCCGCCCTTTGAGAAGGCGCAGAGCAAGTCTGACAGCCACAATTGATCGAGAGCTGTTGTTTAGGTACACGAGTCACACAATAGAAGTAACCGATGAAGGGTTGAGGATAGTCAAGGCGGGATAAGTGGAGGTGAGGTTGACGTCGGAAGAGAGAATGGCGTGGCGAATCTCGTCTGTCACCAACGTGACCACGAAACAGCCCTCGGACTGGATAGGGGCTTCAACTTGTAAAGAGAGTTCGGCAGCTCAATCATCAACTGCAGCTTTGCGGAATGTTGTTCTATGGATCAAACGAAGCTTGAGATTATGGACATTGTGATCACCTGATATGTGATGGATATCTGCGTAGAGTATAGAGAGATGGCGGCCATGTCAGTCTCACTGAGCATCGTCACAGCACGTAGACAGTTATCGCTGTACACACATGGGACTTGAGCCGCTGTTGTAGTCATCGATAGACACTTTGAGTGATTGGCGAAGGTTACGACGATCGTGATATACCGACCGAGGAACTTACCTAGGTGCCTAGGAGTGCCGCCGTGGCAGGCGTTTCTCATGAGGAATATAAAGCTGCCTGGCTTTCTTCAAGCCACTCAGTGCACGGGTGAGTCTGGCATGCCTGCACAGGTATGCTCTTCGCATGCTCGGCTGACATCTCTCTTTAGGTACTTACCGTGGCCGCTCGTTGCTCCGCATGTGGAACGCGGCTGTTATCGCGTGTGGAGTTGTCTTTTGATGGAGGACGTTTAACCACTCGACTGTGACGGAGATGGACCTCAGCCTCGGACGACTCCGCAGGTCATTCTCAGACTCGTCTACATCTAGCCATGAAGCCATGAAACCATGAAACTAGCCGTTGGCAGTGTTGCTAAAAGTAAACGGCATGAAAGTCGAGAGTCCGAGAGTCAGAGAGTTCGGAGAGCTCGTCTCAAGCCACAGCCAAGCATCTCCGCGTCCGCCCAATCACACAAGCGCAACACCAACGACATCCGTGCGTTTCACATCTCGCTCCAGGGCACGCACTTCAGGAACGCCTGTAGCCGCCCAGCCCATGGACCTCAACACCAATCGCCCGTCACCAACCCCATCGCTGTCGTTCGCCCTACTGCAAGGGCCGACGGTTATGCCGTCGCATTGGTTTCCCGACATGCTGCTGTCCGTCAACCCTGGCTCGCTGCAGCGAGGCACCGGAGGATAGGCCAGCTGGTTAACCGCCCACGGCGAAGCCTGCGCCAGCCCGACGGCCCGCTACATGTACAAAACCATGTCTTGCCGCGCTCCTCGGGAGACGTCCATAGTAGGTGGTGCGAGTTGACTCTCCTTCCTTTCTCTGCTCTCCTTGTCGGTCCGTCTTCTGTGAAGACTCCAAGTTATTCCGCGTTTTTCTACTGTACAGTTGTAAAGTCCACCCAAAAGCCGTCCAACATGAAGCCCAATACCCTTCTCCTCGCTCTCTCGTGCCTCTTCCCGCTGCTGGCCCTCGCGGATGACGCGACCGTCCTCGCTACTACGACCGTAACGGTAGCCGCAGCCACCACGACAGCCATCCTCCAGCAACAGCAAGCTCCTGCAGCAACGACCGCCGCAGCAGCCACATCCGCGCAACCAGTCCCCGTAGACGGCCACGGCACCGCCGACGAGACCTCTGGCATCGAGCCTGGCGGTCTAGGGTCCTCAAGCAGCAACGAAGCGGGCGCCGCCGGCAAGGACACCGGCGCCTTCTCCATCTCGAAAGGGGGCATCGCGGCCATCATTGCCGTTGTCGTTATCGTGGCCGTCTTTGGCAGTGAGCTCCATCCTTCCAACGCCCAGTCAACGGTTTTGTTCGCTAATTTGTGGTGCAGTTGCCTCTGTTGTCCTCTTCTACCTCGCCAAGAAGCGCCAATGGGAAGTCCGCAAATCCATCTCGCGCTTCTCGCGCCGGCTGACCGGACGCACGGATGCTGCGAGGGCGAATAGGCAGTCGAGACGGACGGGCGTGAGGATGGCGTCGCCGCCGGGTGCTGCGAGGAATCACCGTGAGAGGGATCTTGAGAAGGGCAAGGCGAGTGTTGCGGTGACGGATAAGGGCCGGGTGCCGCATGATAAGGGCAAGAATGTTATGAGCTCGTTCAGCATAGAGACGCCGGTGGTCAAGTCGTGGAAGAACAAGCTGTTCTCTTCTGGGAAGTAAAGTTGAGACCTGAATGTGTGGAAGTTGAAGGTGTGGGCTACGATGGCGTTAGGTCCGTTTCGGATGAACGAGGTTGTCATGATACCACGTGTGTGCAGGTTGCCAGTTCTGTTCTGTATGGATAAGTCATATAGCGGCGCAGTAAGGGATTCCGGGTATCGAACACTCTAAAACTCCTTTAATCTTCTATTCGTATCTTACGGCTGCTTCTGATTGCTTGTGGTCTTGCAACTCCGCATGAGGGATAATTTACATACCGCGAGCATCCAGCGCCATCTCTGAGTCGCTTGGTGTGTAAAAATTCCACGGAATTCCCACCACGGCGCAGAACGAAGCTGTGCTGCGTTCAGTGTCAGGGCGTAGGGCAATCTAGTTCAAGCGCTGATGCTGGCGATAGAACAGGCTTGCCTAAGGTACAAAATGAAAACACTCAACCAACAAAAACAATAACACAACAACATTCCCGCAATGCACCCACATGTCGATCCATACATCCCATGAACATAAACTCCACGATTCCCTATCAACAACTCCAACCGCATCCCGACCCTCCCCCGCCTCCCACTGTTTGTCCTCCCACCGAATAGCGTCCAGCAACCCCTCTCACATCACAGTGCAAGGAATGATGCAGCACTGGCAGTCGTCGCCGCAGTAGCACGGCAGCTTCGGGCCAGGAACCGCCGGCTTGACGACCGAGGGCGTGGAGGAGGCGATGGAGCTTTTCGTCGAGTCGGGCATCGCGGCGATGGCGGCGGATTTGACTTGTGAGTGTAGGATTCAGGTGTGCGGATCGCGGCGTGCGTGGAGGGGTTTGAGCGGCTGATGTAAACCTCGGGAGAGGTTAGCTTTGTGAACTTGCTTGAGGTGCGTGGGCGGGGATGGGAGGAGGCGGAGCCGTACTTGAGGGAGGTCTTGTGGAAGCTTAGCTAGCGCAGGTTTGGAGGTTGTTTGTAGGTGAAAGGGCAGCCGTAGTTAGGTGTTTCTGTGGTAAAGTACGTGGTTGACAGCTGGTCGAGGATGACGTTGCTTGGCACAGCCGCAATCGCTAAACTTGGAAGCAGCGCCAAGAATGAAGTCAAAGGGTGCAAGATGGGACTGTCCGAGCGACCGGAAGGGCCTTGAGGTGTTCAAAGTGATGCACAAGTTGATCCAGAGCTGCTATCTGTACATTCGTCCAACAAGTGCTATGGGCCGAAGAACACAGGAATACCGTGCCGATGCTATCTCCACCAGTCCATAGTGCCTGTACCCAAAAGGCTATCAAGCCCTTTCTCAACTTTCAAGCCACCGACACATACTTGGAGAGCCATGTGGATGAGTGCTCCCCAGACCCAGCGCCGCACGGGCCGCGCATCCGTGCATATGCTGAAGCAAAGATAGTAATATTATGCTTTCGATCAACAAGTCTGGGGTTTTGGGGGCGCGAAACGAGCAGTCCGTTCGCAGCAGGGTTGCTCATTCCTCTTATACATCTCTCCTACGGTTCATTAGCGGCGCCGACAGCGTATGATACCGTTTGTACAACTTACCAGGTCATCCCGCTCCTTTCTTGATAGGGTGTCTTGACCGCGTTTTGGTCACCAAATGGATCATCTGGATCCAGGTCCTCTTCGGACTCACTTTCGCTGTCTTCAGCTCTTTGCTTGCCAGGGATGGGCATCGGAGGTGGTGATGGCATTGCGATCTTGCCGGGCCTCTGCGGTTTAGGCGGCGGGGATGGCTCGCTCAGATTCAGACCAGCTAGAGCGGCTTCTGTGCCTGGCCTAAGCGATGGCTTTCGGGCAGCACTCGGACTGGTGTTGTCATCCGGCAGCTGTTCGTATTCGCTGTCGCTGTCATCCTCGACGCTTTTGTCAAGTATCTCGTACGACATCAGCGCCTTCACGAGTTCGTCGTTTGCGGTCAGTAAACTCCCGATCCATTGGTCGGACTCGACAAGCTGGATGTAGCGGAGGACTTGGCGTCTGAGGCGCTTGCAGGTCTCAAAGCGCTCCATGACCTCGCGGTTCTCGCTTACTCTCTCATTTTCACGATTGACAAGCTGGAGCGCATTTTGGAGGTTGGTGCTCGCAACCGAGGCAGATGCAATGGTCTCCATGATCCTCGGCTTCTCCTTCTCTAGGTTGAACGGCTTGATTTTTCCTTTTCTGTCCTTGGAATGCATGCTGGAGAATATAGATGAGCTCGAAAGAGGCGCCGCGGGAGGCAAGGTCGGCCGGGATGCGCTGGGTGGTGACGAGGCAGTCCTGGACGACTCTGAGAGCGTCGGTCTATGTCTGGAAGTCGTAGACGAGTCCGGCAAGGGTTCCTGTTCGGCCTCGGCTTCAGTCTCCCTGAGGACTTTCGATTGGCTTGGGTGAGGCCGCTTTTTCGTCTGGGGAAGCTGCTTGTACAGAGTTGCAATCTGCTCAAGACCGGCCGTACCTTTGTAGGCCACAGCCCACTGACGGAACAGAATATTGCACTTGGCGCGGACGTCCGGATCTACCATGTCGTCGCGAGCGAGTATGCGCAGGCGCTCGAGAAGGGGCTCGTCCGCAAATGCACGTTGGAAGCGGCTGCCGGCATTTTGGATCAGGCCATCGAGGATGGTGAGAGCGCGCAGCTGACGATGCACGTTTCCATACTTCCTACGTGACGACTTAATTTGAGCTAGTCACGTTAGAGAACAACCTACTTACAGCTTTTTGCGAATCGCTCTAGCGGCTTCTGTGGGCCCGGAATCCTGGATGCGGACGACCTCGACTAGGTCCACGATGCCCCCAAGATCGTCCGGCTCATACTGCTCGCTCGTAAGGCGCTCTATCTGTACCGTTACAGCCGAATACGGCTTGCGCTATTCCATCATCGGGTTACTCAGCAATGTCCGCAGGGATGGAAAGTACATGCAAACGCGCGAGTGCTCAACTCACACTTCCGCCAAACATCTTAGACTAGGAACATCCGCTGCAGTGGTTCCGTACTAGTTTTAGTGCGGAATTTCTGGCACCGTTTGACTCGCGCTGCGCAACCTTGTTAGTTGCATCCTTGGGGAGTTAACTCATGGAAGATCGAGTCTATAACGGTGGCTTTCAAGTAGGCTCTCTGATAATTACTTTGAGGCGGTCTAAAAGCTGAGTGAACAAAAGTGAAAACGATACGGCATTAAGACAGCAGCCCGCAGTTATAACGCTTCCTGTTCGGGTACCGCTATGCAATAAAACCAGGCGAACACAACCGCTGGGAGGTACAAAAAAAACCACACATACAGAGATTCAAGCTGTTAACATTAGTTGTTCTGTCCTATCTGGTGTCTGGTCCACACAAGATTCGTAAGCTTGTGGTAGTAATCGGGCCGATATCGTGAGCCTGATACTGCCGCGGTAGAGGCCGAGTAGAGTCAAAGGGCGGGTGTAGGATAATGGTCTCTCCTCTCTTTCAGGTGGAATGGGCAGAGGGAACTCCATACGAGTAGCTTACTTATCAAGGTTTTTGCAGCCTTGAACCTTCTTGCGCGCGGAAGCGTCAGGTGCGTGACAGGTGACTTGGCCGGCAAGCTAACCGCGTCTCCATGTCTTGGCGCTCTGAAGTACGTACCTACCTAGGTAGGCAACCTCCGACGTCTTCGCAGTCGACTGAAACTAAACTTCAACGCTCACGAGCTTGGGCAGAGTGGCGGATGGTCGCAGGGGAGAGGAGGTGGATTGGGAAGCTGACGACCCGAACTGATGACCGCACGGAGTAATCTGCAGCCAGCATGTCAAGCTATCATGGCTGGGATATGGAGGAGATGAAGGCAGCGCAAGCAGCGAGAGATAACATGGAGCGAGGACCCAAGCGGAGGTGCGTGGCCTTTTTTCTCCGGATGTCTACCTTATGTTCCCTGAAAATGTTTGAACAAGCTTACTCGAATTCACAGGAAAACGGCATCCGCTACTTCTCCATCTACTAGCTTTACACCAATCAACATCTCCAGTAACGCTTCTCATCCACCGTGGAATGGAAGTAAGGATCTTCTCCGAAATCCAACCACCCGAGATGCCATTCTTCGAGCTCACCCGTCGAGGAACCCTCTCGTGGCCAGGTACCTTGGCCTTGACGATAACTTGGCGGCCCAACCGCCGGTAGAGGTTCATCCTGAAATCACTGGCATTGAAGCTGTAACTAAAGCAGCAGTTCGTAAGCGTGCCCCTAGGAGCAAGCAGAAAGCCAATACGAAGAGGCCAGTCTCAGACGGGACGCATGCTGCGAAGCCCAGGAAAAAGGCCACGCACGAGAAAGTTGCCTCGGACGTGATAGACTTTGGTTACCAGCCTCCGCGAATGCCTAAATCCCAACACGTCGACGTTCCCAACTCACGCTCGTCATTCCCGAACGGTCTGCAAGCCGAGAACATAGGCTACACTCTCTCCAAGCGGATCATTAGCGAACTTGACGCCTCTAGGCCCCAGTCGCTATCGACGCCCGGAAGCTATGGGAGCAACCTCGAATCGGAGTCAGCACCACTGCCTTGTTCTGATCGAGTTCCTGTGATTGCACACGTTACGTCGCTCGACGCAGTCAAAGCACAGCAAGGCACCCGTTGCTCGGTGTACATGGAGCCCTCTCAGCCAGAAAGCAGCCTAAACTTGCTACAGAAGAAAAGTGCCGGTACCCGGCTCGCCGATGGTATACCTTCGCGTGCGACTGATGCGTCCCTCGCGGCTCAGTCCAATCCGCCAATACGCCGCCGCGATGACCTTCTTCAAGACTCCGAGCGAGGAGCTTACAGGGTGCACGATCCGCTTGAAGGAACCCGCAGTCAATCTGAGCCAGTACGACCACTGGCCCATCTTCCCCATCCAAGAGTTCTCGAAGTCATTGAAGAGCTCCCTGAAGTGGTGTCCCCTTCACCGCCAGATTCCAAACCAGGGTTACGAAACACTCAAAGTCCTGCGGGTTTAGCAGGGTTTAACTTGGAGGCGAGGAACCGGCAAGTTCTGTCCTTTGAACCATCTACAACGAATGGGTCTGCTGGACTTGACGACTTCGACGCCGATGTGGACGATGAAGATCTCTTACAACTTGCTGCGAGATGCCACACTCCCGATCTTACGGAGGCAGAGAGTCTGCCCGACTTGACCTTCGAGTCATGCGAGAGCCGAGAACAGGGTACCATCCAGCAATTGCCTACTCCGTTACCATCATCCAGTTCTGCCCGCGGCGTACCTGTCCCTGCAGCTTGCGACGATTCTATGGACTGGACGCCTTTGGTCGATTCCGACGATGCCGAGTTCCTTAAATCGACGCAGGACTTAGAAGTAAACCCTACCGCACCGGAGCAGTACTCGGCTGCTGAACCAGCCAAAGCGACATCTAAGCGACAAATGCGAGTTCACATCCCTAGGTCAAGCTCGATGCCATCCTCAGCTTCACCGCCAGATGAAGTCCCAACGCAGCTTGGAGAAAGTAACAGCTCCCGGCCCATCGTCAGACCTCCTTTCCCTTGCCAAGTTCAGGATCGGTCCCCCATCATCTGCTTGTCAGCAACAAGCGTTCTCCGTACCTGCTTTCGTGCAGGTGAAGCCCTCAACATAGGCTGTCAAGCTGTCCGTGAGGGCCGAACTGTCATCATCGAGCTCTATGCCACGGTTCGGTCATCCTTCCGCGAACCAGACACCGTCACGCAGCATTTCGTTATCGGCGACTTGTTCCATGACCGTCCTCCGTACATCAATGCCGTGTACGAACTCTGGAAAGGAGTCGATCTGTGGGACTACGACAGCAGCAGATTTCTCGAGCAAAGTGATGCTAGGAGGATGTGCAGGTGCATAGGGCAGATGAAGAGAGACGACCGTAAGTGGAAGCTCTTGATCCTAAACATATGGGAAGCGAGCTGGGAGGATATCGACTATGTGAAAGATATCATCTGCACATGAGTAAGTTGAGAGGCTGGTCCGCCGACCGGCATCATTTGCTTTCTTTGGCTATTCTCTTACTCGCCAAGCCCTATAGTTAAATCCGTTGCAGCGGAGTGGCTTGGCCTGCTCATCTATCTGAACATGTGGAGGATGCCAATTGCTAGATCTACTTTCTATATCATCAAGGCGCTGCTTGGCTAACAACCAGTCTCCATCGCATTTTCGATTTGCTGGTTATCTATCCCTGGATCTATCAAGTGTAACGTAGCAACTAGAGGGCTGAGTCTCATCGAATGAAGAGTTCGGGGTCTGTGTGACGGATGATCAGCTCGTGTTCGTAAGATAGGGGCTTAGGTTGCTCCAAGTAGGGGAACTTGGGCCGAAGAATCATTGTATACATAGGTACAAGCATCTGAGCTTGAAGACCTTCCACGACTCATGGAGAGACTCCAAGCTGAGATTAAGGCCGAGTTTCGATGCTCTGCATGCTTAAAGCGTAATGTGAACTGATTTGGCCGTGTCGGTGCGGCAATGCCTCAGCGTGTCACACCAAGCCTCGACCTCCGCACGCGCTGGAGGAAGTCACGTCCCCAACAATGACCAAATCACGGCTCATGCTGGAACATGTCACCATCAAACGCCGCTGGTCGGGTTCATCCACCGATGTGATCAACTCCTACCGCCTTAGCCTCCACAATGTCTTTCGCCTATACTGATCAGCCAAGCGTGCCGCCGTCCATCGAAGCTATGATTGAAAATCAACTTGCCCACTCCACCAACCTCGACCGGGATTTAGAGCTGGACAATGCCGACCATGGCAGACCATCTTCAGTGTTCGCGGTTCGGACGCCCTCCAAATCGCAGTCGCCGTCCAAGAGTCGTTCCCTCTCCGAGACTGCTCCAGCGCTATCACCCTCGCCCAACTTCCGCGAGACCTTAAGAAGAGGCTCGAAAGATGACCATGCCATTGCCTCCGAACCAAAGACGCCTAGGAGGCCCGACTTCCTTGCTCGCGGCTTGTCGTTGCAGCTGCCGCCTAGGGATATGGGCGTGCAGAGTCCAGGAGCAAACTACACCACCCGCGCGCCGCTTTCGCCACAACTGGACCGCAGCAATACATATGGCACGCCAGTGACGGTGCTTCCAAGACGTTCCAGAGGGCTCGATTTCGCCCGCGCTTGCACGAACCTCCATCATTCTACACTCGCAGACCACAGCTCGCCGGATTCTTCCCCAACCATCACGCAGAAGGGCATTGCGATACCACAGAGGAAGGCATATGGATCGATCAGCATGGACTCACCCAACATGGGCGCTAGTGCGTTGTGGGGTCAAGCAGACAGAATGGGAGTGTCCGGTTCAGTTGGCAGCGTGAATATGCTTGGTTCTGGTTCCTCCAGCAGCGGAGACGACGAAGACGATCCCATGGAACCAGACGACAACGAAGAACCGATATTGTCCACGCCACACGTGTCAAAGATGAACAACACCGCGATCAATGCTTTTGGCATTTCAGCAAGCCCTGGGGCTTGGCCAGTCAGCTTCTCGCCGGGTTCCACAAACCTGATGCACAGACAGCGGGCGCGGCTACGAAAAGAACGAAGTAGGAAAAGTTCGAGCAGCGCGAGTGGACACAGCTCTATGGCAAGCCCGAACCCGGGTTCTCCGCCGCCGGGCAAGAGCTGGGAAAACAAGAACGGGGGGTACTTTGCGCAAGGACTGACAAGGCAAAGTACACGGTCAAGGCGGGAGAGTCTGAGCATGGTTGCCAACGAGCTGCATATATCTTCCGGCAACGACAGCGGAGACGAGGCTACAATGCCTGCGCCGTCAACGCCGGGAGTGGTGCGTAGACCTGTGACGCGGCGTGGGAACCTGCTCCCCAAGACACGAGCCTTTGGGCGCATACGAGCAGAGCTCTTCGAGGAGAGTGCACCGGTCGACAGTGAAGTCAGGCGGGAAGCAGAGACCATGCGGCAGGTCCGCGAAAGCGAGGCGCCGACAACATCAACCGCGCAGTCTTCACCGGCACTGCTACCGACCGTACCTGGTCTTGATGGACCTCTGGAAGGCATACCTGAAGACAGTGCTATGACTCTCGACAACGGTGCACCCGCGGGCAAGGGTTTATTCGGTGCTTTCCCCTTGCAGGCGTCCCGGGCCAGCAGTGTTAGTGGAAGGGAGTACTGGGATAACTTTGACAGCCAGTCGCAAATGCCTCCTATAAGCTTTTTCCCGCGCCAAAGCTCGTCTGCCATGAGCGAAGACATGAACATGGATTCCCCTACCGTTTCCACTCCGTCGAACTCAGTCTATCCGACAATAAGCAACGAGACACAGCCTTCAGCGCGAGAGCCCTCTGTCTCACGCGCTTCAACACCTCAACCAATGGTCCCACCCTCAGCAGTCGATGGCCTACGGAAACAAAAGCGCCGTCGCGATGATGACTTTGACGACATCAATTCCTTCAAGCGGCGGGCAGTATCACCAGGCATGAGTGTTCAGAACAGCCCCATCCTATCACAATCACCAGGTCAGAGAGGGGAGTGGGGAGCACCACCGAAGACGAGCCGGGAGGGCTCTGTTGGTGTGGGGCAGGCTCTTAGTGGACACGCTGCTGGCGAGCGGTCGAACAGTAGTGGAAGTACGTCCACGCCGAGCTTGGGGCCGAAGAGGGTTGGGCTGCAAGGCATGGTGGACACGAATGACGGGCTGATGAAGATGAGCATTGAGTGATGCTTCTGTGTATGCTTATGGAGAGTATCAGATAGGTGCTTAGGCGCACTACAGGCGCATGATCTAGGATGGGTGGAGTTCAAGGAGCTAACTAAGGAGGCGCTGATGGGACAGGCGTCGTGTGATGGCATCGCTCGCCTCGCAGTCGTATGTAGCTGTTATCACTACTTCCGTTCTCAAACATATCGCGCTGTTTAAGAAATCTTTACCAAGGTGTGCCCACGCGATGGGTTCATGAAGCGCGTGCCGGCCCCAGCGATCATTTCAGCCTCAACACCACGCCAAGCCCAGCTAACCCCACATAACGCACCTACAACCAGAATAGCAATCCGCACTACACTGTCGCTACCACTCCTCCATACAAGCCGTGTCATCTTCAAATGCCGTCAAACTCAGAAGCGCTGGCCTCTTTCGTGGAGTCAGCGCCGCCAGGAGAGGTAGGCATGCCGCCGCAAGCATTCAACTCCCACAATCTGACTTGAACTAGCTGTCGAATGTCACGAACGGTACGCCTCTTCTTACCAACACCGCATGCAAGCCCCTGACGAAGCCCCTCCACAGCCATCAAGACGATAGCAGGAGACAGCTCCCTCCAATCGCTCGGTCCCGCGCTCGAGAGATACAACGAGGAGCAGTTCACAACGGTCACGCTACCCGGTAGCAGCCAACCTGTACGTGAACGTCCTAAGCAGGCTCTCTGCATAAGGGTCTGGGCTGATCGAAGGACCAGGTCGTAGTCAGCTCCTACAATTCCCTCGGCGACGGACGCTACTTCGACGTCGAGAGCCAGAGCTCGTTCGCATTCGACCACAACACACAAGTACGCCTCTCTTTTGCACACAGCGTCGAGCGTTAGTTGATTGTGGGGAAGAAAGCATCAGCTGTTCAGTCGTACGCGCTGGAATCGAAGAACGCGGACCTCATGTACCAGCCTCCCCTCCCATGTCACCCATGCGAAGCCTCTGGACAGAGAAGCTGACGCAACTCCTGTGGCAGCAAATCCATACTGAAGTCGCTGTCTACACATTCGAATGAGCACTACCCATCGAGCTCGCTGGGCGTGTATCCGATCGAGAATGACGGCGCTATTGCGATACTTTTAGTGGCGAACAAGTACAGTCCAAACAACTTCTGGTATGTGCCACGGAGAGACACCAAAACGTTCCCGTTGCGGTTGAGGCTCCCCACTGAACATGCCACCAGGAACGGCCGCTGGCGATCCCAGTACACCTTCTCCTCCGGCCAGCTGACCGGCAGCATCCACGTCGATGTCCACTATTACGAAGACGGCAACGTGCGCCTACTGACTGACAAGCCCGTATCTGCCTCCTTATCGTCTTCCGCCTCGGCGTCAGAGATCGTGCGCCAGATTGCGAGTATCGAGAGGAAGTATCAGGAAGACCTGAACAAGGCGTTTGGGAGTTTGAGCGAGGGTGCGTTCAAGGGACTGAGGAGGCAGTTGCCTATCACGAGGCAGAAGATTGAGTGGGAGAAGATTAGTGGGTATAGGCTGGGGCAGGATATTGGTGGTGGACGGGCAAGGTGATGTGCTTGATTCTCTTTGCGGCTCTGAGTGACTTGGTATAGCAGCCGACAGTGAGGTAATTAACATGGATCAAAAGCAGCTCGCTGGAAGGTATGGGTGAGCCAGCTTGCAGTCCCAAGGTCTGAGGGATGGGAGCATCTACTAGTGCGTACTGAGCAACTGGGGTGTTCTAGCTCTTAAATTCTGAGCCCTCAGGACACATAGCAATAGGAGGAACCGGAGAGAACTCTTACGTGAACAAACAAGAGAATATGCCATAATCCGCACCTGCATCAGGCTGCAGAAGACTCACATTTGTGAACAGACATGGCAATCTCACTAAATGAGACACTCTAGCCTCTCTTCAGTCTGAAAGCAAGAACCTTAATTTCCGCTTTCCAGTGAGGTGATTCGCGTCATTGACCGTGCAGCGCCGCCGTGAAGCCGCACGTAGCAAACGCACTTTCGTCATGTCAACGTCTTGAAATTGTACTTCAACTTCTTCGGTCAACCATTTCCTCACTCACTGCATCTCGTGCACCCTTCACCAGCTTCACAAGCTGTTCTAGAGGGCTACTGTTGAGACCGGATGGTACTTCGTCTTGATAGCCCTGGCTGAGAGATATCGCGCTTCATCATCCCATCACACCTCGCGCGCTTGCACTCACTCACTCACTCGCACGTTCAACGACTTCGCGATCTGGCTTGCAATCGTTTCAAATCAAACTTGTCTGTTCCTGCTGGCCTTTGATTCTGTATCGGACTTCTGTCTTCCAACCACCGTTCGCAGCTGAATTTGAGACGACATGGCAGGAGCACGCAAGTACGTAACAGATCCTAAATCCGCATCATTTCAACCAGCTCTGACAAGGGACAGAAAGCAAGCGTGTCATTTCTTTTCCACTCCTCAGGGCTGCCGTGCCGGAGCGGCTTGCAGATTCTCTCACGACATTCCACAACAGCCGGCGCCGCAACAACCTCGCAATGGAGGCGGCCGACGCGTTAATGATGGCAGAAAGAGGCCATCCGCTTCTAGGATAGGAGATGAGCTCCGCCACTGGCAGTACTCCATCCCATTAATTCTTACAGCCGTGACGCCGCTTGGCGGGCAGCTCGGCAGATTTTTCCAAGATGCTCACAAGCTCGTCACGGGAGATCCAGGTGACATGCAAGAAGTTGTTATGAAATTAGCATCGGATGGTGGGCTTCACCGGATTAGAGAGTTGAGTGACCAGATCACGGAAGGCATCACACCACAACAAGAAAAGGTAGTCTTTCAGACAGGATTGCTCCCCCTCTTCAGGATATTGTCACACGAAGGCGTGGTGGTGTCCGCCATCCTCGAGCATTCACTAGGCATCCTTCACAACTTCCTCTACGGCCCGGGCGGTCACCGAGCGATCGCAGTTTTCAGACTCGCCGCCAACGTCTTGGTCTCCGAGTGCAAAGATTTCTCCGATGACAAGGCCACCGCTACCGCTATACAGCTCGAAGCGACTCTGGCGGTACTCTCAAGGGTGGTGGACTTGAACGGGGCGGCCTTGCTGAACACGGAGCTTCACGAAGCTGTCGGGGCTTTTGATGGGATATTTGAAGACTTAGATGACGATCTTTCCGCTCGGCTTACGTTCGCACGGAGATATCTTGCCCGCACACAGAAGCGTCTTGGTTTGGCCAGTACTATTCCGGAGGCCAAATCTGTATCGAAACCCGCAGTTCCGCAGGCCGCCTTCATCATTCACCAGGATCTTCCTGGAAGTCTGTCTCGCGATGGTGCCCGTCATGACAACGACTCGGAAAATATCGGCGACATCCAGATCATGCCGACGACGCAAGAAATCTTATCATCAAGACGGGAGTATCGGCCTGTCAGCGACCCTGCACAATGGCATCTACAGGGTTCTGAAGGGGTCTTCGATCGGCAATTTCGCCTTCTGCGTGAAGACACTGTTGGCCAACTCAGAGATGCAATCCGCATCGAGCTCGACGGACTGCAGAATCCTGAGCACCATGCGGCTGCTGGCCGAGGGCGCCAACAAGGGGCCCGAACATACACGTATCCGGGGGTGATGGTCGATGGCATCAAAGTTGACCGATGGCGCGGCTTCGAGTTCGAGGTGCATTTCGCACAGCCTGGCCGTTTGCGGAAGATGACCATCAAGCAGCGCGAGGAGTGGTGGGAGTCGTCCAAGCGATTGCAGGCAGATGCACTTGTTTGCTTGCTGAACTTAGACGGGACGGCTGCGTTCTGCTCAGTCTCTGACACAAGGCCGAAAGACCCTAAAAAAAAGCAACGGCCTTCAACCACTCCAAACCCTGCCGAAGAGCGGACTCTGTTTTCCGATGCCAAGTTCGCGTTTGCTACTCTGCGCCTCGTGAGCACTGAGGGGAAGGACGTGGAAAGCATTTTGGATCGAGTCGGCAGCACCGGCAAACCATGGCAGGCCTCTTTGGTAGAGTTCCCTGGCGTCGTATTACCATCTTTCCAACCGACACTGCTAGCCTTACAGCATCTTTCCGCTTCCGGAGATTTACCATTCAGGGACTTGATTGCCCCAATCGACCCGAACATGGCGGAAGTCGCTGGGATGGGCCCTCCGACCTACGCCGCGTCGCCAGGTTTTCACTTTAGGCTCCGTTCCATCATGGGCGGCCAGAATCTCCAGCTTCCGGTCCGCGGCGAATTTGATATTAAGAAACTCCAAGAAGGCTCAATACTTGACGACGCTCAGACTGTCGCCTTAGTTGAATCACTTTCACGCAGCCTTGCCCTTATCCAAGGGCCGCCTGGTACTGGCAAGAGTTATACGGGTGTCGCTCTCATCAAAGTCCTCCTCGACAACAAAGTCAAGGCTAACTTGGGGCCTATCATTTGCGTGTGCTACACGAACCATGCACTGGATCAGCTCCTGGAACACCTTGTTCGTGGCGGAATTTCACAGATTGTACGCATCGGTTCCAGATCCAAGTCCGAAATCTTGCAGCCATTGAACTTGCGCGTTGTCGCCAATCGGATAGACCCTACCGATTTGGAGAGGCGACAGAAGGGCAGGCTACACCACAAGCTCAACGGAGACCTCGAGCAAATGGAGCAGCTTCTCATAGCGCACGACAAAGCGGATTCGTGTGTTAGCCTCAAGGCCTACCTTAAAGACTATCACCCAACCCACTGCGCGGCGCTTTTTGGAGTCGACGAAGAAGGGTGGAAGACGGTGCACCACAAGCCAGAGATGATCATCGCAGACTGGCTCGACAACCATCGGGAGCCGCAGCCAGCGCGTGAGGATCGCCCGATATCCGCGCTGCAATCAGCTGACCTGAACTGTATGACACATAACGAGCGCGCAACGCTACATCGGTATTGGGTGAGGATGAACAGAGCACAAGCGCAAAGGGAATTCCAAGCCGTTCTCGCATCGTTCGAAGAAGGGAAGAAGCAGTACGACCAAGTCAAACAGGAGACTGATCTACGATGTCTGCAAAAAGCGAATGTCATTGGCATCACCACCACTGGCCTGGCAAGAAATCTGGACTTGCTCCGACGCGTCCACGCTAAGGCGCTATTATGTGAGGAAGCTGGCGAGGTCCTCGAGGCTCATATTCTGACAGCGCTTCTACCTTCGGTAGAGCATGCCATCCTTATCGGTGATCATCTACAGCTCCGGCCTCAGATCCAGAACTACGAGCTGTCATCAGAGAACGCGGGTGGGCGGAAATACTCCCTTGATGTCTCCCTGTTCGAAAGGCTAGTGCAGCCAGATGATGCTTCAAGTGTCCGCATCCCATTCAGCGTTTTGGAGATACAACGCCGCATGCATCCGTCAATCGCTCAGCTGGTTCGCGACACGCTATACCCAAATCTGCTGGACTCTCCATCGGTTGCGCAATACCCACCGGTCGCTGGCATGAGAAGACGACTCTTTTGGTTTGATCACTCTGAGCCGGAAGCCAATGCCGACCAGCAACAGGCCGTGACAACTTCGCACTCGAACAATTACGAGGTTGAAATGACGGCATCGTTGGTGTCTTATCTGGTCCGGCAAGGTGTCTACCAAGCGAACGACATCGCTGTATTGACGCCGTATCTGGGGCAGCTGCAGAAGCTTCGCAAGCGCTTGAGCAGCTCATATGAGCTCGTGCTGAATGACCGCGACCTTGATGAACTGCACAAGGCAGGTCTGGAGAGTCCAGCGGAGGCTGACGAACCGAAGATCCCCGGTGTACCGAAACCTGAACAACATGACGTGGGGGTCGGCAAAATCACGCTACTCATAGCACTCAAAGTCGCGACTATCGACAACTTTCAAGGAGAGGAGGCAAAGGTCGTGGTCATCTCTTTGGTGAGGAGCAACAACAAGAACAACTGCGGCTTCCTTCGAACTTCGAACCGGATCAATGTGGCTTTATCGCGAGCTCAACACGGGATGTATATTATTGGCAATTCCCACACATCGGCTCACATCCCAATGTGGGAAACTGTCATGACCATCTTGAAGAACGCTGGGAACTATGGTACAGAGCTTGAATTACAATGCCCGCGGCATCCAGATACTCCGATACGTGTCCGGAACGCAGACGACTTCCACCAAATGTCTCCTGAAGGCGGCTGCCACCAGAAATGTGTCCAACGACTGGATTGTGGGCACGCGTGTATTAACAAATGCCACTCGGAGATCCTCCACAACGCCGTCGTATGCTTGGAGCCATGTCCTAGGTCCTTGCCTGGATGCGACCACGCCTGTCCTAGTCACTGCGGCAAAAAGTGTCCGGCCTGCTGTCCAGCTGAGGTCATTGACATGGAGCGGGTGCTACCTTGTGGACACAGCAAGACGCACCTGGCATGCTTCCAATCACGAAACCTGGCACTTGTCAAGTGCCAGGAGGAAGTGACTCGTATCGTTCCGAGCTGCGGTCACAAAGTGTTACTGCCATGTTTCAGTGACATATCAGCCGCCAGCTTTCAGTGTCCCGCTCAATGTGACACCATCTTGCCTTGTGGACATACATGCACGAAGCCCTGCCATGAATGCAGGACGAAGCAGGGAGACAAGCTTTCCGAAGACCACGGCGTCTGCAAGCGAGCTTGCGGACGAAACCACAATACCTGTCGTCACGCATGCTCCAAGCCATGTCACGGTACGGAGCCCTGTCCGCCTTGCAACGCCCCCTGCGAGAACCAGTGCAGTCATTCGAAGTGTCATAAGAGATGCCACGAGCCCTGCGCTCCTTGTGCGGAAGAGCGCTGCGATTCATCCTGTCCTCACAGCCAGTGTTCCATGCCATGCGGCGCTCCGTGCGATTGGCTCCCTTGCTCGAAGCGCTGTGAGATGCTGCTGCGCTGTGGACGTCGATGTGAGTTTGGTGTATTTTGATTGAAGGTCAGGTCATGTACTAACTAATTGTAGGCCCCTCCGTATGCGGTGAACGGTGTCCGGAACCCGAGTTCTGCCAAATCTGCGGCTCAGATCACGTCAAAGACACCGAAGTAGACTTCATCATGGGCGAAGCATATCGCGAGATTGATCTCGAAGATAACCCCTGTATCTTTCCGCAGTGCGGCCATTTCCTGACAATCGAGTCGATGGATGGCCTCATGGACATGAAGAAGCACTACGAGTTCTCGCCGGAAGGAGTTATAGTTTCCGCTAAGCAATCTTCCGAGCCGTTTTCTATGGATGAGATCAAGACTTGCGCAACGTGTCGGGCATCTCTCCGGAATCTTTCCCGCTACGGACGCATCGTTCGGCGTGCTCTTCTTGATGAGGCTACCAAGGAGTTCATCCTCTGGGCAAATGGAAGATACGTGCGCCTGGCCGAGACTCTGCAGGAGCTACAGCATCAGCTCAGTGAATCAATGGACACTTTCAAAGAGGTGAATACGACCTCTGCAGCGGATGCAGTTCATGTCAAGGGCAACCGAGCTCAGCAGCTGCTCAAGATCAGGCAGCTGGACACCGCGAGTAGGTACAAGGCCATCGCCACACTACGCGGAGACATCGCAGGATTCCTGAGCAAAGTAAAGAAAGAGGAACAGCCGTTCCAGAAGGTCTGGGAGATCGTCCAGAACGCGCGCCGGCGTCACGGCACTACCAAAGAGTTCGGCTTTGACCGCGGCATTCTCCAGACCCGAGGCTTCATTCTCGCCAGTGCCCTCATGCTACGATGCGATCTGGCCATCATGTGCGATTTTCTCGCCGTCTGGCAGTCGAAGCGGACATCTGCGTCCCCTATAGCTGGCTCCTTCCAGCTTGATCTTTCGCAAAGCCGTCAGGACTGCCTAGCACTGATAGACCTCGCAGCCATTCAACCCATAGCGCAAGTGGAAGGACACATCTTCTTTGCGCAGTACGCCATCCTCGAGCGCTCCACAGTCAACATGGAGCTAGCCACTTCGCTGAAGGACGAAGCGGATACCCATCTGAAGATTGCACGAACCCTTTGCGCGGAGCATCCAAGCCAAACCCGTGGCATGCTTGAGGAGATTGAAGGCGTAGAGAAGATGCTCAGACATTCCACCTTCTTCAGCATGGTCACCAGTGAGGAGCGCCGCGCTGTCCTGACGGCTATGGCTACAGAGTTCCGCGGCACCGGACATTGGTACTTCTGTGAAAATCGCCATCCGTTCACAGTCGGGGAGTGCGGTATGCCGATGGAAATGGCGAGGTGTCCGCAATGCAATGCGCAGGTTGGTGGGCGGGATCATGAGGCTGTTGAGGGGGTGCGGCGTGCTGATGAATTGGAGGCGGAACTGGCTGCGATGAGGTTGGGTGATTGATTTTGAGGCCTTGATTGTGGGTTTGGGGGTGCTTCGTCGTATGGGCACTCTCTTGTTGTAAGCATGGTTCGCCAGCAATGTTCTCGCCAATACTTGGTTGACAGAGTGCTTCGAGCACAATTCACGGAGCTGTAAGCCTGCTAGATAATGATTCAGGCTGTAATTACGAGCGAGCAGAGTATCGACCCGCTTACCCACCAACCACGCAGTTGTAGACTATGTGTTATCGCCGCTGATGGTGGGGGATGGAGTGCAGACTAAGTAGCGGCGTCCTGAATTACGAGAACATCAAAGCGCTTTACTGTCTCAGATTACAGGCTGCTAAGCTCCGGTATCAACTGAACAAAGCCTCTAGGGTCCAGATGAACGTACGCGCAAGAAACTTGCCATCTCTAGGGTATGAATCATTTCGCGAACGCGTAACTACAACACCTAGGCAAGTTGAGTCCTAACTGGCAGATGCGGACATGTTCCTCATAAGTCTGCGATTGCTACCACTCAGAATGGGCCAAAGATCACCTGATACCGCAAGATGGACATGTACATTCGCCCTATGGCTGGGGTACTCCGCCCCTCAATGTCCCCCAATCGCCCCCGTAACTGTAGCGCAATAATTCGGCGTCGGTTTACTCGGTTCATAAAACCTGAGCACCGCAACCTGCCCCCCATTCCCACCTCCAGGCGTGACGCTATTCCCGAGCTGGCACTGATTCCCCGACTGCGGAAGATACAGCACCCCCTGGCACTGGTTGTACCCGAGATTCTTATTGTACGCAACACACGCCTCGATGCAGGCCGTGAAGTCGCGCGCCGTCGTCGTGCGCAGAAGCGGAATCCGGACGGCGGCGAAATAGGCGTCGCAGTTCCGGTCCCAGAGAGAGGCGTCGCTGCCGATGTAAGGTACGCCGTCGGCGGCGGGGCAGGCGGTTGGGAAGGGCGCCCTGGTTGAGGCGTAGACGAGGGTTGTTTCTGTCCAGGCGTAGGTCACAGTTGTCCTGGCGGGTCTGCCTGTGGTCCAAGTGATGGTGGTGGAGACAGTCGAGGTCGTGCTGGGGTCGCAGTCGCGCGTTATGGTGTACGTTGGGATAGGGCTGGCGATGCAGGAGCAGGCGCTGCTGACGCGCGAGGGAGGGTATTGCTGGACGTAGATGGGGAGGGGCCGCGTGAAGGCTGTCGGGTTGGCGGTGCGAGTTGGTTGAGGCGCGAAGGAGGTCGATATGAACACGCTGGAGGTGTAGGATATGAGGAAGACGGATACGGGATCCGTTGATCTGGGGTTGGTGACCGTTACTGTGGTCGGAATGGTGACTACGGAATCTAGGGTCCCTGAATAACGTGTTTGGGCCAGGAAATCTGAGCAGAAGAATTCCGCTTCTGTCGAGTAGCGCACTATGGCTCTGTAAACATTGTCCGCGTTACATGTCGGTATAGCAGACGCTAAGGGGACGAGAGAACTGAGAACAATTGCGAGAAGAAGAGCCATAGTAAGTTGAGGTGGATGTTCTCGACTGTTCTGCGAGAACGGATTGCTGTCCTCTCCCGTTTGCAACCCCTGAAGAAGGAAGACTTAAGACATCAAAGAAACAACACCTGACCGAGGCACACCCTTACCAAGCCAAGTGTGGAGAGTCAGTATTGTAACCCGGCTTGGGCAGCGCCATGTCAAGCCTAGGGCTTCGGATCAACTCAGTATCTACCCGGGCGCAGGTGGCATCGATGGGGATTGGATACAACCTGTGAGGAGGTTGAGATCGGGGAGAGGGCCGAAGAAAGTTTCAGCCCTACGACCGTTCGAGATGCGCCTCCTTCGCTTGGGATACGAGGCTGAGGGCAAGAACAACGCAGAGATTCCTATGAGTTAAGCATGAATCGGTCAACCAACGCTCGGCGGTCTTCTTGGGAAGCAGGAACCAGATATTCTTATGTTTTGGTAGCTGTCTTAAAATCAGCAACTCCCTTGTGTGGCAGTTCAAAGGATCAAAGATCAAGAGCCATCCGAAGAGTCCGTCGCCGTGATGAAAGCTACCCGTAGCCCTAGAGCTGCATAGTCCGGGCACATTCCACGGATCAAAGACACCGCAGGCGATCGATGCATCAAAGTTCTAAACGGCTGTGCATCTTTGTGCTTTCTGTCGCATGACATCCGTCTAGCTGCTCCACATGGATAAGATCATGAGTCTAGTCCGATCGTGGATCTAGTATTGAACAAGCTGGAGCGAAGATGGGGCAGCGAGTTTTTCGGGTCGCGGTTCCCTCTGCTGACTGAGCTTTTTGCGTTGTCTCGGTTTGTCAATGCGCCGCTGTTGGCTCACGATCCAGTGTTGGATGGCGGAGGTGGTTGCGGTGGCTTGAGGTTACAGCTAGTTTAAGATAGTGCAGAATAACTAGCTCCGTAGTTAGTTAGGGGGATCGCCTCTTCGGCTGCATGTCGGCCCGCCTCCGTCTCGCCAACGCGTCAACGCGCTATCACGTGAGAAGATGCTGGGACGGGAGTTCTCGAGAGCGAAACATCAACATCCCGTCCCCTTCGTCTCATGGAGAGCCCCTCCTCTTTCAAGGCCGTCCTTTCGGTCTTGGTGAGAGCAGAGGCACGAAAATTCAATTGGAGGGATGTCGGCCCTTTTTGAGCCTTTCCTGCCAGTCCATACGCTAAATAAACTTCGCGGCACCCCATCGCAGACCAGCAGCCCTGGTGAAACCTCTCCAGCCTTTTTTAGCACATTCACCCACATTGTGCGCAATAAAAGCTTCACCGCGAAACCCATGCTTCATCAATCATTATCTACACTACCGTCGATACTAGGCTATAAGAAGTACGAAAGAGCTATCTGATTAAACCTTAGTGTATCTTCTATCTTTATAAGAATTTTGTTGTTTCATTGGTAGGGGGCGTGGCGATGGTAAAGCGAGGCATGATTAGATGGACACGAGTTTCATAGCGAGATTTCCACGGTGAGGCATTTATCGCGCACGACGTGCCGCCTGCCAGGACGCAGATCGGACGGGGCGGTTGCATGGGGTGCGCGTTTTCCCCCTCATTGTGGCTTCTCCGTGCCGCTTTGCGGGGAGACGATCTGTCCCGCCAGACGTCATGGCCCCAGGAAGTGCCACAGAGCTGTTCCTGCGCTAGCGATAAAAGCTCACCTTTGATGCCAGCGGACCCCAGGGAGTGCTGCGGAAACAAGGTCCGATCCGCGTTCCTACACGCGTATACTGCGTGACCACCTCGCAGCCTCATTCCCTTCGCCCCATGGCTCCTACGGTATTCATCGTGATACAGAGGGAAGAGGTTGGGGTGGGCGAGAGTCGTCCGAGTATCTAGGGAGAGGTCTCACAAGAACCTGGAGCTTGATATGTATGAGAACTGTCCGGGACTCCGCCATCAACCTTGAGGTCCCCCATCTTTTCACTACTCCGGGTCCCTAGCGGGCGGTGCGGAGAAACCGTCAATGGTTCGTGCAGTAGTGTCCAAGAAATCCTGCCGCAGTTGCATTGATCGTGACTGACGGGAAGTGGCTATCTGTTAGCAGCTATCTGCAGATACTTATTGAACCATCCTTCCCTACCTCGCTTTCTGTTCAGCCGGAGCAGTTCCTCCTTTTCTTCACCATGCACGGACCACTTGCACTGGTGCTGTTCGCAGCCTCTGCCCTCGCTGGCCCTGCCATCGAGCAGCGGCAAGCTACTCTTAGCTTGGATGAGTTCATTGCTCAAGAGAGGAGAATCGCAGTTGCTGGTGTCCTAGCGAACATTGGTCCAGATGGCGCCTCTGCGCAGAATGCCTCGCGTGGTGTAGTCATTGCAGGCCCTGGTATTGTCAACCCGGACTATCGTTACACTTGGACCCGCGACTCTGCAATGACAATTCACGCCATTAATGAGGAATTCTTTGTCGGCAATGCCTCTCTGCAATCGACGATTGAAGACTACATCTACGCCGAGGCGATCAGGCAAACGGTCAATACTCCTCTGGGCGATCTGTACCCTTGGGGCACCGGTAAGTAGCTTTCTGTAATTGTCAAGCTTCGCAGTTTCTGACACATACCGCAGGTCTCGGTGAACCGAAATATCAAATCAATCTCACACGCTTCCATGGCGTATGGGGAAGACCACAGCCGGACGGACCTGCCCTTCGAGCCATCACTCTCATGGGCTACATCGACTATCTGCTCGACAACGGTGGGATGGCTCAAGCTAAAAGAATTATCTGGCCGATTGTAGTCAACGATTTACTTTTTGTCGCCCAGTATTGGAGCATCATCAGTTGTAAGCTCTCGCATCTTCCGTATACCCTCCTGACAGCCTGTTCATACCCGGCGCGCAGATGATTTGTGGGAAGAAGTGGCCGGCAACTCCTTCTTCACGATCCAGTCCATGCATCATTCATTAGTAGAGGGTGCACACATGGCCACGCGTTTGGGCTACACATGCCCCCAGTGCGAGTCACAAGCTCCACAGGTGGCTTGTTTCCTGGCGAACAACTTCTGGAACGAAACTGGACAGCACGTCCTCGCAAACATCAACACTCCAGAAGGCTTCAGCCGCTCAGGCATTGACTCGAACTTCCTCCTTGGAGCGGCCGAGAACTTTGATATTGATGCGCCTTGTGACAACGCTTATTACCAACCGTGCAGCAGCAGAATCCTTGCAAGCCACAAGGCGTACGTCGATTCCTTCCGCGAGATATATCCCATCAACGCCGGCAGGCCTGCCAATGGTGCAGTCGCGACTGGTCGCTATCCCGAGGACACTTATTACGGCGGCAATCCATGGTACATTTGCACTCTCAATGCTGCCGAAGTCTTGTACGATGCGGCCGCCCAGTTCCGCCGCCAAGGCCAGCTCACGATTGACTCAACTTCCCTGCCATTCTTTCAACAGTTGTACCCTTCGGCTGCGGTAGGGACTTACAACGCTCCAAGCGGCTGGTGGCAAAGGCACTCCTGGGGTTGGTCTCGTTGGGGCGAAAAAACGTGGGGAAAACCGTCGTGGTGGGGACCAGGCAGAGGCTACGGCAGGGGACGCAACGGCAATCAAAGAGGCTCGGCTTTCACAGATATTCTCGCCTCCATGACAACCTACGCTGACGGCTTCGTCTCTGTTGTGCGCGAATACACCCCAGCCAATGGCTCTTACTCCGAGCAGTACAACAGGACCACCGGTGAGATGCTGTCCGCATACGACCTCACCTGGTCTCTCGCCGCCTTTGTCACAATGACACAGCGACGTAACGGCCAGTACCCAGCATCCTGGGGCTTGAGAGATGTAGCTCCTCTGCCGTCGTCATGCAACACCGCAGGCGCCGGGCCTCAGAACTACGCTCCCGCCATCGAGGCCGGCGCGCCTCCAGTCGACATGTCCTGCACCGTACAAATCACCTTCCGCGTCAATGCCACCACTACCTTCGGCACCAACATCTACATCTCCGGCAACATCTCCGACCTGGGCAACTGGGCTCCAGATTACGAACCGATGACGCCGCCCAGCTATCCCATCTGGGAGGCCATCGTCGAAGCTCCGCCGAATACGGTCGTCAGCTACGCGTATGTGCAGCAAAACCCTGCGAACTATACGTTTGAGGTGGGGAATAGGACGATTACTACGCCGGATTGTGGGAATGGGAGGGTTCAGTTGAGCACGCTGGATGCGATTCGGGGGCCGGGGACTGTCATTACGGAGAACTATTGCAATCCTGATGTTACGCGTTGTTGGTAGTGAGAAGTCAATTACCTGATCGATGGTTAGATGCGCCATGGTCTGGTACGAGGGCCCTATGTCGACTGGAATAACGAAATGACGATCAAGTGGTTATGAAGCTGTGTATCCATGATCTATTACGAGTATTTATATATTAATTAAGGTGTTCAAGATCGTACGTGATGCAGAGGTCAGTTCCACTGAGCAGGGGTGCTCTTGGCACCTTGTATTCTGAAGTCGATGAAAATGAATTAAGCATAGAGCATGTGAACAACAGCGCCCATCTGAATCCACTCAAGCCTAATGTTCCTTGACAACAGAGCTTTATTGATTGAATAATGAAGTCATGCCTACGTCGAGATTTAGAGCAGCGATGAGTCCAGTGGTGGTGCGTGGCATGGCTTCGTTCAGCCACATCAGACGAGGCCTCCACTCGGCTTTCCACCTTCCGCAGGAGCACGACGAACAGCACATCACAGGATAAAAAATTGTCCGGATACCGGTAACGCGGTCGCAGATTGAGCCGATAACAATTGCTTTCTTTTGGACAAGGACCTTTCCGATAGCCATGATGAGATTGTCAGGTCAGCAGCCCGAGCGCAAGATCCCTCCGTCGCTGAACCAGGCCCTCGACAAGCAGAAGCGCGAAAACCGTCTGATCAAGCTATATCCAGGAGCGAGATCGAAGCCCATACTTTGCGATCTATCGGCTCATGCTCTTAAGAGTACACCAAAGTACGAGGCACTGTCATACGTCTGGAGCGACCCCTCAATCGCCCACCATATCACCATTAATGGCCGACGCCGTGCTGTCACAGACAATTTGTGTCGTGTTTTAATTCACCTGCGTCGGATTAATGAACCTCGCATCTTGTGGCTGGACGCTGTCTGCATAAATCAGGAGGACGATGAAGAAAAGGGCTCCCAAGTGGACCTGATGCGGCGCATCTACTCTTCTGCTTCAGGCACGGTCGTGTGGCTTGGCGATGTACCGGCGAGTGACGAGGCATCCTGCATTAGCGTCTTCAATGTACTACTGTCTGGATCGTCTAGATTACTCCGTGGCGCCGGAAAAGTAACGCCGGAAGGCGTTGAAAGATGTGTTGACAGTCTCATCGATTCGCCGTGGTTTGAACGCGGATGGAGAAGTCCAAGAGGCAGCGCTCCCGAGAAAACTCACTTTCATGATGGGAACGGGCTATGCGGACTTTGGGAACCTGCTCAAGGCAGAGGAGGCTTGCTTTGGCGCCGAGAAAAGGTGGCGGTTGAAGTCTCTTCCGGAAAACGACGCTCTTATCTGGTACCTCTTCTCCGAAAAGATCAGAAAAGTGGCATATCCTGATCGATTCAGTCGCATTGTGCTCACAAGAAATCAACGATTCCGTCCGGCTGGGAGGGGCATAAAATTTCTGAATACCTTACGGGAATATGGCGATTGGAAGTGTTCTGATCCTCGAGATAGAATCTATGCCTTCCTCGGGGCGGTGAATGATTGGCAGAGATATGGTCCCATCTCCGCTAACTATTCAATCAATGCTGGCTTAGTCTTCGCAAAGGCAACGTTCGAGTTGATCCGCATGCAGCGGTCCATATAGTTCGTCGCAGCGGCGACCAAGAACCCAAGCCCGATATCAGGTTCTCCATCCTGGGTTCCATCATTTGACGAGAAGGTTCTCGCAGACGCATCAGCAGAAAATCGCAACCAGTCTGACATTAGCCTCTTTGAAAAAAGCAAACTTTCATTGAAAGGATGCTTCAATGAAGCAGCTGAAGTAATTGAGAGAAGAGTTCTTCGAGGAACAGCAGCTAATGATCGTAACCCATTGGACACTCAGCTTCCCAACAATCATGTTCTCCCCTTGGGCGGGGGGTTATTGCGGACAAGTGAAAATCATCCATTACTCCTTTAACCTGGGCTCGATCTACGAGGATTGGGTTATGGTTTCGGATCTTGGATGCTACCCAGGATTCTTTGTCTTCATAGACCATTTGGCAACTCTTACAACTTACCACAATGAGCCTGAGGCAAAATTGTGGTACGAATCTCGCGAATCCCAAGGCGTTCGCTCAGGAGACAACATCATGGAGCACAAACTTGAACATCCCAGCGCCCGCTCGCGACTGAAAGATCCGCATGATGAATCAGAAGCGTCGGGTTGGCAACGTATCAAGGACTTTCTGGAAGTGCACAGAACGCTTATCGGTCACGAAGGGCCGTCATCATTCGATACATTCTCACGTATTGTACAACTCTGATGTGTTGAACTCTTGTGCAATAGCGATCCGCAGCAGAGAGGCACCAACTCCTCGTATCTGCTATGGAAGAGGCATCCTCTGCGTGCCGACCAAGCATGAAGCCTTGCAATCATCATCAAGGTGAATTTCAGTCGGCCAGCGCTACATGTTTGTCCCGGGTGATGACTGACTGGTAGCACTCCAATAGTCCATGAACCCATCCAGGGAAACCCGGACCCGCGCGACACACACAAAAGGGCATTCTTCGTTACCGAATCTGGCGGAATGGGAGTTGGTCTTGATGTGGTGCCTGGGGATCAGGTCTACACTCTGGATCGAGATGCTTCCACGCCTTCAATAATGCGTCCGGCCGGATCACGTCACATTGGAAACCTTGCTCCCGGACCCGATGGTGTCTCGCACCAGACTGTTACCACGCACACTTTAGTAGCGCGGAGTGAAAGTTTTGCGTCCCCAGACCTCGAAACACTCAAGTCAGCGAATAAAGGGTTGTACAGAGTGTACCTCTGCTAGGGTGTGAATAAGGTGTGAGTATGTGAAGGCGCAGTGCTCGAAATTGAGGATGCTGACTTAATCAAAGGTCTTTCGCGTACATCTCCACGAAGTACAGATCGCGCTCCTTAATATATCCCCCAAGTTCCGTGGTAGGTTCGCATGTCTTCATCTTCTCAATGGCGGACTTGACTGAGATCCACTTATGCTGAAGGCCATCCGCAATTTCATCCTTGGTCAGTTGCGTCACTCCAGTATCCTTGACGAGGTGTGCGCGGTAGCAGTACGAGATCTGATGAAGATTGTCGAAGGAGTTCTGATGGAGATCGTTTCTCCATTCTTCGGTGGTGGCCATGCAAGCTTCGTCCATCATGACCTTGCATCCTGTCTCCTCCATCGCTTCGCGCTCGCCGGCGATGCGGTGGTCTTCGCCAGCCTCAATGCCGCCTCCTGGAAGCTTGTAGTAGTTGCCGTTCTTCACGAGGATGATGACAATTTCGGTCATGTCGTTCTTCATAATGATTCTGACAGCTAGCCTCTCGGTGTAGGCAACGTCCTTCTTTGTTCCAAAGACCTTCGACATGATGACGGCGGTGGTGTTGATATAAGCAGACTTGATGACCTTCGCGACGGGCGACAGATCTACCCGGAGCGAGAGGCCAAGGTGAAGTGCGGCGTCTGTTATCTCAGTTAGCGACTCAGACTTTGCAGGGGTAGTCTTGGCATTAGCACACGAGCCTGTAGCGGTGCATAGAGTCACCCCCGCCGTCTAAGAGCCACTAGTGCAGATTTATATGACAGACCACTTAATTATTATGTGACTTTTCCACCTCTTAAGATTTTCTTTCTAAAAGTTAGAGGATGCGATATATAATTATATATAGTATCTTCTAAAATTTAGAAGCAAAATCTTAAAAGGTAGAAAAGTAGTAGGAAAGTTTTTTATACACAAAATTAAAAAATTAAAAGTTTTTTTTTTATCTTTTCTAACTCTTAAGGTTTTTTCTAAAAGCTATAGATACTATAAGAATTACTTATATACTTTAATCTTATATCTTTTTCTTTATTATAATCTAGCTAGGGGAGAGCCTTAGTATAGTATTTAGCTATACTACGCCTAGCTTATTACTAAGCTAGATATTATAACCCCGCCTTCTTAGTATTCTTCCTATATCTATAGATGCCTACTATCTAATAGATAGTAGGCTTTAGTCTTTATATATACTACTAGATACTATTTCTTAACCACTATAGAATATATCTTACTACTAGTAATTGCCTAGCTTAATACTATTAAGCCGCTAGCTACTTATATGGATGTGTTAACCTACTAGCCTATAGATCTCGATAAGAGAACTTAGGTTACTAATATTCTTTAAACAAAGTATTAAGAGTATACTAGGTGTGCCCGTTTTATACTAAAACGGTTTAGAGTATCTAGAGTATTTAGTATATTAAGTTATTTCTATACTCTATAAGAACTACTATATCTCTCTATTACTCTTTTTCTTAGATATAACAGGTGTTCTCCCTCTTAAACTCCCTCTAGTCTTCTTTATTCTATATATAAAAGATACTTTCTTTCTTTATTTAGATTTTAGTCTTTTTTAGTTTCTTTTTACTCTATTCTTAGTATAATTCTTAGATTACTTCTTAGTATACTTCTTAGATTACTTCTTAAATTACTTCTTAGTTTATATTTTAGTTATATTTTAGTTGGTCTCTTAGTTAATACTCTAGTTAATCTCTTAGTTAATCTCTTAGTTTATAACTTTATTTAATATTTAGTTAACTACTTAGGCCCTAGTCTAGTCTTATACTTAGAGTACTTAATAGTTTTTATCTAGTCTAGTCTTCTATCTAGTTTATTTTAAGTTTATTTTATAGCTTCGTTTCAGTTTTTAGTATTTAGCTTAAAGCTTAGCTAAGTTTATAGGTTAATTTAGTTTATATTTATAGTCTATTAAGAGTTTAGCTTATTATCTAGTATATAGCTTAGTTTCCACTATACTATCTATTTTAGCTCTTAGTATAATTAAGTCTATTAAGTGAATTTATTCTTTCTTACTTAAATAGAATATATATTTTTATTTTTTAAAGGGGGATTCTCCCCCTTAAACCCCCATTCTTTCTTTCTAATAAGAAGCATTCCCCCTCTTAAACCCCCCCTAATACTCTTTATATTTTATATATAATAGGTAGTTATTCTTTTTACTTATTTTATATAGCTTTCTATTAAGTACTTAAATATTTAATTTACTTTATAGCTTAGTTTATAGTTTAATTTATAGTTTTAGTATATAGCTAAGTTTATAACTTAGTTTCTAGTATAGTTTCTAGTATAGCTTATAGTATAGCTTATAGCTTATCTTTTTATTTATCTTCTAGTCTACTTTTTAAACCAGTCTATAGCTTAGCTTATAATTTATCTCTTAGTATATATTTTAGTCTACTTTTTAGTTTATTACTTAATTTATAACCTAGTTTCTTACTTAGTCTATTACTTAGTCTCTTAGTTAGTCTCTTTCTTAGTTTCTAATTTAGCTATCTTCTTTACTCACACTTTACTATAATATATACCTCTCTTTCTAGTCAATTTTTATATTTAAGCTATAGTTTAGTCTTCTTTAATTTAGTCTTTTTTTTATAGTTAGGTCTAGTCTTTAGGTTAATCTCTAGAGTTATACTATACTTAAATAATACATCTTTGAAGTAATATCTAGAGCTTCTCTTAAATACTCTAAAGCTTTATATAAGATATATATATTTAAAGACTTACTAATATCTTAGCTTTATCTCTAGTTTAGTTTATATTTAGTATACTCTTTAGCTTTCTTTTTAGTTTAGTATAAAGAATCAATTTTTATTTTAGTTCTTATTTTAGCTTAGAGTCTAGTTTCTAGTTTAGTTTTTAAAACAAGTTATAGTATATTATTTATTCTAGCTTCTAGTCTATTTAGAATTATCAAAGTCTCTTACTTAAGTAATAATATACATTTTACTTTATAAGGGGGATTCTCCCCCTTAAACCCCCTATTTTCTTTTTTAATATAAGGGGCGTTCCTCCCCTTAAACCCCCCCTAGACTTTCTTATAATATATATAGTAGTTAGGATTATTTTCTATTAAATTTTAGTTTTCTTTTAAGTCTTTATAGTATATTTCTAGGTTAATTCTTAGTTTATTTCCTAGTATATCTCTTAGTATATTTCCTTTTTTAATACTTAGCTTACTACTTAGCTTATTACTTAGTTTACTACTTAGTTTACTACTTAGTTTACTACTTAGTTTACTACTTAGTTTACTACTTAG